CAAATGCTAAACCCACCAAAATCATTGTTGATTTTGAAATAGCAGCTATCAATGCATTCCATGCACATTTTCCTCTGGCCGATTTTAAAGAATGTTATTTTCACCTGTCACAAGCTATTTCAAAAAGTTGGTTCTATCGGATTAAATGAGAAGTTTGAATGTTTACCTTCTTTCAATCTGAAAATTAGAAGTTTGGCAGCTCTGGCTTTTGTTCCCATTAACGAGGTTGCCGAAGTCTTCCCCTTGCTTTGCGACACCTTTGAAGATTTGCCCGAATGCAATCAACTTTTGCAATATTTTGAATCTACCTACATTCGTGGAACTCAAGTGGGTTCACGTCCAAGAGAAACAAGATTTCCCCCTCGATTGTGGAACTATGCCAAAGAGATTGAAATGGTGCCTTCGGCCCCAAGAACAACAAACGCTGTAGAAGGATTTCACAACGCCTTACAAGGAATGTTCCGATGCAAACATCCGAGTATATATATGGGGTTTGCTGAATGGCCTACGAAAAGACATTGCGGTCCACAAACTGACTGCGGCAAATGCTCATGTAGGAGTTACGGCCCACCAAAGATCAAAGTATGTACAACTTGCCGTTAGGTTGACAGTTAAGTTTTTTCATATGGAACTGAAACCGACAAGCTGAGGTATCTCCACTCAATAGCTCAAATGCAGTCTATTTGATTCTGATTTTGATCGTGATATCGTAAAATTTCGTTTAGCGTCATTACTTTGATTTGTTGTTACTTTGTAACTATTGTATCATAATTGATAAATTCCTATTTTGTAAAACGTCCATAGCTACTCTATCTCAAAATTGATCGCCCATTCGACACAAATTTGTGAGTGATAACTTTATTGAGATATTAAAATAAATGTAATCCGTAACCTATGACGTCGTTTGTAAATTGCAATATCATATTTAACAGACCCTATATGCTGAATATGTTCGATTCACTCTAAATAGTGTAAACAGCAAAAAACATTTTTGGCCACGATAATGATTTTAAAACTTCTTCACTTTCGAATATTCAACATATTTACATGACTTACGATTTCTATGTATAGTTTTGTTCTGACATTCTAATGAAACAATACTTCAATAAAACTGGCATTTGGCTATGAACATGTTGTTACAAAAATGGCATAGTTTCATTATCTTAATTTCATATTTTCTTAGAAACGAAGAATCTGTGAGTTTATTTGATTTATAAACAGACAATAGTATTCAATTTATAGATTGATTTTAGGAAAAATGTCAAAACCTGATTTGAGACAACACTCATTTTCAACAGTAAAGCGTGGTCGTGTATGCATACATATAACAATTTTGTAAACATGCTAGCAAGAAAACATGAAGTGGCCACAGAGCTCCCAAATCTCATGCTGGGCGGGATATCATAGTAGGCGTTTTCGGTGCAATCATTTCAGAACAAATTCATAGGAGTTGACCACTAAAAATATTACTGTAAAGCTAGTTTTAGTAAGACCCTCATTTAAGACTTCATTGGTCTGTGAGATATTTGTTCCGTATTAGCCCTGGTTTCAGGTATTTCAACGAAATACCGCTTTCTAGGTCATCGTCTGTTTTGGAGATCGCGGCTAACGAATGAAATAAGGTTTTACAAATGTCAATGTAAAAAAACAGCAAAAGAAAAAAGACTTTGGCAGAACAATGTTGTTTATATCGTTAAGAGACGTTTATCCCTCGGACTACAATGACACTCAAAAATGCTTGCTTCGTAGAAGCGGATAAATGCATATACACCAAAACTAACTACAAGTGAAACAGTGTTGAAATTTAGAATATTGAGCTTGCGCCTGTAACATGAAAATTATTTGCGACTGGAAATTGCCGTTGGGGCAAACATTTTTTGTGAAAATGTACGTGGGTTCAAATGTACGCGGGTTCAAATTAAGCGAGTTCAAATATAATATACGTTGGTTCAAATATACGCGGGTTCAAATGTCCGTGGGTTCAAATGTACGCGGGTTCAAATATACGTGGGTTCAAATGTCTGTGGGTGGAAATATACATGGGTTCAAATGTCCGCGGGTGCAAATGTTCGTGGGTTCAAATGTCCGCGGGTGCAAATGTACATGGGTTCAAATGTACGCGGGTGCAAACGTACACGGGTTCAAATGTCCGCGGGTGCAAATGTACATGGGTTCAAATGTACGCAGGTGCAAACGTACACGGGTTCAAATGTCCGCGGGTTCAATCTATATGCGGGTGCTAAAATCCATGGGTGGAAATGTATGGGTTCAAATGTCCGTAGGTGCAAATGTCCATAGGTGCAATAGTATACAGGTGCAATTGTCCTGGGTTCAAATTACGGGTTCAGATGTACGGGTTCAAATGTACGCGGGTTCAAAGATAATGGAACCATATTCAAATACCCGAAAATCTTCCGACAATACGTCGCGTTTTGACATATGGCTATGGCCTTTTTATTTTCATTTTGGTCGCGATGGCTCTTTACATATCGTCAGATATCAGTGAGTGCTTGTATAGGAGCCGAACCGGAAAAAATTCAACCTTTTCAAAAATAGTAGAAACATATATATCGCTAGATGATAGTGTTCGATTTTATTGTTCGGAGCGAACGTAGAAAATAAACGTCGCATTATAATAAATAAATATAAACCATCTATCCATACGGAAGGATGTGGTTGACATGTGTAACGGTGAATATGTATCCCAGGTGGATGGTAATAACAATGGACCTGGAATGTTGAAAATTAGTTTCAATCGTTACTAATTGGTATGATTTAATCGAACGATTCAGCTTCACCTTTACCTATAGATACGGGAGCAGTACTTATAAATATAATAATATGATACTCTCAATCCAAGCAGTAAAATTGTGACAGGAAATGACTGGAAGCATAAAGTCCATAAGTCGACTCTTACCTAGGTATGAGAATAGATGGCAAGGTAATAGCCCCCATTCTGCATGGACGATGATAATCGACGAAGCCGCACCCGACTAGAAGCATGCATGGTGACGGCGAGCGAAAAGTCGTCCACATGGGATTAGAACTAACGCTGAATCAGTAACCGAATCTTACAACAAAAATAGAGCATTTGACATTTCAATATTCTACGATCTTGATTCAACAAACGGATCTTTTGTAAAAAGCCACCGACAAAAAAACACCCTCGCTACTGCTCAAAATATATAATCGAAATTAGTTATTATCCAGGTATCAGTAAAATTAGTAAAGAAGTTAAGCCTAACTGGATAAATTTTTATTTTTCATTTTAAAACGTGGCGGGGTGTGTTTTTCTAAAATCTCCCATTTTTGAATTAGTGACGGGGCTTCCTGCGTGAAAGATCACAGCAAAATATTGGACCCTTGTCACAATTCCGCCGGAAACGCACAATATAGATTGTAGCGATTATATAGCGTGAAAAAATATTTCTCAGTCAATTTTATTTATAAACCTACGTACACTCGGGTACAGTGGTGGAAATGAGTCTTAAACCATTAATCTCTGCCTGGAAGCTGAGATCGACGCGCACTCACGACAAATGAAAAGTTTCTATAAAAATGCTAGCAACCGACAGTATATTTTATTTTTTATTCGAAATGTTTTATTATTAAAAATTAGGAAACGAAATCCAATACATAATTTCTGATCTATAAAATGGATACACAAGAAGATCGCCACCAAACTTGCGAAAATTTTACATCCGGCTGTGCGTACAAAGTGGCATTTACATTCGACATATGAGTCAATTCACTCGTGAGAAACCTTAAATGCTACCTGCTTGTTATCCGTCGTCGAGCCATTGTTTTGGCGTCATGGCATTTTGAAAATACTTCTGCCGCGACACCACAGCATCTTCTCGGTCACGTTTTCATTGAAAAAAAAAACTTAAAATGGCGTGTCGGATTAACATGTGATTTAGATGAAAATATCACCAACATTTTTGTGTAAATGCCAGTAATAATTTCTACGAAGATGTGAACAATAATATTGTGATCGCTCAGAAGAGATTGCTCCATCTTTGAGAGTCGTAATGAACCAAAAACGGAAATGGTTTGGGAATGATTACGCTCGATATTATTACATTATGACATGATCCAAGCACGTGCATCAGGAATATTTGAAAAACAACATTAAAATTACTAAGATTTCACGGTAAATGGATTCTGATATATATGTTTTCATAGAAACCTTGATTATTGATTTTAGGAAATAAAAAATCGTTTCTCGTGAACGATGACGTCGCCAATGAATTGAAGAGAAATCCCTACTTCTCGGCGTCAGCAAAAACTAAACTAAACAGATCGATAAATGGCGTTTGTGCAATTTTAAATAAAAAATTTCACCATATGTTGTAAGAATAGGAGAAAATATTTGTATGGATGTTTAAAATACCGCGAGTTCCAATAAATGTTTTATGTGTTTATATATTCTACCACGGACACCTATGAACTGAATCAAACACAGAAAAGCGTCATTTTACTTCCCTCTTTTATAAATAAACTCATGGCCGACCGGTATCTTTTTTGTTGTTACGTAATAATTTTGCGTAATTAACGGATTTCTAACATCCGAACGTAGAATGAATAATAAACGTTTGGAATGTTGGAGAAGATCACTAAATGACCCAAATGTCCTGTTTGATGGTATTCATAATTGGCATTCCAGTTTTGTTATTTGTATCTTATTTTCTAAATTAGTACTTGAATTTTATGTATTATTTCGAAGAAACGGAAAATAAACTTGGCGAAATTATTCTAATATTTGTTACTGGTTACAGAACGAAATTGATGAAAAGTGTAACAATGTATTGATGTGAATGGATGTGATGAATGTATTGATGAAATCCACCATATTACTCATTTTGCACCAATATTAAACGATTTTTGCATAATGTTGCATTTATGTTATAACCTTTTTTCAAATTATAATTTATTCAAGTTTTGGAAACATTGAAATCGGGGATGAAAAAGTTTTATTTAGTAGGATTTAGACACGTTACCTTGAATAAATATAATGGTCCATCAGAAACATGACACAGAATATCACTCTCATCTGCTTGTAAACCAATAGAAGAATTGTCACGCACTGCAAAAATTATAGAGACGTTTTTTTTTTTTAGTTCACAAATAAAATTCAAGATGCAATTATTTACGAATTCGGCGTTTAATAAGATACGTGTAAATATTAAGATCTTTATTATTCTAGAAAATTTTATTATTATTAAAATGTTGTAAAACAGCGATGGTAAAAAGTAAAATAATTATTTTTTATGGTGTTTATAGATTTATCACACGAAAACGATTCTAATTTAAGTAAATAAATTTGGGTCGGAAGTAAAATCAACATGTTTGAAGTAATTTTATGCTCAGTGAACCAAATAAAAACATTGAGAACTATATGAGATGCATAAAAAAGTTTTAAAAAAGTAACGTAAAAGAAAGAACAAAATGCAAGATGTGTTTTACCCTCGCTTTGTCTACTTTTACTCCATGCTTGTCGCTTTGATCCTGGACTTTTCGATCTTCGACTTGAAACAGGAGTTTCGTTTTCACTGGACACGCCGGTTTTAGAATCACGCTTTTTGAAACGCATTGCTCCCAGCACAGCCTGAGCGAAAATAGAGGCATTACAATACTTGGAAGGAAAATGACACACCATATGATGTATGTGTGGTACATATACAATATGTACATTTTTGGTATAAACGTTGCATTTGAATCTTGTTTTATGGGTCAGTATTTGAAATAATTCAAACATGTGCTTTGATAATGTAAGCAAATAGTGGTGTGAAAATCTACGTTTGGTATGTACTAAATGTAAAACTACGCCTTCGGGTATGAAATCTTCAACAGAAAGATTAAATACCAGTAATTATCTCAAAATAGTATTATAAAGCGAAAAATCAAAAATAAGTTGATGTGGCATGTCAGATTAAAGTGAAACTAAACACTTATTTTAGGACTATATAGAGCTTATATGGGCTATTTGTGTAGCCAAAACAATTAATCTAAATGATCAGTTTTTCGGCGTTGAAGAATATGAATTTTTTTTTATTTAATTCAAGACCAAATGAGCATATAAGCTTTGCAGTATTCATTCTGGTATTAAAATTTATAAAGCATTCGCATTTTCAATATATACAAGAGTGAAATTGCTTCTGATTTGGCTTGATTGAGTATTTTGCATTGTATCGTTGGCTTGGGATTAAAACATTATTATAGCGTAACTATTGCAACCGCATTTTATATCATTTTTGCCTATTCGACAAACTTCAAATATGAAAGCTCCTAGGTAAAAAACGTAGTTATTATTTCCTATTTACGAAATACACACTTGATGATTTGAAAATAAAACAAACCCGCATCAGACTGGCGTTTGACGGATTCCTTGTTTGCCTTCCGGCACAAACACTCTGGCGTTGTTCGATATTCGGTAGAAAACTCGAAGTTTGTTCGCTGATGCTGTCGTCTTCCGAGTCGCTTCCAATTTGCCAGCTGTGTGAAGCCGAACTGGCCTTTTGTAGCCTAATTGAATTCCACATCTCCGTATATGTAATACTTCGTTTATTACAACTGCGAACAATAACATGTATCTAATTACGGGTCAGACGAAGTTGGCCTCGCTGATGAAACGCACATCTCCATTACAAACAGCTACTACTGACGTTTTTGACAGATCTCCACTAGTACGTCACGCAACATCTGCCTATTGCGCCTATCAGATAGTAGATGACTTGGCAGATCTTATCCGTCTTCTGAATCTAAATAATGTTCCCTTCTCCCGTGCCCTCTCCCGCTATAAACAAGTGACTAAGGATTTCTTCGCGCTGCCGAACATTCTCGAAGGATTTTTAGCCATTGAAATACACCATGTAATTATCCTATGAAGGTTCTTTCTTTGAAATGTCCACCAAAATACTGTACATTATCCTATCCACCAATCTCTGTAAAGACGCAAAATGCAGTCACACGTGACATTGAATTTCACCACGAGCGCTTGAGTGAGTGTGCGTCAAACTCGGCATACTTTTTGCCCCAAGGATGCCACGGACCGGCTGCGAGCTAATTGCACAACGCGAAATGTTTAAAACTTTTAAATCTAACTATTTGATGTTTAGTACGGGTCACGGATATATCACAACACCAATCTCAATTTATCATCGATCCTAATTCACAAACAGCATGTATAATGTTTACAATATAAGAACACTATATTGCTACAATACCGGTACAAAGCTTTCTACACAAGCAGACTATATAAATTTATAAACTGTTTGCCAAGAGGCATGAGCAAACACTTGAGATATTTAAATACTATATCACACATATATCCATTGTGGGATGCCATGTACAGGTCCTACGTTTGATTACCGTCCTTGTCTTCAGTTACGAAATAACCGTTCACGATTCGACATAAAATTTAAAAGAGGGGAGCAGCTTGTTTGCGAGAAAACCTGTATTGTGAGTACCCAGAAATTGATTTAAATATGGTGGTCAGAAATAAACGAGATTGGGTGATATATTTTTGGGTGCATTTTAACATTATTCAAATGGTTGCAGTTAGTCAAAACTGTTATATTTACCAAGCATATATCTTTCCGCCAATTGGGGCCTGCCGTACGAGCAGAATATGAACAAATGGATAAACTGCGTCGTACCGGTATCTGTTGATCTGGCTTCCTTAATTAAAAGCACAATTACGCACAGCCATAAAAGAATTATCGCTTAGGTAGTACCACATACATATATATTGTAAGTGCCAGAAAATTCCAGCTGAAGCAAACTGGCCTGTTGCCAGTGTAATGTATGAGAAAAACAGAATTTTCTAGAAAAACACTCACTGTAAATGTAGATTTGACTTAAATCAATAGAGTACTACTGAAACAAAAGGCAATAAATTGCCTTTTGGCAACAAAATTTGCTAAATTCCTAGTTGCAATATTGAAATTTATCTTCAAATTGAAGAATGTATACAAATTGACCTATTGCAGGCTAATTAAATTTCACGTCAACGCGTATTATATCTGTCTCCTGTTACAACAGCGAACAATGGGAATCAAATTACACGTCTTTCAAGCTTGTTTTCAATACTGGAACGAATATGAACGTTTCGAAAATACTTGTCACGATGAGTTGGGGCTTTCAGTTACCCAGGTGCATTGAATGATGTATGGAAATGATTGAGTGATAATACAATTCGCCGTCAATATTTCGTCTCCATATTTCTTTAAGTTGCGTTGCAGTTTATATCTGAATAAACTGAACTTGCACTCAAGGATTGCTCGTCACTTCATTGCCATTAACACCGATTTAAAAATAACTTTTTACATTTATTTCACAATAATTCCTTCACGAATCTATAATTTTAAATGAGTATTTTTTTCACATAAAAAGGAGCTAACATTGGTCATGTTTCTTGGAGATATGTACATGGGCTTTGTGGGACCCATACAAAGTGTGCATATGGGAGGTCCCATAATAAAATTTACAACACCTGGGAGATTAGAATCTATATAATACAAGTCTGACGTGTTCATTATCAACTATTATTTATTCCAATGTGCCCCGTTCGAATTTTATATCCATTTCCATTAAAATTAATCCCACTTTGTCCGGGTGTTCGAGTCAAAACAATATTACTTATAAAAAGATAAATGCTGGTCATCGTTATAAATATTTTAATAAAGCCTTGTTGTTTGTAGTTAATATGTTTTATGGCGCTTATAACATCAGTAGTCTTTTGCGGCATTACCCAATTCGAAATAAAAATTCTTGCATACAATTCAATAATAACAAATTATTTCATATACATTACATATACATCATTATTTCCACTAAAAATTTAAAAGCAATTATTATTTATCGATTTTAATCGATAAGTATGTTGATAGGTATTTGTCTGTTTGTCTGTTAGATGCATGCGATATCTCACGAAAGCGCGATCGATAAGTCTTCGGTCTCTGACCAATACTCTCGTTCTATTAGTTAATGAGAAAAGCGATGCCTCACAAGAAGAAGAAGAAAAAAAAGGCATACTAACAAAACATGATCAACAACAACAAAACGAGAATATCGGTCGGAGACCGAAGACTTATCGATCAAAGGTTAGAGGATCCCAAAACAGCGCTCTTACTTCATAGTGACACCGTGTGTCATATCACTAATGAATTAATAACTCGCTGATTATACGACATAATTCATCCAAAATCAATAGGCTTCTGGTCCGACATATGATGAATGCACATGCAAAATCAGATTCAATCTCGCGTTCGTGAGATATCGCGTGCATCTAACAGACAAACAGACTGACAAACAGACATACAAACAGACAAATACCTATCAACATACTTACCGATTAAAATCGATGAGTAATAACAAACAAATCCATAGGTTCATTTCGTATCTCAATCACGGGGGGGTGTGAAGCTCATTAAAAATAAAAATATTGGTTCGATTTGATCTTGCCTGCCTTATTTTGGATATTTACTTTTCAAAACTTTTTTTGGTTTTTCAATATTTGCGTTCCATCCACGTATTTTCTACTTTTTTTTTAACAAAACATACTGTCGCCTTACTATCTGTTATTTGTAGCTTATTGTTAACTAGTTATTTTTAAGATAGGGCGGGAGACTTGACAAACTCTAAAAAGAGGGCGCGGCTCAAAAAGTTCGAGAACAACTGGTTTAGATAGTTGTCGTGTACATGGTCAAAAAATGAACTGTTGCTGAACATATTTTGTCATAAATTTCTAGCGATGTGTCAATTTTCGGTGGTTCCATTATCCAAAAAAGGGGTTCGAGACTGACAACTTTTGCAACGAAAAAGTCAGCAGTACCAGGATATCGGTAACGGTACAGTGACTTTCCTAGCTTTTCAGTTTCAACGTGAATTGAAGTACCAACTATCAACTGATCCAAGTCACTTCTGTGTTACCAGATGGGTACCGCAGATTACCGTTCCTGGAACCGCCACAAGATGCGCAAATTTCGATAACATCATATCACACACAAAATCCCGTCGAGCTAGCAGAAGTATTTTAAATAAATAAAAGTAATAAGCCTTCCAGCGAAAAAAGCAATACCACTTTAACCACTGAAAATTTCAAAGCAATTGGTCCAGTAATTAAAGAGAAAGGCGATTTTTTCATAACGATAGGTAGAAAAACATAAAGAACAAGAACAACGACATAATAATAACAAAACAATCAAATAGGTCCATCGTCAAATAGGCTTAATATCCCCATCTTGCGGTGGTTTGAAATAAAGTGCATGCCGCCCCGGACACATTTCGTGCGGCCCGCAGAACAATTTTAGCGTACACTTGTATTTATTGGCAGAAAAATTTTGAGCTATTTTCAAACTATTTAAACTGGAAGTAGACTTTTTCCTAATACCGATAACGGGATTGATGTTTGTTAAAATCACGAAATTTCAATGTTTTATCTATAAACTGACGTCCTGTGATCGGTACAAGGAGAATGAAATGTCTTGTGCAGACAGGACCGAGCCGATGAGATGAGCTCGCGTCAAGTAACTCCTCATTTGAAGAGACGTTTTGTGCCTTTATTTCAGTAAAAACACTCCTCTACTTTCAAGCGTTGGGCATGTGACTGCAGTGACGAACCGCAGAGCTGACTTAGCGCCACGCGATCCGTTTTTTTTTATCTGGGTACGGAGTCCCAACTTAGACGGGCTTGGTTGTTCTTTGGCGGCAGCACTAGGCCTACTCACGCTACAAGTAATACAATTTTTCAAATATAACATTACTTCATACGATGAGTGTAAAAAAAGGGTGACAGAGGTAACCTGGGAGGAATTGTTCTATTTCCTTACCCACAACGACGTTAAACCACAGTGTCTGGTGTGTTTTCAAGTTATATCTGTCACAAAAGAATATAATTTTAAGCGACATTACAAAATCAAACACGAGAAAAGATACCGAAAATACCACGATATTTCTCGGGAAGCAATTATAAAATAACCTAAGGCTTTATATAGTTTCCTTGAAAAACTGATTAGAATGGTGAACTCTCATTCTTAAATAAAGTGAGTAAACTCGCGATGTTTCGATCATATTTGGGTTTTCTCCGACTGCGGCACGCGAGAGATTCTCAAAAGTTTTTGCGGCCCTCCAACCTCGCAACCTTGGACCACCCTGTTCAATTGATGAGCGGAAATTAATTGCTTGTGGTGGGGTATCAATATTACAAAATCGATAACTTGGAAAAAAGACAAACAAATTAACAGTTCCCTAATTAATCTAAGCTGCCACGTATATGAAACTCACGGGCATCGTTGCCTATATGTTATAGTTAGCCTAAAGCTTAAAACCGCGATGCAAAAGTCGCGACCGCGATCCTATACTTTACAATATGTTTCTACCATATTAGGTGGCCATTTGATCTGACTGCTGATTGGTACAGATCTATAATATAGCATGAATTTATCTAAGGGCATCTGATACATGGGGATGTTTAAGATTGTGCTTGTGTCTTTGTAAACTTTCATACAAATTGAAGTGAGTTTGTAAGTTTGTCTAAAAGTATATAGTAAAACTTTGCACTGCAGTACAACATAGAAACAAAACAATCAGAAATATGCTCTTTATTTCGTGATTGAATTAACACGTATATATATCACAAATAATGATTAATATTGATCAGTAAAACTTTGCACTGCAGTACAACATAGAAACAAAACAATCAGAAATATGCTCTTTATTTCGTGATTGAATTAACACGTATATATATCACAAATAATGATTAATATTGATTGTCGGAATGTTATGCAAAAGTATATACAGAAAATAGGACGCAGCAAATGAAAATCATAAATTTAAAAAAAAGTTGCCTGGAATTTGGAGTGGCTTAATTGTCAAGAAAAATATTTTTATTGATTTTTCAAATGTAAACGAGTAATTTGACTGAACCTTTTTTATTCTGTTTTACATCGGAATGTTTTGAATCGGAATTCCGAGAATATATTAGGATTTTGGGCATAAATGTCTAATATTTCACCAGAAAGTCAGATATAAATTCCTTCATAATTATTTGCTATTGGTCGATGTATCTCAATACAAAGTACAATTCAATTTTCCCATTGCTCATACTTTCTACTGCGTTGCCATTACCCTTCTCTATACCTAAATTTTGGAAACTTGTGAATGTGAGCAATTGCCAACACTCAACGGAAGAAGCATAACAGATCATCCGCAACGCGACAGTAGGCCAATAATATATATATATCACTTTGTCTATTGAAATACAATAAAAAAGATCATAAAGTTTATCCGTTTTCTGAGTCGTATATAATTACGGCTCTGTAAATTGTTTACGGAAATGAAAAAAATTGTAGGCATAAAATTAAACTGTATGCATATAAGCATCTTCCGCATTTCAATATATCATGATTTATTGCAATTGGCATAACATTTTATCTTATCACGAATCGAAGATAAATAGTCAAAATAATGAAGACGCCACATTTGGCATAGGGGTATATTCTATTGTTCAGATGTTGGAATTTACTGAGATTTTACTTCTTTAATGACATTTTCCAGAGTTTCCAGCAGAATATCCGCATGCCTTGTTCTAAAAAGCATGCAAGGTCGGAATCGGATGGTTTCACTGCCACAGCTACCCACCACTACACCATTGGAAAGCATTGCACGATGCACTTTGTCTCTAGTGGCGGTGTCTGGGAAATCGGCGGCGCAGATAATGCCACGTCCTCGAGAATTTCTCACAAAACCACGATGTCTCGCTTCGATGTCTAACAGACCTTCCAAGAGATAACGCCCGGCTTGTTTCATGCTCTCAGGCAATTTGTCTTGCATCATCACCCTCATTGTGGTTCCAAGCAGCACAAATTTAGTGGGGTCACCCATCCACGTGTTGCAAATGCGGTATGGCTCATCCCAACCGAGAGATTTATTGAAAAAAAAGCCACCTGTTAGCATTCGTTTTGAAAATGTAACGATGTCGGGAGCGACATCGAGTCCCCAATGATCATGAGCCCAAAATCTTCCGGTAGCCCACATGCCCGTTTGTACTTCGTCGCATATAAAAGCAACGTCATTTTTCTGGGCGATTGCTCGCAGTTGTCGAAAAAAATCATCAGATGCGTGTCTGTCTCCGCCCTCCGCCTGTATAGGCTCGATAATCAGTCCCGCGACAGGAGCTTTAGATTTCCACATTTCTATTTTTGACTCGACCATTTCAAGACAGCGGCGTTCTTCTAGCTCATTTTCACGCTTAAAATCTTCAAGGGGGTATTTAAGTGACGGAAAGTCCGCGACTGGCCAGTCAAAAGCCGGTATGTCGATTTTGTGAACGGCTTTACTGTGCGTAGCCGACAAACATCCAATGGTCCTTCCGTGAAACCCACCCCCAAAAGATAAAATTGATAGGTGTGGACTACCTGGTGCCTTGTTTTGCATTGTGGAAGCAATGTTTTCTTCAGTTAAAAGCGGGAGTTCGCCTCGCAACTTACGCTGATGTGACATAAACACCGCCTTAAAGGCGTTTTCGTTAGAGCACGAACCACACCCCATTGTTATGACATTTTCCAAACCCCTTGGTGCTACAGAAAGTAGCGTGTTTTCAATCATGGCTGGATAATCCTCAGACGGAAAAGTGAACAGCGAAGGACGATTGACAAGTTTTGTCACTAAATTTTTATCCGTGCATACCTTAATTATTTCTTCGTGATTATATCCAAGTGGCAATGAGGATATTTGTTGGAAACAATCCAACAAAACATTGCCGTCAGCATCCACAACATAGTTGCCTTTGCTGTCACTAAAATTACAATACAGCACAACTGCTTCTGAGTTGTGAATTTTGCTGTTTCGTAGTTTTAGAGCTTTAGTGCGTGGTCCTGGAATTTCTGTTCGAATTCGGGGTTCCGTGAACCCATTATCAATGTGGTGCCTATCCGGTACATCGATGGATTGTACGCTTAAAGCGTACCTAGTTGAGGAAACAGAAAAGAAACGCAAAGCATTGGGAACTTGTCCCATAGACCGTTGAAGTGCGGAGCCCAACATAACACGTCCGTACTCTAGAAACAAATTGCGAAAATGATTCGACTCACAAAGGATTAGCGTAGTTGGCAGCAATTTCTTGTGCGATTGATTGTTCTCGTTAAAACAGGAGAGTAAACCAGACAGGCGCAGTAGGATTATTAACGTGATGGACGACTGGACAACTGGTCTACAAAATATGTCGTTTATTGTGTGAATTTGATAATACTTTCTATAACATTACGTGTTAGTTAGTACATCCACGTTCAGTTTGCGAAAAGATTATGATTCCAAAGGACTATATTCATGCCATTCCATGATCGTCCCAAGGCGATACCCAACGTGTTAACCGGAAAGAGAGAGAGGCGTGACAACACGGCTACACTTCTCGTTGAAGGCTGACACAGCCGGCTGAAACTGGATTTCACTTCGTGTTTTCGATGTGATAACAACAACTAACGATACGATATCGCTGTCGTACACATAAAAATTATGTAATTTTTACCTATTATTTGGATGTTGATAAATATGAGTCAACTACGATGCTATTATTAACAGCGTGGTAACGTTTATGGCGGACTGAGAAAGAGTTTTAATGCCTGCCTCACTCTTCGCCCCGGTCATTTCCCAATGCCTCCAAACTTCCTAATTTACCATTTTGATATATTGTGGAACACTGTCGTTTATAAATGAAAAAACAAATCAATAATTATGTTTTGATAAAATTAAAATGAGGTACTGTACCGATACCTAAATAATGCAATAGCACATGGATTTAATAACATAAAAATTTTTCAATCAGGTTATTAGTTAATTCACTAAGTTTTCTTTTACAGAACGCTGAAGTGCATAATATTATGTTAATTTAAAACGACTGCTCCTGCGACCTTTCCATTGGACCAAAGTGCTTGAACGAAACGGCGGACACGTGTGTAGCATAAGCACATTTTCAATATGTGTTGTCGCTAGAAATAATCCGCTGCAAAAAAATTAGGTAATCATTGATGAACCTGGCCTTGTGTGATGTAATCAAGTAGCAAAAAAACAACGCTTCACTTGTACATCCAAGCTTGATAGGATATTCATCGAGACTCGGACCCGCATGACCGCTCGCAATCGTGTTCGCTGGATATTGTTCATTTTTTCGGCATGACTAAGGGGTGTAGTGTCGGTGTGTCAAATTTACCTAAGACGAACTCGCGAAAGGACAAATCACTAAATTACCTCTGTGGGACAAACAAGTTTCAGTTCGTGAACTTTCCGAATTCATGAAATTGCTGGACTGTTCATCAATGTTGTCAGTGTGATTTTTTGGACAAATCTCAATATCTTGACTACAACAGATAACAGTCTGTTGAATCGATTCCAATTTACGAACTCGCGTTACCATTGTGAACACTCGTATATTTGTATACACAATGTCTAACTGCGGATCGTTTGGCAAAATTGCTGTAGTTGTCATTCTAGTTAGGTTACTTGTTTGCTAAAAAAAATCGCATTTCCTCGAAGATAATAGATTAATCGACTACACATTTCCAGTTCCTGAACATGCAAAAAGTTGCTAGTTTCCCTATTATTATTATTTTTTACAAGCCTTACTGTTCTAATTTGATTTTAAACATTAAGAATCGTATTCCGAATCCGCAGTTACGATTACCGTACTTAAAAAGTACGGCCATTAGCACACATGTAAAAAAAATAAACAGTTGCCCCCGAAATAGTGGTAATAGTTTTTGCGCGAACTCCTTTCAACTTTTTGTAAATATAGTGGTTCGCATTACTTTCTTTTGCGAGAAAGGTCTTTTGCGCAAAATGAGGTTTGAAGAAAGTAACGTACGCCAAAGAGGAGTTTTGTGAGAACATGAATTCTCTCACGAAATATTGCAAAAATGTAGTTTAGTGGGAACGTACATTTGCGCGAATGGAACTAAATTGTTGCAACCTTTATTTATTTATAATCTAGATAAAAACGTGCTTTTATTTATTTTGTATAAATACTTAACGTAAAAGTTTTCAGACTAGAATTATTATCCAAACGTGTGCTCAATAAGAATCGCTATAGGCATTGTCCGGTCAACAGTACTAATAAGGTCAACTTCAGCAAACTTTATAAATCCAGATCTAAGATGGCGAACATGTGCAGGATTAAAAAAAACTTGGTATTCCGGTTTATATGTCGTTTTCGAAGTAATGTTTGGTTACAGAATATTTCATATATCGCACTCAAAATTTTTCTTGCCTGGTGAAGATAATGTTGTGAAGAGGGCGACCCTGGATATAGGTTTTTAAACCAAGTGCGATGGCTAACGACAAATAGGCGCAGTACCGTTACGTGACTGAAACAAAACAATTTATTCTGCCCCACCACATCGGTTAGCAATAATCCAAATATTTCCTTTATTCCCATTAATGTTAAAATAATAATAGAGCTGAGTTTCATATGGAAGGTGTTTATTAGCAAGAAATATGACACTCGTGCATTATAATGCAGGCTACGGCCTATCAGTAAAACTTTTAGGTCTGAGTTCCCGTCATATTTGATATTAAAAAACCTATAAAATACTAAAATACACTGAATGGCACCAAAGCGTATAAAATATTCACAAAATTAAAAATATAAAAACAAAACAACGTGTATTCAACTCGAAGAGGATATTCAATACAACCAGAATACCATCCAAATTGTTGCTTCACATGAGAATTCATTCTTTTTAGAAGATTTATAACTAATCCAACAATAGTCATTTTTCTTGAAACGTAAACTTAAAATTTTTCATTTTAGCATTAGTGACAAAAAGAATTACAGGACGGCCAAACGATAGGAATATCCTCGGTATTGATCAGTTCACTAATCGTTCACAGCACGCTGTAGCATTCAAATTGCTTTTTTTCCAAAGGCCAATAAGTTCAACAGTTTATTCTATGTTTTGCAGACAGTTTGTATAGCCAGACAAATGAGAGCGGAAGCGAAACAGATCAAAGAATAAACATAATGCATCTGTCTTTGAACTGGTAAATTATTAAATTGTTATGTTACAGTATTCGTTACAAAAATAAAATATGAACTAATGTAACAGACGGATGATGAGTGCTGAACAAAATGACGAATACAAAAAACCGTGCTTTGGTGGGAACTGTTTTAGATGGATTAATGATTTATTCTGTCTCAAAGAAAGTGGACCATTTTGTTAAATTTTTGTTGTCAAGAAAAATCGCTTCTCGGTGCAACTAATGGACCATTGGATTTCAATTAAATTAGTATTTAAAGTTAGAATTAATTGCTATAAAGCCATTCCTGTGGGACCAGATATTTCACTAAAATATTTGTAGTTGCAGTTTAATTAAATATAGAAACACTTATTCCATGTTGCTAGTCCGCCGATATTTTCAGCAGACTCTGTTCTCTACCCTCGTTATTACGTCATTGCTCCGTTGTTTGACAATCAACTTTGATAGCACAATCCAAAATAGAAGTCTATTTTCAAAATTACTATTTAGTAGACCGAAGACTTATCGATCGAAAGTTAGGGGATCCCCCAATACAGAAACTGCAGTTTCGATTTCTTCGCTCTCACTCCACAGTGACACCATGTGTCCCATCATCAATTAATTGATAACTCGCTAATTATACGACATAATTCATCCAAAATCAATAGGTTTCTGATCCGAGATATGATGAATGCACATGCAACGCAGATTCAACCTCGCTTTCGTGAGATATCGCGTGCATCTAACAGACAAACAGACAAATACCTATCAACATACTTACCGATCAAGATCGATAAGTAATGAATGATGCCAACTCTACTCAGCAATGTTTGAATATCTGACATAAGTGACAAAAATATATATCGAAATATTTTAGATCATTAGGCAATGCTAACGTTTTAGGCGGTGAAAGTTAATTGGCGGAAAGCCAAAAAAAAAATGATACTTAACATTCACTAAATATTTCATTATATTAGAAAAACATTTCATTGATCATTTAAAATTTTTCTCTGAGCAAGGCTCTCTACACGCAGAACTCTCTTGGGGTTTCTCACATATTAAGTTGATTGAGTTAAATCAATCAGGCTGAAAGTCTTGAACTTTGATCTCGAACTGGTTATTTACAAAATATAATTCCCTCTGTTAATATATAGCGGGTCAGTTTAGTATTCAGCATTATTGTACAAGTTAAGCAAAGGTGTGGCATAAAATAGTATAAGAATAAGTCTACCGTAATCATTGACACTTGAAAATGGAAAAGTTACGAGAGAAATAATCGTCAAGAAATAGGAAATCATAGTTGTGTTCCAAGACAAAAAAGAAGCCTATATGACATACAAACAGATGAAAGTTATTCCATTGTGGACTAAAATTTCAAATAAAAGCGGCAGATAATATAACAGGCATGATTCATGAATGAAAAAGGCTTGGCACTTGCGAATATCAGACTAAAAATAGGTTGTAAATTAAAAAAAATACTGTTAGAATACTCAATGATGATAAGTAAAAATACTGTAATAAAAATCGTGCAACCTAACCAGCAATTTAGGGTAATTGATGCCCTGATATACATAATCGTTAAAAGTATGGTTGGTTACAAAATGCACCAGAAATATATCATCAACTGTGTTTTTGCATCGCGCAGATGTAAAAGCGATTATTAAAAATGCCAGTGAATTCGCTATATGTTTACAGCAGAAAAGTTTTTAAAACAATGTGTAAAAATGAAGACACATGAGTGATTGATTCTTTATTCCTCGGCTTCAGAGATATTTAGGGATCCATGAATGAGACAAATATATATCTTGTGCCCTTTGTAGTAGGCAAACCTTCATGATAATGGGTCAATCTTCCTGGATGTATAATGGCCCAACCTTTCGGTAAATTTTTTGCAGAACAATTTTGCCTTATGAAGTTAGATCCACCGCCCTGAAATAATAAATACATTTAACGTAACAGTATGGACAAACGGGCAATTGTTGAAATTTCGAAAATGTTTTCTTTAAAAATTTTATAAAGAAATAGGTGCTCCTCAGGCTGGTATCTAGTCTGACGCAATATTCACATAGTATTCCAATAAAAAGTTAAGGAGTTTAAAAATCAAAAATCTGAGTTTACTCAATTTCCCTCTTTTTAGGTTTCGTCCCTTTGCGCTACAGCACTCGAGTGAATTTATCTTTGTTACAAACAAAACAAAATGGTTGACAACAAGTAACATCACTGCTCTACACCATCTTGACCAGGGGTTGGCAAGGTTTTTGGACCAAGGGCCAAAAACTTTGCCCACCTAGTCTGGCGGGCCATGTAAGTGTAACGTAAGAAATTACATTTTATGAACAATATTCAGTGTTACAAAAGCAAAAGTCGAAAACAATAAGCCTCGTGCCAAAACTAAATTTAATAATAATAATAATCTCAACAAATTCCTTGAGCTATTTTTAAGCTGAAACATCAAAATTTGGTTTTAGTTTGGTTGTGGCAGTATCATGCGAGCCAAATTGAATTACTCAACAGGTCGGATTTGGCCCGCAGGCTGTAATTAACACATGTCAGATCTTGACAATATCTATATTGGATTGGGAATAAAATATATTTTGAAATTATAAATTTTAAAGTGAATAAGAATTGCTTCGGAAATGACATGAATATCTCAAAATATCATTTCCAAAGCGTTCCTGAACTCTAATTTTTGAATTTTGAAATTCAGATTAGATAAAATTTATTTGAAAAATTAAAATGGCTACCTCTTTACTGACTTCTTTGTCAAGAGGATTTTTTTAATACAAGGTACTAACATCACTTTCGTTACAAATAAAGTTCTGCAAAAGTGGCCACTGTTAGGTAGAGAGTTACTATAGCTTCGAAGGACCATCATAATCTTCCCAGTTCGTCACTACTACACAATATGTTACACCTTAGGTGGGGTGATATGGAATTCAACCAGAGATTTTAACCTGCATTGCCTTCATAGTTAAGTATAATGCTTCCACCACTGGGCCAAATATTTCTCAGTACATTAGTGGTGCCTTACAACACTTCTACTGTTGCTATATCTTTGGTTGAGTTCTTTGAAAAGGTAGTTGGTAGCCATACATGAGATACAAACCTCATAATCTATTCCTTGAGAATTCAATGCGACGTTCATTGTCCAAGTTGAAGAGTCGTGGTGTGGTCTTAAAAATGATTGTTCATCTGGCCTGTAACGAACTATGAACATCATTGTCGATAATGCCTGTCAAAAGTAAAAACAAAAACATGAATTTGAGATTACTGTAATAAACCATATACTGTTGTCAAGTTTGAGAAAAAAGAGATTGATCAAGATATTCACTTTTGAATAGTATCCAGGGAACACTTTATCAACAATTTTTGTGATATAATGTTTCATTAAATGCAACCATTCCTTTTCGAAACCTAACTGATTTGTGTGAACATCAACAGTAGGTACATTCTCATATCCACCAGCGATTCTGGGATCCTGAAAAAAAAAATGAAAAATAAATAAACTAAGCCGAAATGAAAAGAACAAAAGAAGAGTTCAAAGTTCATGATGCAAGCTAGGTGGCGCAACTGAGGCGTGCAAGATTAGTTACAAGAAGCTAGTACCAGAGAGGATTCGAGCCCTGTTGAAGACAATCTCAAATAGTCCCCCATTGGTTCTGCACACTAGATGGCATAGGACAGTGTTTTTCAATTCTCAAATAGGGGCCAATAAAGCATTTCTCTGGGGGGCCACGAGCGACGGCGTTCCTCAAATACCATTTGTGATGACAACATTGATTTTAAAAAATTGTCTATGAATTGTTTAATTCTTTGATATGATGCATTTATTTTCTTTCCGTTTGTCGGCTTTTTTAATATCAAACATTGTGCGTAAAATAATTGATGAGAATTTGTTAAAATGGAAATTAGGTATTTTTGAGGTAAATCAAAAAGCCACAAGTGAGTCTTTGGATGGGTGCGCAGATTGTTTGAGTTTGAGAACCACTGCATTAATTAGATGCCGCTTGAAATCTAAAACTATTTAATTTAACAACAAAACTATTAGAAAAAAAGAAAAATTTGCCTCATTTTTTCCGTTAGACCACATGTTAGCGTTTTCCGCCAAACCAACAAGCTGATCAGCAAATGCATCTGTCATCAGTGGAAAAGTATAAACATCTGTACATTGTTCTTGAACTTTAGTATCTGGTTCAAGAGCCTTCCAAAAATCTGGATGAAGATATTTTTCTTCCCAGTCCTGTAGTATTTAAAAATTTAGATACGGATAATTTCAAGATAAATAATAATCTTATATGGATGTCTTTTTAACATTCAATGTAATTTTACTAATCCCAGTGAGGAAGTTAAATATGCTACTTCAATAGACCATATTAAATCAAGCGCCAACAGCGGATTTAATCGCTTCTAATTTTTGGCAGTTTTCAGAGACGAATTGTATCTGTAACAATTAAATTGCATTGTTATTCGCAAGTTAGAAATCACAAATAACTGGCAAGCAGGATCAAATATAATATTTTTCAAATCAACTCTAAATCCATAGTCTTGTATAGGGGGATCCTTAAAAAAAGAAAATCAGTTTTCAATTTTTATATAATAGTAGGAAGGAAGCCAAAGTTTTGAATATCTGTGATCAGCTATGTCTAACGAAGCGATTAATAAAATCAAAAAATCAATTTTTTATTGCAAATATTGAATGCTTATGATCGGCATTCCCCCCAAATTAATTTCTATTTTGTGCAGAACAGCCAAAATCAATTAAACCTATAATATGAATGCACAAACGTTTCGAATAACGAGAACATTTAATAATAACAATTAATAATCTTAATTAAGTAATAAAGAATCAATTTCATATGCAAATTCATTATATAACGGAAACTGCATTCGTTCTATGAGATATAACGCAATTAATAAAGCTTTAAAGCATAATCATATAGATGTAGGGAGCTATGCATGAGTGTAAAGTTAAAACCTGGGATTCTGCGAACTATTCGAATTATCAAAATTAATTATTTTCGACAATTAAAATGCTTGGTTTTAGAAATACTTTATAATAGTTTTATTTGAAAAAGATCAATTTATGGAGTGAAGGAATGTGAAACCGTAAGGGTTTCAGAGCTTCTAAAAATAGTAACTCCTTGTATATTACTGGCTGCTTATTCAGGGCCTTGTTCAGTGCAAAATCTGTGAATAAGAGTAGTATGAAAAAAAATACATTGACAAAGACATGCTCAATTGAAAACGACCGAAAATAGACTATAATTGCTAATTGCTATTCTATATTTGAATATATATTTAGAATGTATTTGGAATACTGGATCATTTAATTTTGGCCATCCCATCAAAATTATTAAATTGATAAAGCGTATGTTATTTCCAACTGTTTTTTCTTCTTTAGACGTAAGTTTTATGCATTGAAATTGCTCTATTTATGGACATGCGTTGTGATACATGATTGGTAATAATATCATACCGGCTTATTGATTTCAATTTCCCATAAATCTGCATTGATTCTTCTCTTTTTAGTTTTCTCTTCATCAATGTATAGAAGTCTTCCAAAATTAGCTTCGTTGGACAAGTACAGGAACAAAATCTGTTAAAAAACAAACAATTTGTTGCATGCTTTTTCTCTACAAACTACTAGGGTTGTGTGTACTCGAGGGTGAGCCCAAAAAACACAAAACTTCCAAATTTCTTAATTACCTTAATTACGAAAATGAAGAAAATTATTTTAACACTTCGATTTGTATATGATTGTACTCGGTAAGTCTCAGTATACTAGGATGCTTTGCACAAAAGTTATGTTCTTTCTAGGATAAGTTCCGAATGACCTGTTGTTGTTTTTTGGGGGCGGGGGGGGCATTCTGTAGCCGCAATCTTGCATTTATTGATATAAGCATGCAATAAGATAATCGCAATCATTTAGGTCTCTGGTATTTTCCTGCAAGCTTTTTTTACTTGCCATGGGCTGCTTGCAAAAAGCATATTGAGCAGATTAATTGAAGAAAAAAAATGAGCTAATAACAAACGACTGTTTTAAATCATTCTATGTCAGTTATTATACATGAAATGTAAAAATCTTTCTTACCTTATCTCTTGCATTTGCACAAAATGCCATATCAGAATCAAAATTTCCATATGTATAAGGTTGCGGAACTTTTTCTGCTAAATTTTTCAAAGTGGTGCCTTTCACCAAATACACAGAGCTGATAAAAGGGACATTCCATACACCACTGAAAATGAAAACAATTTGGTAAAAAATAAAACTATAACTGAAAACCAGTGTTTAAAATTTGAAGCCAGGTAGTCGGCAATATTTATATTAACTTTTTTAGAACAAGCTTGAATAAGAATTTCTACTTTTGGTGGCAGTCGCCAAGTTCAGGTACAAAAATGGGTACTTCTGAAGTATGCGTACCAAGATGGCGGACACCGGAACGTAGTATATGTGTACCAGGTTAGGGTTAGGCCATAATTTTATTCCAATTTTTCCTATTTAAGTTCTATTACGAGTTCGGATACTAGCCAAGTGACTCCCAGAGTATTTGACCTGAAATTATGGCCTAACCCCAACCTGGTACACATACTATGTTTCGATGTGTACCATCTTAGTTCACATACTACGGGAGTACCCAAAAATGTTACTCGACTCCAAAATAGCATGTAAATTTCCAACTTAGAGGCATTCGCAATCTCAGTGTTAGAGGCACTCGAGTCACCAGTTACCAAAGACTCACAAAGTCACTCGAGTCATCTAAATGAAATGACTCGGACTCATTCTCAACTAATCGCCAGTGAGATTTAGAGTTAACTCAGTGATTGACTTTGGACTCAGTCTCGGATGACCCGCACCTCAACTTAACTCGCGACTGAGGATTTAGACTGTCAAAAATACAACTTCCAAGGGAAAGAGATGGGCAGTGTAACATACAGCTTCGTGATCATTGGATATGACTTTCATATCCATTCCAAGATAGAGGAAAGTTAACAAGAAGACTTAATCATATGACAAACTACCGACTTTTGTCCGATTACCAGACCATGTTGGGTATGGAAAGAGTTAGCCAGTTATTTGTTCGATATGCATCGACTTAATACAACCATTGTCCATTACACATGATGAAACCAGGAAATAATTTACAATTTGTTACTTACATTCTTTCATTGTTGACAATATCCATATAATCATCAGATCGAGCATAAAAACCATCGAGATTTAAAGCTCCCCAGAAATTGGACCATAATTTTCCAGGTCTTTTTACCAAAGGTGCAATGATCTGGAAAAATGAGACGCATAAATAATAGAATAGAGAAAGACTTATTTATTATAAATATTTAATTTTTAGCTGATAATCATTTTTTCATGACATTGAGGGTACATTTTGGCACAAGTTTATCGCCACCCTATTTGACAGCTGTCTTTTTTGGTGCCAAATAATTCTGTCTTAATGAACAAAGTTGATTAGCTGCTTTTGTGGAAGCACAATAAATTTGTTTTGATGAAAAAAATCTCAATACGATATATCAAATATAAGTTTGGGAATTTGTTTTTACATTTCAATGATCTTATTTTTCCAACACTTTTTGAAGCCAAGTGGCCAAGTCCAACTATTACACACAAATAACAGAAATATTTCTGAAAACACAGTAAAAAGAACCAACATTTTAAAGTTACTACCTGCTTGTTCTTTCTCATCAAATACTTGAGAGTGTTAGCATTTGTCAGTTGAACATTTGAATCAATACTGAAGTAGTAGTCGCACTTTATCAGGAGGCAGTGATCACTGTATAAGTAAATATATTTCATCAAGATGATGATACGTTGCAGAGTGGGAAAAACTACATGTCTTCAATCATTTATATTTCTAGCAGATTTGTGTTTTTTTTTTTCGGGGAGAGGTACTAAAGCTTCTCAAACAAAATGAAATTTAATGTTTATGGAAATAAAAAGATCAGATTCCAAGTTCCCATAAATTTCCTTTCAATGGTGTAGTCTAGCATTCATCCAGGGCCATCCTTAACACATGCCTGATTCAAATCCCATTCCAGTGTTGAGTAAATTGGGTAGGCAATGTCAAACAAAAAAGATTAGAGTCCACTCAAAAAAAGTACATCCTTAAATATTATTAGATATTAGTGGATATTTGTAAACTTGCACAGGGCCTTATTCGGAGTGAAAAACATAACAATCATAAAAAGAGGAAAAAATTGCAGCACGATTACATATCTATGGATGTTTGTACTGGGTCGAGTTACGAGGGAAAAGTGTAAGTAAGCTTTCTAACAATTGAGGCATGTACACTGACATATAGTTCCGGTCTATTGAAGTGACGAATTTGAACACTTCACACAGTGAGAAATTGACTGTTCTACCGATATTGCTCAATTGAACCTGTTTTTCACAGAATAAAATTGCTATCTTTTATAGAATATAGAAAAAAAATTAGTTTGTAACTTACACAGCTGAGTTCCTCACAGTCCAATCATCAATGTTATCATGATATGATATAGTGTGTACATTGTTATAGGAGCTTCTGTATTTCATTAGAAATTGGGAAACTGTTCTTTCCTCGACTTTGTCCTTAAAACAAATACAACAACAATACAATCAATTTTCCAGAGGGCGTTACTTGTGAAAAAAATAGATAATTGGGAAAGAGTTACGATTAAGATTGATTTTGATAAATGGAAGCTCAGTGTGGAATGATTGTTACCACATTAACATGTAGTAAAACGAAAAGTGTATTATATATATATATATATAAAGAGTTACTAATGAAAAAGGTTAAAGTATTAAAGTATATAGTATTTTTTAAGAAAAAAACTTGATGATAAGATAGAATAAGATGTCTACATGCATTTGGAGAAAAGAAAACAAGAGAGTGATACAATAGTACATGGACACAAAGGTCAAAACATAAAAGTATCAAATCTTTTCACTATCGATAGTCTGACCATCAGATCACGGAGATGTGATTATGGAAAACGAGCACACAATTTTTAATTTTGATGACATCATCGCACAAAATTTTGATGTGGAAAACAATCCAATAGAGCCTAAAGATATTTTTCTAGTGACAACAACAAGATCTAACAACGGAAAATTTCAAAGCAATTAGTCGATGAAAAAAGCGAACAAAGTATTAACAAATCGATCAATAGGTCACTTCATGTCCAACAAATAAAATAGCCTAACTATATGGCAAACATGACCTAATATATGGTTACCAGTCCATGACAGGTAAGGGAATAGTTAAAAATATTTTGTTTTATATGCATGAACTTAATGGTGGAGGAAACCTAACCGATCAAACAGTACATGAACAACTTATGTAAAGTAGCTATAACAATTGCAAAGTAGAGCGATATGCTCATTTGAGTTTTAATAGAGTTTAGGGACACAAACATATCTCTGTAAGGATTCAGAAATCATCCGTAACAGGAAAATGCAATGCTGCAAAGCAGAGTACATCTACTAATGGTCGGTAAAATATCTACTCCTTAATGTTACTGCAATTAGGCAGCAAAATATACATTATGATTGAAAAAAAATCATTTCATAGCATATTCAGAAAATGAAACACAGGGAAGCTCCATACCACTTATCAGTAAATAAACAGCAAAATCCCTGTTATAGTATAGTAGCCATAGTACCGCAATTTGTTCGAAATATTAAAAATGAGAACTAGCAGTATTCACTTGCAGTATTCAAAGCGCATTTTTTTATGTTTCGAAAAAATCTTTATAAAGTCAAATTTTCGAATCTGCTTTGGATGTAACCAAACAATTATACTATGCCATCATAATGTCCACTTACTGTTTCAAAATTTTGGTAAAGTTAGTTCTAAACATGAATTACCCAAGTTTCTTTTGTTTCAACAAGTGTTTATTTGAGTTTCTTTCACTTCCTTTAAATACCTTTATATGTGCACCATTGGTTGCACGAAGCACATCAAGTTTATTTAACACATTAAATGATGAGACTTTTTTATGAACTACTTGTATATCTTACCGTGATATGAATGAATAGACTTATTCTTGATTTTGCATAACTTATGTTGGCAATTCGTTCGAAAAATTTTGATAGAAATGGTGTTCCCTCAATGACAAATATACCCATCATAACATGTGGAGTTGAATCCTGAAAAATATAAATATATACGTATAGAAAAAAAAAGATGTCAAGACATTTTAATTCATCGAAAATAGAAAAAATAAAAAAAATAAAAAAAAATAAAAAAAAACAGAACTTATCAATTTCCTAATTACTTCCAGGAAATGGTAGAAATTTTATTTAACACTTGAATTTCCGTTTTTGTAAATTTGTAAATTTCAGTAATCTAGGATCCTTTGCACAAAGTTATGTTTTTCCTAGTATATGCTCCAAATGACATGGTTTCTGCTGTTTTATGTCACCATGTAGTTGTAACAGCAAGAGTACTAAAATATCACAGTCAACACACATTCTAAAAGTCTAATACCAGAGATAAGTCAATAAATATGACAGGATATGCATTGTTCGTCTAAACATGAATAGCTCTGACAATCCCTCTATTATTTACCAAATAATGTTTAGAAACAGCTTTGAGCAAATTCTCAAAAAATGTATCATGTAGGGATGGGCAATTAATAAGAATATGACGGAAAGTTTCTTGGATCTAGAAGTATCAGTGAGATAGATAATGGGATTCGGTTTATGCCTTTTTGACATTGCGCAGCGATTTTCGCATTTTGATTACATTATTCATCAATCAGAGACCCACGCTTTCACTTGTACCATACTCTTTGTACTCTCTACTCTCTTTAGTTCCTTGTGTTTTCTAGAGAAACTCTCGCAATCATATTTAGCTATTTGTTATTAAACTAAGTTTGAAATAGACTGTCAAAATAACAGAGCGTATTAAAATAAATGAAAGTGAAATTGGAGCAAACCTCGTCTTCGAATTCAAAAATAATTTGATCATCTTCACAATTCTGACAGCCATGATCAGGGTGCCAACCATCAGGTGCATAATTCGCAAGATAATTAAGATGAAACTAAAATGGAAAATATTAAAAAATATTTATACAAATCAAGTACAAATCAGAAATCAAATTTTCAATATACTGGCTTTAAAGCATTATATATAGATTACAATAGTAGTTTAAAGATCTTGAAAGTGATCCTTTAAAGTTCATTCATGTAACTCGGATCACTTTAATCAGAGTGTGGGAAATTGTGTTAAAGTAAGCTCAAGTACTCTAGGCATTTCAGGGGTAGTAACTTAGTATGTGTAAATGGTGTGGTATACAGACTTTTCGGGCCACAAAGGGGCAGGCCAAACTCATATGCAAATACACATGAATTTATAGGACATTTTAGGCATAGTTTCTGTGTGACTAAGAACTGCAGTGTACTGGTGCCAGCAGGTTAACGATATATGTCACCCTGGTGGCGAATATGCTAAAATACTATATGAATTTACATATATATTATTATTAAATATTATTATTTTCAAACAAACCCCAAGGTGACTGAAAATATAACCCTAAAACCACAAATTTTCCTGTTTTCCATGTGATGGTACGAAAAGTTCGTGGACCAAAGCCTCTTAATTTGAAAAGTTTGAATGGCTGCTGATACAAAGTCTGGTATTAGTTAAGCTGGACCGGTAACACCTCACTGAAAGAGACAAATTATGACCGACAAATATCACAATCACACATAGAAACATATGATAAACAAAATAAAAAATATGATTCTGTTGTATTTAGAATGGACCCAAATATTTTCTGTACTTTTATTGTCATACTATGTGGTACAAGTACTTACCTTTGATGGTCCATTGCCATGGATAACTGGTGGGATCGTATCATATTTAGTGTTTTTAATGACCATCATTTTGTCTTGAACTTCAAGATCAATTTCATCTGATAAATAAAATATTACATACTTTTTAAAATTGCCTCGGAAAAAAGTTCTGAACAAGTAGTCACTATTACATACGGGGTGGCTCAAAAAAGTCTGCTACTTCTACGAATATTAAGAAAATTTATTTAACATTCTGTTTGTGTATGATTGTACCCAAAAGTTTGCACATATGGTAAATTCTCTCAAGAATTTGTTCCAAACTTCAAAAAAAATTTTGTCAAATATGCTGATATTATGATTTGTCTAGTATAATTCACATGAAAATCTCAGCTATATAGTCAGTTGGTTACTTCAACGAGTTTTAGGATTACATGGTTTCCATTTGTCACGAAGCAAACTTGAAATTGTAGCCTACACCAGTAAAAACACACACTGTTCTTAATTGTAAACAAAATGTTGATATTTATCGTTACAATTCTTACCCTTAGCAAAATTTAAGTTGTGAAATATATGACTGGTATGATCCAATGTTGCATTCAGTTCAGTCTGGAAAAAAATTTAAACATTGAATAATATTTTAGAAGTTTATATTAAAAATAATCCAAAGATATTAATACCAATATGTAAAAATACCCTATACAAACTGTGATTTTTTCATGTACAATATTAAAAATGAATTTTAGACACCTACTACGTCTATCTAATTGAAGATTAAGAAATGACAGGAACATCAAATTGACTGGACAATTAATATTGAACAAGAGGGCAATCCACAAATATTTTGTCCAATAGGACTCGAGTAAAATTGAAAAATTGAATCAAAAAGTACAATTTTAAAAACTTTCATCAAATATAAGACTAACCCTTAAAGTAGCATTCAAATAAACATGAGTATAATATAATTGATCATCATCTGTATTAGAAACTTTCCATTGATTAATCGTTTTCCAAAATTCTTTGGCATATCCGATGATTCCACCAGAACATAAAAAGCGTTTTCCTCTTTGGACTACTGGATATTTACTCTGTAAAGCAAAATTGAACTTGTTAAGAAATCCATGAGGTTGACAGAAATAACTTAAAAATGCAAATAAAGAAGTAATCACTGGAAAGTAATCGCCTTGCTGCACACTGACACAAATGTGTATTGTATTGTTTTATTTGACCAAGATTATGTTTCCTTGTACAAGAAATAAATTTGTGTTTGCTAGACATGTAGTAAGCATGCAATGATATAGAATAGTCTTCTCGGTTCTTGCTATGGTATTGCAATATATGAACACACACTGAAAAAATTCGGTAGTTAGTTGATCATAACCCCAAATATTGTTACATTGATCACTCTTTGAAAATAGAATGGGGGAAATTTGATATATATAATGTTACATTTTATAATGTAGAATAAACCTTTAACATTGACATATTTTTACTAATTTTTTAATAACAATTTGGCCTTACTAGAGACTATTCAAAATATTAAACACAATGGAGCAAATATAAAGATTTACCTGTAAACTTTTATCAGGCCACAATGTATTCTCAGCTGAAAAAACCATCCTTGCATTCAATTCGAAAAATTTGTTCAAAATATTTTCTGTGTCTCCAAGTAAGATTACATCATAGCTATATCATGCAATAAATAATATGAAATATTATAAACCATAAAACCATTAAATACTTGAGGTTTTCCCGTTTCACAGACAATCAATTACTTTAAAAATTAAATTTTCTAAGTATGTAGTGCATTGGCCCAATTATTCTGACGGTAATTTGAAGATATTTAAAGTGATGGTTAAATTGCAAAAATTATCAAATTTCCAATGCCTGACTAAGAGTACAAACACTTGAGTAGACCAATGGTTCTCAAACGTTTATCTACCACTTCCCTCACACCACTAGTCCACTACACACATCATCAATGCCTACCAACAATACAAATAAAAAGCTATTACAAACTCAAATAAACAAGTAAGTCTTAAATCACCCCATTCGCTAATGAAAAATTGATTTCTCCGTTTTTATAGAAATAGGTTTACAACAACTTTTTCTACAAAGACATCCTCAAAAATATTTACCGCCCCTTCCTGGTTTTGCACCATGTTGGCGTTATTGCCTGCTTATAAAAAGTAAATACATTATTGCTTACAGTATATTGAAATTTATCCATAGCAAAAATGTGAATCACTTTCTTATAACTGAGGATGAAAATAATTCAATATTGTGGAGCCACCGTAATTAGATTTTTCAAGCTGATCATAATGTTGTTTACCTGTCAGTAAACATGATTACAAGATCTTCAGAATCTTTATATTTTCTTAATCCCTCTTGAAGAAAAAGAACTTTTTGTCCACCCCCAACTGAATTTACCAAATCGCCGCCAAGCCACTTTTCATTCATTCCCAGAACCTGAATATATAGAAAGAAGTAATGTTTAAGAATCCCATGCCCACCCCCCCCCCACCGAGGGTGCACCAAATCAAACTATGGCAGTTTGTTACTTGGCCATTTGTATCAAGATTTTTTGATAATATAAATACGTTTTATAAAAACCCTGTTCATAAATTAACATGAAATAAAAAAGAATTCCGTATTCACCAAAACATCATGTTTGAAGTATTTAGCAGTATGCATAAATCTTTTATAACCATCATTTTGTTCTGTTGCCACAGTGACGATCAATAATTTCACTTCTCCTGAAATAAAAATAACATTCAATGATGTATTGGATGTAGAATTTAAAAATATAAAACACCTAATACATAGATATATAATATACAATTATTTGTAACTAAGTTTGGCTGCATGGTGTAAGAAGATTAAATTATGCCTAAGGCAGAAAATAAACGCACTAGCTTTTGTTAAATATGCTTGGTACATTACTGGTAACAGTTGAAAAAAATGATTAAACAACATCTCAAAATGTTACCTGGGTTATGATCTTGTGCAAAAGACTGGAGCACGCTCACAAAAAGCATGATGGCTATAATTCCATGCATTTTGCCTTGCTATATAATGTACAATTTGTTTCTGTTGACAAACTGCTACAAAACTAGGCTACAAGTATGAAGTGAAATAAAGAAAAATTAAAGACTGGTGAAATTTGGCAATATTATTTGGTATTTGGGTATTATTACGATTTTAATTGCACTATTTTTTATTTTAACTATTTAATTATGTTTTTGTTAAATGTTTAACTGCTTCCACAGATGATTAATTAAGTCAAAATAAAACTAACATAGCCTATTATTAGGGTATTCCTGTATTTGGATATTATTATAATTGCTAACTCGCTTGTATTTAAAGTCTATCTCAAACGTTTCAATACCCAGATACAGCAATAGCCATTCTCTAGAATTGTCTACAATATAACAAGTATTTTTGTATTGTTGTACTGTATAAATTGTGGAATGCTAATGCAGTAATGACGCACTGAAATCGCATATTTTGCTTCATGGGCAAAACTGTTGGACTGTAAAAATTCAGTCTGCGGTTGAACACGGCTTAACAAGTACCGGTATCGAAGTTCTGTATTTTGGGTTGCAATACTGCAATAGAATAGAGCGATCAATTTCATACTTCAGTACTTTCCCAACTATCCCTTATTAAAATGCGCTATACTAAGATTATATACCTCAGTACCATCATAGCGTAACAATGTTGACTAAATACACAAATGTTGCGTCCCATTTATATGGGTCAATTTTAACGAGTCTATAGCAAGACTCAATCGCTAAGTCCGTGCGAAGCCTCACAAGAGACCGCAACATTGTTTGGCGAGACCGATTTCCTGCAACGTCTGATAAAGAATCAGCACGCTACATTGCGTTCGCCGGTTGAATCACGTCCGCAGTGCAAAAGGTAACGAAGCGCTAAAACAAAGAATGTATCAAAAAGGAGAGCCCGCCCACTGAGTGACCCAGTTATCGCTTCAATTTTATAATATTAATCCGTTGTTCAATTATCACCAAATTGATTAGTGAGCAGTTTTACTTGGCTTGAATATAACCAGGGGTTTCCCCGACCGGATCTGTATCTATGATGTAAAGCAATGTGACGTCACACTGCTTACATATACACGTAGTTACCATTTATTAATTGCCTCCGGCCCAATTCTGCGTATCGTCCATCTTACCATGACAAAGCAATGTTCAGTTCCACATTGCATCTTCCACTTTGCCTTTAGTGCGATTGAATATGTACTAAATATTCTCATTTTCAGGACAATCGTGTGTCAGCCGAAAACTAGACAACGATAAAAAAAATTGAAAATAATACCATTTATTCCACGATTGATTACTTCCAGTCATGCAAAAATTTCAAGTTTCAAGTGACCCGCAGTGGACTGACGGGTTAAGGACGATGGTCGTCTCATATGAAATTTATATTGAGGATAAAACTATTGGTAACCTGTAGAAATATGTTATGTATTTAACTGACCATCTGCACACTTGGGCCGCTTTATGGATATTCAAATACAATTAATTTTAGTTAGGAATGGAAGTGCGATGTCACGCCTTGAATGTAGGGGGGGGGGGAGGTATTTGAAGTTTTAGGAGAGGTGTTAACCCCCTAATGGGGGTAGGGAAATCACTGCCACGTATATTATATAATCATTCGAATTCGCCTCCAATCTAGTTAAGTGGATACACGATAATAATTCTATTGTTGTCGGTTCATTAATTGCGCCCATCCTGTACCATGAATCTTGCCTCTGGCTAAAATGCTGCGAAAAATGTTTAGTTCCACATTGCAACTTACAATTTATCGGACACGTCAGTGTACATAACGATCGTTTCAATATTATGTTGTTGTTCTTGTTTTTCTTCTCATTCGTCATGATAAAATCACGTTTCTCTTCGAATACAGGACCAATTGCTTTGAAATTTTCAGTGGTTAAAGATTGATTTTCCGCCAGAAGGCTATTACTTTCACTTATTTCAAAAATTTCTGTTGACTTCAAGAGATTCGTTTTTTATGTGTCAGAATAAAAAAATAGCGACACCTTGTGCCGCATTATATGACATAAATTTGTTGTCCAATTGGAGCAGATCGAAAAGTCAATGACAATAGTCATGACAAAAGTCATGACAATAGTCTTTCACTAGTGATACAAATCGGATTTCATATAAATCGGTCTCTCAATTTGAGCTTCTTGAAAACTGACCTATTAAAGGTTGAAAAATGTACGACTATTTCCAGCACGCAAATTTTAAACAAAAAGTATATCATATTTACAGATCATAGATGAAACATTTTGGGCCAACCAAGGTCATAGGTCGTTCAGCACATGAATGTTAGCGTCATCAATCAATCGCCACAATCTCTAAATATAAAATGTGTTGTCATGTGTTGTAAAAAAACGAAGCATTTGACGACTTGAGCTCGATCTTACTAGTCCAGTGGTTTCCAAACTTTCTTCAAGCGACCCAGATTTTTTGAATGTAGTAGTGCTTTTATGGACGCTAATTACTAACTTAAAACAATCCTTTTTTTAATTAACATGAATAATTATTTTCCAAAAAATTACTTGAAAGTTGCGCTGGTTTACCATTAACGGGTTTTTGAAATAGTGGCTGCAAAATAGATACTGCAAAGTTATCATGATTGTGATCCTTCCCACGTTTACAATTACTAATGAGCAACATTTCAATACCAAAGTAAAATTGAAAAATCTAGTAAAATCAATAACTTTCAAGTTTGTGATGAAAAAACAAGCGACCCAAAAAGATTTCCGGGTGACACTGCACTAGTTCAATCCAGTTCTCACTGAAAACATATCGTTTAGGCTTTGTACATTCCAATAATTTATGTTGTATTCGGAGCCCCGAGAATGAAGCGCTAAATTTCTAATAGACCTTTGTGTACTTGTAAAACAGTTCGATTGAAATTTAGAGATTCGTGGATGTACCGGTAGTATATATAATTTAATTGTACACACTACACACTATAGATATTAACAAGGTGGGAAAGTTGAATCGAGGCTGGGATAACTTAAAGCTTCTGAAAGCATGTCCGAATGTGGAGAACCCACACCAGTATCCCACATAGTTTCGGAGTCAGCATACATTTACACTTTTGCATTGTGCTTTATAACAATTGCTTGAGTCAGTGCACGCTGCCAAACCGTATCGATCATGATTAATGAAGGATAATAGCGCGATAAGCTGACTATTGTTTTTCACAGAATAACGTAAGCGTATTCCGCGTCTCGTTACGAGATAGTAAACAATGCAGATTGATGTCAAGTGAGACTTGCGACGCGTAAATCGCTTAGCTTGCGTTAATAACTAACTACTCTCCTGATTTGAAGCGAGCAGTTCGCGACTAACCTTTGGTCGTGTGCATTCAAGAGTCGATAAGCTGCAGCGTTTGTATAGCAGGAAAACTTGGTTTCCAATATGCAATTCGCTCCTCTGACAACACCGTGGGCAAGAAGATTTCAGACACTTGGAGCTCTTCATTACGTAGTATCCTTCATATTTCTCGGTAAGTTGTTATAATATTGATATATGCCATATGGCATTGTTCTATTCCAAATTTTACTGGTTACGGAAAAGCATTTTGTCTAAAAATGTAAATGTTCACATGATATCGGGAAGTTGTGAGACAATCAGAAGTAACGACATCGATAAAGAAACGACTAAATTTATTATTACTGCTACAGAAACGTTGCATTTTCAAATTAAATTATATTCAGTATCCCGTGATAATACTTAGGCGCTATTTACCGTTATGAACTCTACCAATTAGGCCTACAATACCTACAAGGCTCTGTGATAAAATAGCTTTTATATGGGCTACGATTATTTACACAACTTCACTTTTCAGCTCAAATTTGTCTGGCATTTTTCGTGTACACATTCTTCACTAGAATATGGCCGCTCTCGGTGATATACCTTGTTTACATGTGGTTCGACTGGAAAACGCCGGAACGCGGTGGTAGGCCAATCTACGCTATAAAGAATTGGGGGATTTGGTATGGAATGCGCGATTACTTTCCTATAAAGGTGGGTAGACATCGATCTATTACTCATATAGATGAAAAACGGTATGAAACTGTTCAGAGTCAGAGCACATTTAGAACTAAATCGACATTACTGGAACCGAACGACTCCATTTTCATAATCAAACGAAAGATTCCTGTCCACCCAAATCAACGAATTTACAGAAAATAAAATATTAATATATAGTCCCTATCTATTTATCAATGTATGTAATCCTGCTACGTCGACCGGTATTTTTTAAACTTTAGAGTTTCGTGCATAAAAATATTCATTGTTATACATTGCCATCATAATTTATATAAACTTATATTTCAACAATTCAAAAATATCAGCAAAAACAGTCCTGTAGGAATATTGTCATAAAATCTTAGAAAGTTCAAATTCATTTACAAATCTGATTAAGTTGGATCTACGTCAGGTATTTGGATATACGAGGAATAAATTTAGTTATTTGATTTAAGTTATGTTATTTGATCATGCTTATTTGCAGATTCACAAAACTGCTGATCTCGATCCTCGTCGGAATTATCTGCTGATCTGTTACCCGCACGGGGTACTTTGTCCTGGAACATTTCTCAATTTGACTAGTGCCGTAACCGACACTCACAAATTATTTCCGGGCTTCGACAGTTACCTAACAATGTTGCCTTTCTGGTTCAGGATTCCACTATTTCGTGATTATATCTTGTCAGGATGTGAGTACATTTTTACTTATTCTTACAAACGTTTTCAATTCAACTTACGCCTTTTCAAATATTTATAACCTGAAATTATTTCATATTGAACGTATATATATATTGTCGAATAAAGAGTTCCATCAAGAGTTCATCGAAGTTTTCGCAGGTAAAGTTTGAACGACAATTTATTCCATGGCACTGGCTCAAACCTGCATGTTCCATTAATTTTATCATTTTTAACTAAATCCATACATCCTAATTAAAAGCACACAGTTATTATGAAAGTAGGTAATGATTCATTATTTATCAAAGCGTTACACAATGGAATTATATTGTTTTGCAATCATTATAATATGGTCGCTCACCCGATACAATTTACTCGTACTAGTTATATTAAGGAATTTTTAATTGGCAAATAATAACTTTATGCAGCTCTGGTCTCCTCTACAAAGGCTTCAATAAAGCACCTTATCACTAAACCCAAAGGAGGTAATTTAGTGGGAATTCTGCCAGGTGAGACATTTTTTTGTTTAACATCAAGTTCTTATTTAAAGAAATTCAAATATCACAATTCTGATCGAAATATTTCAAAGTCCCATTTTTCGTCCTGTGTCAGTAATCGCAGATTAATAACCATCTGAGTTGTTGTAACCTTTGACCTTGACTCTTTTTGCCTTCTGGATCAAAGGCTTTTAAGGCGACAAAGATTGTTCAATCAATTTTGAAAAATTATGTCAAGAACAAAGCAGTTACCGTTTTGTAACCCGATCCCACTGATATTGAATATAACTGTGATATTTACTTAGCGTCAATGCAATCTGGGGTTATGCAAACAAAAGGTAAATCACGGTCCGAAGTTGTTCAATATAGCCATGGTCTCGTTTAGTTTGTTATATGGCCAATACAGACAGTTTATCACTCACTCTTTTGTGAAAGTGAAAACTGAGGCTAAGTGACATACGACATTAAATCGTGCAGACGTCAGCTCAATATGTTCTGTGTAGATGACAGCCCTGTGTCCTTGCTAAACACTCCAGGATCTGAACTTCCTTGAATTTCGCATCGACTACAATCGCCCCTTGGGTAGTGTATATTAAAACTATCAACGACAAAGTAATTGAAATTTACCATATACGCATAAATGTTACAGCAACATCATTTAATGTGTCTAGAGTTATTGAGAATTGAGTAAGCATACATTGATACATATGCATGCTGAAATTTCTTGATCACTAAACTTATCATAAACATTTAGGCGGTGCACCAGAATCTCTTGACGCCAGACCAGGCGATGTAAAGATTATTGTTCGACAAAGAATGGGATTCGTGAAAATGGCTAAAGTACACGGGTAAATACTATTATCTATGGGCAACCTTTCTTTTCATTAATCAAGAAGAATTTAGGTAAAAGATTTTGAATGATTTTGGGTGTCGCTGCTCGATAACCAGCTTTGGTTCCTCGCGACTTCCCCCCTTCCTCGGTAAAATTGTAAGATTATCTCTTTTCTGAATGTTGTATGCGATTGTCTTTTGCTGATTGGATAAAATAAACTTGACTTGTAAAATGCATGTTAGCTTTCATGTCATCAACCTTATAGCATACTTGTCGCAATGCCTTACTGTCAGAATGCTGGGTGTTTATGTTAGCAACATGCGTTGGAGATATAGTATTCAAGTCTTATATACTTGCGGTTCATAAGCAGAAGACTTGCGAATGTTTTTCTTTATTCTTTTTTATATGTTATAATTTATAGGCATCTTAATGTACTTAGGATTTTATCAAATGTGTTGCTATCAAGTTCATCTTGTCCTTTAGTAATGTTCTTCAAATGTCAACGTTTCAACCCGGTAACTTCAGTTGCAGTTAAAGCGTGGTTATTTGGATTGCCCGTATTATGTTATTGACGAGAGTTGACTTTTCAGTGTTCCCCTCGTTCCTTGCTTTTCCTTTGGAGACCACGAGTTGTGGGATCAAGCAGAAAATCCACCAGGATCTAAACTCAGAAGATTTCAGGAATTTTCCATGAAGTATTTAGATGTGGCTTTCCCAGCGTTTCATGCCAGAGGGATATTTCAATACAACTATGGCTTACTTCCACGAAGACGACCCTTGAACTTTGTCGGTAAGCATATATGGTTGCGTTTTGAATCACCGATGAATGACGCTGTATAAGTTTATACTATTGTCTGCATATGTTTCGAAATTATGAACCGGATTAGGTTGTATAACAGAAACTCTAGTGTATTTGATTAGTAAGAAGATTGTGATGGACGAATCCTATATAAATAAATGACTTCAGAGTCAATGACATAAGGCAGGTATGTTCAATTGTAATCCTGTACTTGGAGTAAATAATCATCTCAATGCATATACTCAAATATAGAAAACTCGTCTCGAGGAAAACTATGTTTTGCAGTTAGTATTGACAAAACTACTGCTACTACTATCGCGATATCAATTTGGTTGATTGTATTTTTTATTCTACAGTTGGAGCCCCAATCGAAGTGGAAAAGGATCCAAATCCATCGAGTGAAGAGCTTGTGGCCTTGCGGGAGAAATACATAGAAAAATTGGAAGAACTTTTCAACAAACACAAAACAAAATATCTGAACGAAGATGTTAAATTGATTATATCATAAATATAATGACCGATCAATTCGATTATCACCAAGTATCTACAAAATTGCTGATTTGTTAAAAAGATTTTCATTTGTCTTGCTACTAATTAAAAGAAAAATAAATAAATAAATTCCCTAATCGCAAATATAATATAAGCAGGCTTGTCCATGGAACATATTTTTCTGTCCCATTCCCATCCTATGGGATTCCCATTGGAATACAATTCAATAAAAAATGTTAAATTTAGTTTTAGCGTCTACTAAATAAGACTACATGTACGAAGAGACCTGCAAAACAACAAAATTTACAGGATTTGTCAACTTCATATTCATAACTATTATACATGTGTCCATGCTGATGCTGAATATATTTTGCTCTTTATAACTAACAAGACAGCTATGCTCAAATATATGGACACAAAGTCCATATCGAAATGTTTTATCATTATTTCCCTGAAAACCATACGGTTTTCGTGTCCCATGCATTTAATACAAATGGACAAGCTTGAATATAAGTCTAGTGAGCACGCTTGCAAAATAAGCAACACACTTCTCCAAGATAAAGAGTTTAATTTGTGATTTATTATATGGGGTTTTTCATTTTCAAATGTATAATAAATGATACCTTAAGACTTTATGTGCATTATAATAATATTCGCATGTTTAGAAGTTGAATGAATATACTGCTCATATTTACGTAATTACACACTGTTTAGAGTGCAGCTAATGCGCTTTCTTATTTATTAAAGTGTAATTATGATTATAAATAGTTCCTCAGTAGCGGTCACAGATATGAAACTGTATCAGTAGGAAACATATATATACGCGATCGGGGCTTGTCTATGCAGAGGCGCTTCATTTTGAGTTGAAAGATTATGACCTTGTTCTGCGTAATACTAAATGAAAATGTTACGATTATCCAAGTCAAGAAAAGACTATGTCATTACCGTTCAAATTTTGAATGTCTCAACCTAGTATTATACTGATGTTAATTTATAAACTAGTTATCATTTCTGCTATCGCGCAATGTTTGATTTTTTGTCATTAAATCTTTCGCCTGCACATGCATTGATTTTTCACATATACGTCCTCGTGGGGACTGCCCAATACCCCGTCAAAGGTACAGAGTCTGAGCGAAAATACTTTTGCGAAATTGTTCATTTGTCTAAATACATTTGTCTAGAAAACTCTAAAATTTATGTGGTATCGAATCTATGTACGTCTCTCTTTACTTGAATCAACTATCGGTTTTTTCCTATTAAATCGAAGAACTTTCAAATTCAAGATGGCGCGACAGTTTGGTGGCAAATAGCATGTGATTCATACAAAAACGACGCGTCAAAATTGTCCATGAATATGTATGCCCAGCGTTGAATCTGCCTGTCTGGATATAGTGTGTTATTTTCTGATTGTTTTGAAGTGTGATGTCGTGAGCGTTTTCAAATGTACTCCTCCGAAAAGCCAATAATAGAGTTTTCGCAATCCAAATTTCGTCATCACGGAATCAGAACGTGTATACTAATTTTCGATTTGATTTCCAATTTTTTGCAAACATATCATGTAGCCTGCAGGGGTGGGCAACGTTTTCGGACCGGGGACCAAAAAATTTGCCCACCTACACTGGCGGGCCACCTAAATTTGACGTAAAAAGTTACATTTTATGAACAATATTTCAGTGTTACGAAAGTAATAGTGGAAAACAATAGGCCTCGGATTTGGCCCGCGGGCCGTAATTTGCCCATGTAGATGTAGAGTCAAGCATATATACTGCAAGTGCATACAATACTTGCACATAAAATCCATTGACTGTGTATTTAAATTATTCAAATGACAGTATATGTATATAACGTTACCTTAAATACGAATAATTTTATTTATAAATTCTAATTCACCGTAGTTGTGCAAAATCATTTAGAACTTATACAGTTTAAATTAAAAGTTTTATTTTTATAATAATCTTTGCAAAGAAACAATCACAAGCAAACAAGAGTTTTTATTAAAAAAAATTCTTAATTAAAGCTGTAACTGATAAACACCTAATCCGCGCAAATTTGTTTGTCTTTATCATCGCCAAAACAAAAATCCACAATTTAGGACAGTGCAATCTTTTTTGAAAGGTTTCAATACATTAAAAATAACACGCACTGTAATTTTCGTATTTACATTCAATTAGTACATATTGTTTCTTCCTGTTAATTAAGCATACTGTGTATGCGACAAATTTTTTAAAATGCAAGAAGCATCAGTGATGCAAATGTATATTATGTAAGTAATAAGTAAACGGAGACTAAAAATGCGAATTCACATGGATTGGATGAATATATAAATATTTATAACATAAAATTGCGCGTAGCTGCAAGAATTTGGGAAAAGGTTTAAAAATAAGTAAGCCATTGCATGTTACACATTCGATTGCACTTGGTTCTGAAATACGATTATTCTAAATTTGCAAAAAGCATAAATGTATAAAGTAAAAATAATAAATTTAAAAGCGAATCAAATATGCCAATCTCAAAATATGTCCGGTATTTACTGGTCAAAACAGGCCCACATCTCATTCAAGTGATAACTAAATAAGTAAGCTGAGACAAACCCAAAAGATGTTTGTTTAGCCCGGGTTTTTTGTTCAGAGAAACGATATGAAGACATCTCATATATGTATCGAATGAAATTGAAGAATTCAAAACTCAAATTATGTCAATATTAAATATTTCAAATAGTCTTTGAGAAAAATGAATCGATTTAATTATTAGGTAGAATTTAGGAAAAAATTCCGTAAAAGTGGCACTAACGATTTTTGACGCAACACAGTATATATACCAATATTGTCTGCATGGCATTTTTATAGCATTAATTCGCATAAAAATCAAACAGTCCAAATGGAATTTGCTAATTATTTTAGCACGAAGTTAAAACCATCTCGAAAATTTTCTAATTCTTGAATCAAACATTAACTTAATTCAATAAAGGCACTGCATGCTATTTTAGCTGACTAATGACAACAATTCAAAAAGCATGGTACAAATTTTACAGGATGCTCATTTTATTCCTTTCGCTTCCAAAGTTTGACGAAGAAGAGGGAGATAATTTGGATCTGGGTATCCATTGCTGTCAAAATATAATAATATTGCAATATTAAAAATACTTTGAACTAGAAAAAACAGTTAATGAGAAAATATTGAAAGCACCGGAAATTTTTTTAGTCTGATAATAACAATTACCGGTACTCCCGAAGTATGTGAACCAAGATGTCGGACACCGGAACGTAGTATGTGTACCAGGTTAGGCCATAATTTTATTCCAATTTTCCTTATTTTAACTCTATTACAAGTTCGAGGACTAGCCAAGTGACTCCCGTAGTATTTGTACCTGAAATTATGCCCTAACCCTAACCTGGCACATACTACATTCCGGTGTCCGCCATCTTGGTTCACATACTTCGGGAGTACCCAATTATCAGTAGACCTACTATCAATCTTAAAAATTGAAAAGAATTTATTAAGAGCTTGCATTTGACTTCATATATATACAGCACAAATTCAATTTATAAACATACAAAGAAGTTTGACAAGAGGATGTCTGATTAAAGTATTTATCAGCCAACGATCACTCAATATTTTGAGGTACATTACGTTATCGAATTTTGCGTTTGTCTTACGTCCTTTGGCTTAATTGGACAACAAGACGGGTTAACGATACTTTTAATTAATAATACGGCGATAAATGGACATAACAAAGTAAGTACTGACTTTTCTGGTCCTCCATCTTGTCTTGTTTTATGTGGTATATCATTCCAGACAATTCTTCCCTGTCCGCTTGCGACTTCATCAATTTTAAAAGTCAGGCCATTTATAAAGGCTTGTCTTAAAAGAGCGGCAAGATGTTCTCCAGTGGGATCGTTGGGCAAATAAGCAGTGAATTCTTTGCTGAGATAAGAAATCCCCTAAATATAATATGCGATTCAATTTCATTTAAATTTACTATATATATCACTGCCCAACGCAAATGCGGTCGATTCTGTATAATGAGTCTAGCAACAGCCGTGCGATAGGCGCAGCGTATCGACCATCCTCGCAAATAAATTTCTTTACCTGAACCACATTAGGCACAAAAGTCGCAATGAAAATGTGGGATTGCCGCCAATGAATATTTCCCCAATAATCGACTTCTTTGTTTATTTTGGTGGTAATGACCAGCAAGCAGTAAAGTAACGAGGATGTAAGAGTTGAAAATTCGGCTGCCGCTCAGATCGTTTAGCTTGAGCACCTGGATGGCTCAGACACGATTTTTACGCTGATAAAGTTGATCGTTGTCCTGGTTTTGCTTGGTATTTACCAGAATTTAGTTCTGCGTGGGAACTTCAGTTAGAAACCAATTAGCTGGATGGTCAGTACGAAGAGTTTTAGTTTAGTTACAGTAGACACAAATTAGGGCCAGAAGTGTGTGTTCCAGTATGTATGTAACTAATTTTGTTCGCCTCCTAACATCAAGTTGTGTAAAGGGATTGAAAGTTATGTGCAGGGGGTATATTCACTTGGCTAACACAGGCAGTCCCCGAACTCGTAATGGAACTAAAATAAGGAAATCTAACTAACTCGAGTAAATGCTCTCAAAATACCCATACGAAATTTGTAGTGGCAAAGTATACCAAAAAATTTTTAGGGGTCATGGGTCGAGGAAATGACGCATAATTCATTTGCAACATAGGTGGTAAAGGCATTGATGATATAGGCATATAAAACCAAAAAAAGTCTCTAGCAACACTTTTACCTAAATGTTTCTTACGTTTAATGTACCGCTGGGGAAAGAATATTCAATCTCAATACATCCGCTTTTCTTGCAGCCTTGTAGTGATTCAAATACTAATTTTTCAATAACAATATTGCCAATTGGCTGATATTTTGCTGCACTTCGTGTTGCTGAAAATAGAAATCTGAATGATTACTTTTAGATAAGAGTGTATTATTTTTAGACCGCCGGATAAGCCTTCACGGCACCCCAAGTTCAGTCCATAATCCACTCGTGTGGAATCCGCAAATATTAAGTAATTAACCGAAGGCACCAAAGATATCGGAGCATAGGCTGAACGCGCACTAAGTATATTATTTCACACGAAATACGAAGAGTAAAGTTTAGAAAACGCCAATCCCTGCGTTAGACTTACAATTGAATTCCACAAGCTATTCCTATAGCTATTTTGATACTTACTCTCTTCATTTCCACAAATGCTTTGCAACCTTAAATCGTACTCATGAAAAACTAGACGAATACATTTTTCTGATTGTAATACCAAGTTTTCACGTCCTACTTTTTCAAGAAACATCCGGGAAAATTTTGAAAGGTTGATGACAGCGAAAAGTTCTTCAAACTCCCTTTTCCTTACTTTACTATCGTGTTTGATCCATTTTATCACGGCGTTCCATTTCACTTCTTCCGAAGAACATTTCAATTTTTCAGATTTGACTAGTTTAAATATGTCTTCTCTGGAAATGTGACAAAATTCTGTTTTGTCAAATATTTGCTCAAAATTTTATTCGAAAAATTTATCAATTATGATTTTAATTTCATCATAATTGTTTATTTTGTAATCTTCGCATAAATTCTTTAGTGCAAAACAGTTATCGACTTTAATGTTGTTCTGTACCTTGCTAGCAACGGAAAACAGAGAAGTGATTACGACGTTTTTGGCAGCGTCATTATCCTTCAAGAATTGGTCTGGGAATACAATGTCTAGTAAAAAATCAAACGGAAAGTTTGTTAACCCGATGCCTTGGATAAGTTCGCAAACGTCGTCTGAATTCAATTTTTTGTTTGTTGCCCATCTCAACATTGCATTCCAAGATAGACGGTGATTTATCCGTTGATTTCCTGTAGATATTTTAATATAACGCAAGAGATCTGGCAATGTGATTGATGGAAAATCGTCAGAGCGAGTAACGCTTTCGAAATCTTTCATAATCTCGCCCTCAGCTTTTTTTTTGATATCGCTATGGCTAAACATATTTGCTAACTTGATAACGAAGATGCATGTATTTGGTGAAAGATGAGTTGGCAAATATTGAAAGCAGAGTGTTTTCAATCCATCCAATTGTAACAAGTCCGCTGCGATCAAAATATTTTGCACCGTCTTCAAGGTTATGTCGGCGCAGCCCTCGTACATAAATTTAATGCATTGTTCCATTGCATCGGCGTCGACGTTCTTAATGTCGACGTAACCGGCGGAAACTTCTTTCATTTTACTTAAGAACATGCCTTTAAAGTAGTCAGAACTTGCCGCCAAAACATTGCGATGTACACTGAAAGATTTTCCGGATACCTTGACCTCAAAATCAGTTAGCACACCTTCTTTTAAGAATTCCATGAGTGACGACGTGAGACGGCGTTGCTGATTCGTTTTTATAGCACTCATAATATATATAGCAAAATATTGGACTAATACTGTAATAAAATTTAAAACTACGTTCATTTATATTAAGAATATATAAAACGAGAGCACTGATCGATGCTCAAATATATATCCACGAAAGTCAAATAACTACTGTAAAGAGCTCGAATTCGGATGAAATTACCCTATTTTCAACGTCGTTCTCCCCGGGAGACACATTCAAATAGTGCCTGTTGTGATAGGATAGACAGTGACCATACTGTTATCATAGCTCGAAGTTAAATCCAACAACATTAAAATCTGATAGAAATAGATGCTTATAACGACTCTTTGCTATATTACCAGAAGCATTTGTTCGAAACGAAAGATAGACAATTTATTTCGGTCTTCGCTATAATGCATCTAATTTTAGACACACGCACAGTCAGGTATCAATGGTCAGACAGTAGAGATTTTCGGGAAAGTTTTCACCTCTATAAAAATTATAGTCCATATTCAACCTGTACATTTGTTTGAAAACATGCATATTTTGTTCAAATATCTTCAGAAAATATAGACAGTTTATAATAACTATATTCTAGTGTGAACCAATCAATCATTGTATAAACTTATAATTGGAACTTGAGGAAACAGACTTCGTTGACCGCGTGGTCGTATCGCTCCCGCATGTTATGGTTGTAATATTTCTATTAGGCTACGGGTATTAGGCTACTGTTTTATATATTCTGGCTGATAAATAATAAATCTCTCTCTAACGTTAACACTGTAGAATGCTGTATATCTTGAGATTAAGCTTCATTCGCAATGAATTTTAAAGGTGAATGAGTATCGTAAATTTGAATCATAGATGAAAGTTCACAGATTAATGCAGGGTTTCTCAACCTTTTTTAGATTCCACAGTTTGCCTGCAGAGCCGTGAATTTCACATTGTTGCGTCACAATCACAACAACGCAAGATCTGGTAAAATCTACTTCCCGATTGACATCTAGTTTCAATGGGCACGCATTTTCCTCTGGTAGTAATAAAGGATATTAAAAACAGCAACACACAAAAATCGACTGCCATTCAAGTACCCCTGACAATTTTCTGGTGAACCCTTGGGGGTTCGCAAACCCCAGGTTGAGAACCCCTGGGTTAATGCAACCATTGATTTTAGGTAGAGATATTTAACCCGTTGTTGACAACTAGCAAATTTTAACATTCACATCCGAATAGGAAAAACAGTTTACCGCGACAGTACTTATGCCAGTAAGCATAGGGCACAGCGTTGATGACGTCACTTGCAAACTTGTAGTGTAGACTTTGACGTGGAGGACCCGGTCTGATGAGAACGTACCGGTATACCACTGTGACATAATGACTTCACTCAAAAGTGAATTGGGCTGTATTTTATTCACATTTTTATTTGACGTTATTTAAGCATCTAAAACATTTATTGGACACGTGAGTGGACCTCTGGATCGTTTTGATATTATGTTGTTGTTCAATGAACATGTTCATGGTGATATCCTTCAAAGGTAGGGACTAGGTACTGCTTCGCTCTGGTCCACGTGTCCATATATTTGAGCGTTGCTCACTTGTTTTTTTACATCGAATTTTTGCTTGGCGGTATTTGAGCGTTTCTGGCGTGTACGGTACTTCGTTAGACCGTAGTAGTATATATTTACGGTTAGACCCCAAAATGAATACTTTTTTCACAAAACCATTAAACTTCCACTTGGTGTACCTAACAAAGTTAAACTAAATTATGTGCCGGTATGCTTCTTGCGTTTTTGTGTCTTCGTTTGCAATATTGATACGGTACGGTACCGGTATCCGTATCAAAAGCTTACGGTACCGTACCGGTACGGTGCGCAAAATGAGATAAAAGAATCTCATATTTTTCACTTACAGACTTACCGGTATATCATTCATATGGCAGTACAGCGATTGCAGACTAGTATCGGTACCGTGGCGGTACGGTACTCATCCAGTCATCACTAGTCTGCATTTATTTTTCACATTTTAGTATTTGAAATTTTACACTTGACTTCTCCAATACACACTTCCAGACTTACCATCGTTACTGGTTAAATGTTCTTCATTTACTTTAATTTAACATTATACAGTTATATTAAACACTGCACACAGCCACGCATAAAGTTACACGAATAGCTGAATAGTGAACTTGCAGACTTCCATAACAGCTAACTTAGTTCAATTGGAAAATGTATCCTTATAATAAACAGTACAACCAACAAGCAGGCTGGAACCAATTACAGCAACAGCAACCTCGACTTCCTCCTGGATGGGAAGCAAAATGGGATCCTGGAAGTAGCAGATGGTTTTACATTAACCATGCAACCAAGACGACACAATGGGAGGCTCCAGTAGCAAATGTGGTATGAATCCTATATCTGTACCGGTATATTGTTTTATTTGGTGAATTGGTCGAATGATAACTCAAATTAACCAAACCGCAATATGTTTATGTTAACAACTTTTGTGGTTTGTCGGCTGCAGGTAGACATTCAGACATTGCATAGACTACTTTCATTTCACCTCTTGCAGTCTTGGCCCACAAAAAATTGTGGAGCGAAATATTTGTAGCATGAAAAGTCTGTATAGTGACAATACAGCGATGTCCCTGCACTAAATACAGAAATACCAAAATTCGAGTACATTTGAAATTAGCTATATTTGGGATTGTAAATATTTTATTTCAGTCAGAATTTAGAATACTTTCATTTGAAAAATAGAATTCTGCACAACTAGCATCTGATGTTTAACTATCCAGTCTGACACAGTTCTCCGATTCCAGGAATGGTCTCCACATTAAAAGACATCAATTATAACAGTGATTGCGAACCCCTTCTTTATGAGACAGTCTGGGCCTCCAAACAAACATCAAAGAAGTGCAACTAAAAAACATCACCAATTGGATTCCTTTGAAAAAATAATCTGATTTATCGAAAAGTGAATTATTAGGAAATGGTCATCCCTGGCTATATGTTTATAAAATAAGCCTATCGCGATCATATTCAGATACTCTTTTTGATATATACCTGAATTTCTTATAACTTATGTCTAACATACATTTTTGCTGTACAGTGTTTCTATTCTTAGCTGTTATAGATCCATAATCTTGTACTGTAGGAGTTTCCCCCTTTTTATGCTTCGTTTGTATTGCCCTTAATAGACTAGTCACTAGTCAGTGATAGTTACATTGCGTAAATCAAATGAATCACTAATTAAACACAACTACAGCAGATTTTTGTATCAAATATGGTTGTTGGATAATAAGTAACAGCAATGTAAATATACTCTTCTTATGTACAAACATTGCTAGAACTCAGAATCTGTATTTGTACATCTTGTACATTTGTACATAATGTTATTTGGCCATACTTAGTAATGTGAAAAATCATCTCTATTCGTACATCTTGGAGAGAAAGTTATTCGGCCATCTTTAGTAATGTGAAAAGGTTTAGACTGGCAGTCTGTTGAATAATTTGGTTGATCATTAGCAAAATTTTGTTCACCCATGTTTCGTAATTGATGAATTGCTGATAAAAGCCGGAGAGGTTGTGGTTTTAATAGCGATTTGCTGAAAATTAGGTTATTGATTTACTTAGACAATGCCAAAAAGTGAAGGAGTAGTTCTCAAACGTTATACGAAGGAGGTCTGTTTAATTTTTGCCTTCTATTTGATTTACACCCAAATTAGTAGCACTGGAGAAATAATTTAAATACCGGAGCTGAATCGTAAAATTTTAATTTTTTTGGTTGTACAAAAATCACATGCCTATATGTCATGCATTTTGCACAATCATCAAATCAATGATTAAGTTACAAACTAGCTGTTAACCATTATGTAGGCAAAAGGTTTTGGGGATTGGACCACATCAAACTTTTTTCGAACTTTGGTCCAGAGAAATTATCAATGGAACTCTCCATTAGAATACTTTTATTCTAAAAACTACAAATTAAGCATGAATGAATGAAACATGAATTTGTTTTCCTTGAGAATTGCTGCCATGAACTGGTGGTCATTTAGGATTTAGATAATTTGCAATACTTATCTTGTATCACAAACTTGATGCATGATAGCGTTTGAAAACTACTGATAAAAAGTAATAAATATTCTGATAATGACAAATTTTGGGGTCAATGAAATCCCTATATTTTGTTTGACTTCATAATCCAAATGAAGGTAATACTTATATATGATTGATAAAAAAAAACATGACTATATTATAAAAGTGTTACTAAGTAACTAGCAAAATAAATAAAAATACATGATTGTGTGTGTAGGTAGATATTTGATACCCAACTTTTTTCAGTTCCGAACCTCTTTAACAAGCTGTCAGGGTGACAGACATCCTCCTGTTTTTTCAAAGAGTGAATACACTAGTGATATGAATCTATTGCTGTCGACTAGGACTAGAAAACACCTATTTCACCTAATTTTAATATAAATTTCATGCTATTTTATTTCTTGATACTGTGAGAGAAACTGGTATTTACCTATTTTTTGGAATTTCTTATCCTACTTTTAATTTTATATATTCTAATTTGTTTTCGTTTTTCAGGCTCAATACAATCGTCCTGCACCAGCCGCTGTTCCAAAATTGACTACAACAAGTTTTATTGACAACAACGCCCAGAATGTAAAGACTATAATGTCAGAGTATGAAGGTGTTACGGAAGAATATATTCAGTATGATTATCTTTCAATCTTTTTATACTTAAAATTGTATCAGACTTGTACAATTAGGAAACCTACACTATCGATTTTCCTTGTATTTCTATCGACAATTTTGTGAGAAAATCTCTATATCAGTTTAAAAAATATATGAAGACTTTTCTCCACTATAGGAAATTTCAACAGGAAAACAATAGCGCTCAAATTTTAGTTTCTTTTAAAGTAAAGTATTATATTATATAGCATATTTAAAAGAACATGGTGATAAAAAAAAATAGAACCCAGGTCATTTGGAATGTATTCTAGAGAGAGAGTAACTTTTGTGCAAATCATCCTGGATTACTGAAAATTACAGATACAATCATACACAATAACACAAACATAAGTTCATGGGTTAAATATGAATTTCCATAGCAGCAATTGAGAAATTTATGGGTTTTGTTTTTTCGGGTTCACTCTGTATTCTGTATCATACGGTAATTTTGGATATTAGGTTCCAATATAAAAACTTCGATGTATGTGTAAAAACCTGATCAGATATGGGATTGAATTTTCAAATTTCAGTATTTGATCGTTTATAAAAACTTATAATTCGTTATTCTCCAGGAGTTTGCTTCGAGGATACATGAACAATGTTGAGTCGGTGAGAAGAACGTTGCATGAGAAAGGATATCGGAAGAAATCGGTAAGAAAAGTCCTATTTTGTATGTACGGCAATTGCAACAATTTGATTTAATAATTTTCTGATATCATGCATATGAATGTACAAAGGAGTTTGGTTATTAATATCTTGTTATGTTATGTCAAACTATTGTTGTTCCTATGCTTTTTGCCATTTTTGCAGTGATATCTGAGAAAAAAATACTTCTGAATTCTGAATAACAAACTTTATAGATTATGAATATTCCTAATTATGAGTATGACATATGTGTGTAGTGTTGCAGAAATTCAATTTTCTTTTGAATTTCACTATTTTTTTTTAAAAGTGTGTATTGTCAAAAGTCTGCTTTGAATTGTACTATTATTTTGTTCTGGGAGAATTTGATCACAGCAAGAATATAGATCAGCAATAAATATACAGGTTGCACAATGCACAAATTATCATTATATTGTTATTTGAGTATTGCGTTTGAATTTAATTTGTGAAATTGCATAACTCACCTATGGCTAGTTTGATTAGTAATATCTTAGGATAATGTAGCACTGAATTCTCTCTCAAAATTTTTAATTTTAATAAATAAATATCAAAATTTTATATTTTTGGAATACCAGTATATTACCCATTTTTATTTTTTCATTTGAACTGAACTTTTTTTTTTTTAAATGAGTGTCACTCGATAGATGTAAAACATTGTGAATTTAATTTATATCATATTCTTTCCAATGCTCTCTTTATTTTTTCAAAGACTGTTGTTCCAAAACAACATTTTGTAGCATCACTGAAAGGTCAATATCCAACTGCGTCTGAGGATGTAATAAAGTAAGCATTTGATTATATTCTATATTTTTTGCTCATAGCAAAACTTCAAAACAAATAGCAACCAGGACTGGGAATCCGTGCCACATGGTAAATATACTGTGGCGCCGGAGCAGTTGTGATTTCTAACCCGCTCCCCATGCCCTGGTAGCAATGTAAGTAGATCAAGTATCATTTCGATAAAGCCTGATCTATCATCTTGATATTGTTGCGTGGCCTATTAATTAGGTGTGACACCCGATATTTATTTTTTGAGGTAATATTAAGAATCATGCCAGTAAATTCATTTGTCCACATCTCAGTTTAAAACCCATCCGGATTAACTGTAATAAATTAGTTAGTCGATGCGATATCGGCAAACTGTTCTGTTGCTTATTGTTAACATTTTGCTATAGTATATGGAACCAGTGTTGAGAAAGCTTGAGTCAGTGACTCGACTTTACTAGAGTCACCATTTAGCGAAGACTCGAATTGACTCGAGTGTTCTAAATAGAATGACTTGGACTGGTCATCAACTAACTGCTTGTGAGAATTAACTGATGGACTCGATTCCAGACTCGGGAGATTGTGACTCGACTTTACTCACGACTCAGTGTTCAGGGACTTCGACCAACACTGCATGAAACACCCGTAACTTTATGATATTGTATTTCGTTGAAATTTCAATCATACTTCATTATACTATACTGACTTACAGGGAGATTCTTGTTAGCACCAATAATAGCTTCCAAGGTGCTCGTGCAAGTCTTGAAGCAATGGGGTATAAAAAGACACCTCAAAGTCCAGTAAAAAAAGCAACTTTAAAACCAGCATCACAGCCAGGTCAGTAATAAAAATATTTAAATTGGTAATTGCATTGCAATATAGATATGAATTAAATAAAAAGGTAGAATCCAAAAGTTTGCAGTACCGGTACTTATTGGAGTACTTTTTGGTGTTCTTTCAATGAAATTACATTAATTTTCATCATTGCATGGTTATAAACAGGGACGCAGCCACAATTTTCCCTGGCTGCGCCACTGGTTATTATTTCACAATATGTGTGTGAAGGGGCTGTCAGGGTGGTTAAAGTAATCTACTATTTGCAGTATTCGCATTTTATATTAATGCATCTGTAACATTGAAATAGTAGCTGTGGCTGACACCCCAGAAACGCAACCCAGATTATTTGGAACATATTCTATATATATATGTATTATATATTCTATATAATTTTGTAAAAAGTGTCCCAGATTGGGACATAATCGTTTGGGTACAATCATACACAAACTATAGTTCAAGTTCTTAAATATTAAATAAAGTTTTCTCATTTTTATAGGTAATTAACATTTTATGGATTCTATTTTCTGGTCATCCTGTATTATTATTATTGCCAATTGCCATGCCAACCCTGGCCCAGTTTCTGGTGGATAGATAGGTCGGCTTGTCTTTGAGGGGAAAAAAGTATTGTTATTATTTTTTCTCTTGTTTGTTTACTAATATTTCCTGTTTTTCAGTGTCCCGTCCATCCACAGCTAAGAAAGCAACTCCATCCACTTCACCATCAAAACCGGCAAAACTGAGTGAGCACACAAAGAGACAAAGTAAGTACATTGATGACAATATGTTCATTTAGTAATAAGAACAAGGGGGGATCGGGAGGTTGGGCAAAATTGCATAATATAGCTTTGATGGTACATTCTGGAATATTAGCACGTACTCTCAATCCGAAATTAATGTAGACTGATAAAAATCCAAGATCTACTGAGACCAGTGTTAACTCTAAGCAAATTATGAGTGCGAAAGTGCTTCGCAGTCCAAAAAAAAAGTGCGAAAGTGCTTTTGCCGATTTTAACAAGTTAGGTGCCCTAGCCTTTCATATAACCCATTTAAAACGGCATAGATACTCGAAAAAGCGCTCCTCCGGTTAATATTATGAATTAAAGAGAAGCCTTTTCGTTAACCAGTTCCCTTTAAGCGAGTTCATGTTTAATTAAAACAAGCCAATTCATCGGCAACGAAATGACATCTGCTAACACCTGCCGCGGACAAAACTTTCATGCAATGTATCACCGTGTCAGTTGCTTATTCGCGTAAACAGCAAAGACTTTCACATTTGTTACTCCTTCCATCTAACAGACACCAGGCCGACTGGAAACCATATTAGTTACAGGGTGGATCGTTTGTACAAATCCGGTGCAAAATAATCCCCCCCCCCCAAATATAATAGCAATCAACTAATTAGGGTTAGGTGCGCTGGAAATTCAACTTTTCGATTCATCCCTAAACCTAATCTGATAATTATTAATTTGTGATTTTGAACCACTTTGAAAGTCGCCACCCGCTGTTTTAAAAGATAGGTTAACCTACGTTCCCTCCGAAATATTATGCAGGATACTCCCCTGTTTTAGGAGATAGGTTGACCTACTTTCTTTTCAAACTTTTTCTCCGAAATATTACACAAGATCACTTTGAAAATTCTCCCATTTCGTGAGCTAGCGTGACCTAATTTCTCATTTACATTTATATTATACTATTTCAGAGCTTACCCAAAGACAAGTAGTTTTTAAATATCCACGTGCCTTGGTTTGCGTGCGAGTTAGTTTAAATCAGGCAGAAAACATCATATATTGGCAAAATGTTTAGTAATGTCATGTACTTTCAGCATTCATAAATAGCACTCTTTGTAATGTTGCTGACCTAGTATCAAATATTCGCATCACAACGCCACTTGCGAGGTTTCCATATATTTCAATTACACTAATAGGAACGATGACATCAAAAAGTTTTCTTTGCGAAGGTACACTAAATATAACGAGGGTGATTCTTGAGAAAACATGAATATAAAAATAAACGAATGATAGGATTATGGATCCCAAATAATTTTGAGAGTGTCTCGAAATACCAATCCATTTGATAAATAATTTTTATTCGACCACATGAACGCTGATATTCTGAAAATTAATGTTGAAAGAGAATTACGCATTCTCAGATATCGGACATCCAGTCGCGATATTCAATCGTTCATATGCACAAATCTCACATTAATAGTAATTGCTACCCAAGTTTGTAAAGTTTAGAAACCAACAAACAGAAAATAACTAACCTAAAACACAATTAAAATTCAGTCGGCAATAAATTCGTCGCCAAGACGATGCCATACAAAACAAAAAAGATTTGATCGCGAGAGTTACGTGAGATGACTGCCGTTGTTTTTTAAGCAGAATGTAAAAAAATTTATAATTAATAAACGGGAGTTACGGCGCCCTTTACACATCGTGTGTATTAAACTTCCCTGGTAGGTACTTTGGTAAGTACTATTATTATTGTACCTATACACCTGTTGGAGTATTTCGGACAATTTCGAATTTAAAATAAATGAAAACCAGACATATAATAAAGACGCAAAAGTAAAATGAACATTTATTGAAAAAGTTATTATTTAAGAAAGACAACATGATCGTACAATTCCGCCAAAACCTCGATGTTCGCAAGTGAGATGATAAATAAATACTTCCCTGTATTCGATCAATTAACTTTAGCGTATCGTTGTTCTGCCAATAAACAGCCGGGTGCAAAATATTTCCGTCCTGTGATATGCTCACAAATATTCTCGATATTAATATCATACCCTCGCGTATGTACTTTCTATTGGCTCTTTAGTGATCCCTTCCATCCTTGGCCAAGTCATGTTTCGAATATGTGAACATTTTATTCGACCATACATGACCGGCGGGATGTTAAAATTGTAAACAAGAGAGAGGTAAAATCAATCGCGAATTTCGTTATAACGGCTCGTTTACGAATTGTTGCGCCTGTTATCGTCGAAAATGATTACATTTGTTGTATTTTGAGGCATTTAAGCAGTAATAATTAGGGCATGACATCATCAAAATCGTCAAGTGAGATCTTGAAATTGCAAATTCCGTAAATAAAATTGCGAATTATTCGGTAACGAATTCAGCTTTAATGACCGTCGGGGTATTGTTTTGTTGAAAATTATTATTAATGTGAGAGCGCCAAAAACATACAGTCCATACCGATGCGACTGCAATTTATATGGTCGCAATTGGTGTGGCGCGTTTATTAATAGTGTAAAATAAATTAAACGAATATCAATTATAACCAAGCCTGTCAGCGTGTTTATTTTCTGTGGGCTCACCATCTTGAGACAAATTAACTTCTATTATGAAATCTTAATTTTCAGTTATTATCGTTATACAAATAACGTGTGGCAACTTTTTAATTTATCGTCGACCAAAAAACCGCCCCACACTCGTCCAAACGTGTGTCGAGCTTGAACGACAGGAACAGATTCATCGACGACCTTAATTAGGGAAAATATGTATTTATTGGGAATGCAAAATAAATGTAACAAAAACGCATTTTTTGTGATATAACTTGTATTTTCGGAAACGGGTTGCCGTGAAAGGTAAAATTTGATCTAAATTAATTGCAAAATGTTTTATTTTAAATGTAACAAAACACATTTTGCGATATAACCTTGTATTTTCGAAAACGGGTGTCCTGAAAAGTAAAATATGATCTAAATTAATCGCAAAATGTTTTATTTTAAATGTAACAAAACACATTTTCGCGATATAACCTTGTATTTTCGGAAACGGGTGTCGTGAAAAGCAAAATATGATCTAAATTAATCGCAAAAATGTTTTATTTTAAATGTAACAAACACATTTTTCGAGATACAACTGTATTTTCGGATACCGGGTGTCATGGAGAGTAAAATGTGATCTGAATTCACCGTAAATAATGTTTCATTCCAAATGTATCATAACGCATTTTTTTGCGATATAACTTTGTATTTTCGAAAACGGGGCCTCACGAAAATTATTAATTAAATGTTTTATCTATCGTCTAACTAACCTCTGGAACACATCATTTTCGGGGAGAACTCTAGCCCGCGAAACGTCATTTAATTTGAAATAGAGAATGTTTCACGCATTTCAAAACACAAAATCACCAGTAAGTGGACAGGGTTTCAACCCTCCGGATTCAGTATTCTATATCCCCCGTGTCAGAACTTTCTGAAGAATGGAACAAAGAACCCGTCAAACCGCCACGGAAGAAGGGGAGTATTTTTTGCACTAATAATTAGGGCGTGACAATATCAAAATCGTCAAGAAACTGGTGAATTTGCAAATTCCATAAATAAAATTGTGAATTGCTCGGTAACATTTTAGCTATAATTATCGCCGGGGTATTGTTTTGTTGAAAACACGTTGAAACTTGAGGGAATTAGTTACAATTAGCGCCTGACCTCTATTAGGCACTCCAGCACTCGAGCCCAATCTTTTTAGCATTAAGTCGCATACGTAAAATATCCTGTAAAAGAAGTGCTGTTCATTAACGTCATCTCGTCTTATGACCACGCAGAAATGCCTTTATAGCCGAATTATTCAATCACTATTTCAAATCAACATTCAGGATTGGCACAATTTCAAATTTGCGAAGTTTATCACCATAGAAATACATGAGAAAGTTAATTATCGTCTTACTCTTAATAAATATCTGCATCACGGTATGGACAATAATATTACCATTCGCATAAAATTGGGACGGTAAATTTACAAATCTTGATAGGTAATATTAAAGCCAGCGCAAATGTCAATTTGAGTCCTCAATGTCTTCAACAGCTGTTGCCGATGTGAATGAACGGGTAAACCCGAAATATAAAACTTCGATGTCCGCCGACCCACAAGAATTCATATTTGTAAAAAAGAGAGGGCGGGAATATAGATTACCCAAAACCTGGATATCGCCGCCAAAACGATCGGTGACGAGAACAATTAGCGATTACAACGGAATTAACCAGTAAAAAGGCTTTGTTGCCGATTTTTTAATGTTTCCACCACGTTTATTCGGTACTCCTTAAAAATATTCGATTTAAAAATATATTGAATTATGCCCACCCCTCCTCGCATATCAATGAGAAATAGTTGTTTAAATATCGCAAAATTACGGAAAATGCCACCTCCTTTCAACATTGTGATTACAATAAAATGGCACTTAATGTGAATTTGTTGATTTTGCAAATCTGTGACATGCTGCTAAAAGTTTCGTCTGATTTGAAAATCGTGCAGTTTGGTCACAATTCATCCGAAGCGACTATAACACCTTACTAACACTTTTTATAGTCATTTTGAATTCATCGATATCATTGATAGTCACATGACCACTCTCGTTCAAAGAAACGCCCCGGGAGCGTTTTTTTGCAGGAGAAGCGGAATCCCTGTGCTTGTATAATAGTCATATTATAAACAAGAATTTTGCCGTTAATGCAAAAGCTTTATCTCCTATGTCTGCATCTCATAGGTTAGAATTCCGGTAAATATCGTTATGATATGCAGAATTGAGTTACAAAAGTACCAGTATGTTACTTATTTGTCAACTTAATACTCAAAATATTTGTTAACTTTGAATTTTTATTCCATTCAAAATCGGAAAAAAGTGCTATTTCTCTTCAAAATCGGAAAAAAGTGCTATTTCGCAGTCCCTAAAAAAAGTTGCGAAAGTGCTTCGCAATTTTCGCAAAAAAGTGCGCTAATAGTGAACACTGACTGAGACTATGAGGAATTATAGTGTAGCTCAACGAATATATTCTAATTCGAGTTGTGTTCAACTTTGTGAATGTATAATTAAAATATGTCATCTGCAAAATTAAAATTTTTCTTTTTAGGGAACGAAGAGCTAAGAAAACAGTTTCCGACACTTGACAAATCTCTCATTGAGTTATCATTACAAGGAACTGACTATGATGTTAAGCTTGCTGCAGGTATAAGATTATTATTGTTTGAACAATATAGATGAGATATTTACTGCTCATATTAATAGTATAAATTTTGTTTGATGATATAAACCATTCTCTCTAAAGGCAACTAGAATAATTTAGATTTTTCCAATAGTTTTATTGTTGGTCCATATAAAGTCCTTTTTTTTTTCGCTTGATGTTCAACCCTTAGTAGATCTTTAGCTAGCGATGTGTGCTTGCGCTCTCGCTTTTGTTTATAATGTGTGTCATAAGTAATGTGTATTACAATAATACTCTTCAAGTGAAGAATGTTAGCAATACTACACACAAATGCGAAGTATTGGACTATTTTTCTATCTTGAAATATAAATAGATTCATTGTACGAGAAATTTTTCATTCATGCCAATTGCCAAAGACATAAATAATGATTTTTGTATCAAAATGCCAATGCAAGAGGAAACACAGTAATTTTTAATCCGAATTATGCTAATAGAAATTTTCCAAAAGTTTATGTGACCTCCAGTTTTGTTTGCGTAAAATACATTTTACGGTGAACGGAAAATAAATAAGAAATTTTCTTAATATTCTTTTTCAGTTGTCCTGAAATCATCCATTGAGTCTGTGAAATCAAAGAAGTCCTATGCCACCTCTAGTGCATCTACTTCCACAAAATACCCTTCTTCAACTACTGAGACTAGCTACTCAACTTCGACTAGTTTTGCGTAAGTAGTATTATTGTTAAAACAAGGTGTGAAAAATGGGCCCTCCAGAAGTATGAAGTATGTGTACCAATATGGAGATAACTAATTTTGTTTGCCTATTTTACATCAAGTTGTGTAAAAGAACTGAAACCTGTGGGCAGAGAGTATATTCACTTGGCTAACACAGACGGTCCCTGAACTCGTAATAGAACTAAAATGAGGAAATCCGGAATAAAATTATGGCCTAACCCTAACACATACTACGAGAGTATTGGAAAATGTACCATACCTGTATTTGTATACTTGCTTCTTGAACATGGATTTGAGTAGAAATAATATAGTAGATCGCAGTCAAATTTTGTTAATATTGTTAAATTTCCCAACGTCCAGTCCTGTGATTTTTGGAGCTGAAGAGGAGGACGAAAGGAAAAAGAAATCGTCACCTGTTAAAACAACAACAACCTTTAGCACAACAACAAACGCGTCAACAACATCTACAACCAAATTAACACCGAAGATTGAGACACCGAAATATGAGCATTTGAGAGATTATCTACCTGCTAAACGAGTTCCCATAATCAGGTAATTTAGCGATAAGATTTTCCGCGGAATCCGTTATGTCGCAATCTTCATGGTGTTCTACATGGTTTTGTGTGGGGTATTAAGTAAAGTTCAAATAGCTTACGACTACATTTTTTCATTATGAATTACCACAAACTTTTGAGCATTAAAACCTTATTTTCTAACTACATATTTGTTATTTATAAAGAAAAACTCTGCCTGCCAGCTATGTATCACCTAATCGAATAACTCCATCTGGACCTGATCCATCATTGGCGAATGGACCGAATTATTCATTGTTACAGACTACTCGTATACGTCCTGCAGGTCCGAATGCCTCCAACAGAAATGGACCCCAGGTAATTTGTTTTTGCCTTTTAGGGGTTTGGTACTTAATTCCTAAATTCCTCATATTTTTGACATCTTTGTTGGGTAAAAATAAATACAAATATGTGGCTCAAGACGAAGGTTGGGGTGCTTAAAAAGCTGTCATGGCTCTATTATTCTCAGAGTCATTCAAGAATCTGATCCTGAATGCTGGTTAAAAAAATTGATTTCAGACATCAGGATAACATTAACCAAATTTTCGTCATGAAAACGTATTCCTTTTTTGTTGGTTGAAAATTTCAAATCTCATTTTTGACTTTCAGAAGAATTTTGGAATTTCACTATGGATCTCATATTTCTTCTCTAAAATTTATTGTTTTCCATATTTTTACGCTCTAGTCCAGTGATATCCAGCCTTTTATGGCTTGTGTCGGGCTTTAAGCGCTCATGACCCCCTCCTGTTTATCATTCCAGTGGTATTTAAAGTGTTACTTTGATTGGTGTTCAATCAATTCATGCTCAACAATGTGGAAATACCCGATGAAATAACATTTTCAATTAATGGAACTAGCAAGAACTGGGAGTTTTCTGGTATAGTGAAAAGTAAAATCGGTTCTGCGCCTAACATTATTGCCACTTGCCCCGGTTGGCTGTCGCTGCTCTAACCATTCATGTACCCATCCATTTTTTTTATATCAGTAATTGTAAACAACATACTTTTTATAACAATCTAATCTACATCAATAATTATTTCTTTTTTTCATTAGCCTTCCCTCAGATGTGGACCTCAAGCTTCTAACGCAGTTGGAAGAGCTCATATTAATGTTGGTCCTGCACTTCGCGTGCCCCAGGGCACTGCTGTTTAACTTTTTCTTGAATTTTGGTATTTTTTCCTCATGAAAGATTTGATTCAAGATATTTTTTACATGCAACCATTTGTTATATTTAAAAAAGAAAAAATGATACAAAAAACATACAATCTATTATACAGTAAATTTTGCATTCAAAATTCTTCTATAAAAATGGTTTCTCAAGTTGTCAGTGAATTCGGATTTTATAAAACTGGTTCGATCTTACATTGTAATTGACCAAATATATTACTGTTTTAAAATTGATTCTCGATCTCCGTATCCAATAGCATCATTTTCATTCCCACATATAGGATTTCTTGTTACTAAATATCAGTGTCAAATTGTGTTAGATATTTTGACTTGTTATATTGTGTTGCATTCTATATCATTATTGATTTGAATATTTGAATTCTAATATTTTATGTCGTAGCCTTGTAGGCTATGTTATTTTTATGTATGCAGTTGTTCTTAATTTTATTAAAACTTTGCAGAAATCAAATGTGAGCAATGAACACAATTCTCACTCAGTTTTACTGGATGCTTGTTTATACTCAATCTGCCAGTCATTAGCATTAAATATAATTTGCAAACAAATTATATTGTAATTATTGTAATTACTATTGTTATAAATATGTATTTGTTATTATATATATATTGCATGTATAGCACATATTATATTCAGTTGATATATTTTCAAATGTATTATTGTATTCTATAGACTAGTTTATTGGACACGAAGGTTACATATGAATCATTTTGCAAACTTATTGTTGTTGTTGAGGAAGAACCATATCAGATTTCAGCAAAGGCAGTATAAGCAACTAGTATATAATGTTTGGCCATTTGACATCCATGGCCATATAAATGAGCAATGCTCTCTTGTTTTATGATCAACATCACATGGGCATGTCTATATACAAGGCGTTTTTCATTAATTATGTTTCATAGTCATTCTAGTATTCTAATTGAGTCTTTTTTGCTGCAATGTTTTTTGAGGGCTTTAATTACGGTAACTCAAAAGGGCGAAACTTCAAAAAACGTTTCCACGATTTTTATTCTCCTGTACTTTTTTATTAAAATACTACAGTGAACATTGTTTCGAACTATCATTGGATACCAGCTTACATACAGCGTAATTTTTTTGTAACTATTCGGGTGAAAATTCTCTCAAAATTTGCATTTCAACATTTGCCACTTTGATTTGTAACCCTCAAAACTGAAAGCAAAATGATTACAATTATCTTAATTGGAAGTCCGATTGATTTGCATATTCTTCTGCATAATTATGTATATCTATTGTGTGTCAGAATTTTTGACAGTCTCATTTCACTCAGGAAGATGCAATTAGCATTGCAGTTGTTGGATGTCTACTCCAACTCTACCTAACCTATATAGATATTTATGTTTTTCAAATTTTTCTGTTATTATATTATTGGTGTACAGGGAGTCCTCGGGTTACGACGGTCGCGACTTACGCTGTTTCGGGGTTACGAACGCGCACTCTATAACTCTGTTTCGAGGTTACGAACGCACTCCATAAAAAATATAAAAGATAATACTGTACTGTACAGTATTTGGTATTATTCATGTGATATGGAATTGTTTTCTGTTTTTTAATAAAGTACTTTTTTGGATTATTCGTACATTTTATTACAGTACCATATAGAGTAATTTATGTACTGTACAGAATAATGTTCCGACTTACACTGAAATTCGGGTGACACCGCGTCTCGAGAACGGAACATCGTCGTAAGTCGAGGACTCCCTGTATTCTTCTTGCTATCAGGATACTTTTTCTATTATGTTATATTTGTATTGATATTGTAGATTGTGCCATTCCCATAACAATATATCTCGTTAATTCTATTTTTACTGAGCTTATCTCAATTTATGGGTTACTGAAAATCTGATTTCAATTTAAGGATAATTATGTTCGAAGCAACTGGCGTGATTATCCTATATAAAAAAAAAATACTGGTATTGCTGTCTTTTATAGATTGAATTTCAACAATTTTCGTTAGTAACAAAATAAAATATTGAACTAAATCATATGTAGGATGGCCGTCCTCCATGTATTGTTTATTTAGCATTCTGACTAGTTAACTTGAAATATAGAAGTGACTTTGCTCAGTAAATTCATTGACAATTGCATAGGTCCATAGCTGGTCGGAATTATTCCTTTAAAAAACAGGCATGTGGATTCTGCTAGTTTAACACATTTTTGATTCACTTTTGTGAGGTTGAATTGTACGAGGATAGTCCTAACTTTTGACTTTAAAGTCAATTTCATCATTAATCATAATAAGTATGATTCAAGTATGAATCCAGTATTGCTTGGTGATGTTTTTATCTTTTGCATGACTCTTTTATAATGCAGTTTTTGTTTTTATTATCACAGCGTAGTTATTGAGTATAGATTGTAAAAGTGAAAAATGAATACTGTGATTCGATCGCACTGGTTAAACCTGCAGAAATGTGGAACAAATTATTCAAATAATTTAACCAAAAGACTATTGAATTCACAAAACCAAAAGACATCAAGTCAAAGTCATGAAGTATATTGCATGGAACTTGTGAGGTATGTTGGACATGATATATTCAATTATCTGAGATGAATAACCTTTGAATTTTTGACTCCGTGCTACTTTGTGCTTATGATCAAAAAGCAGTTTCTATTACAAGTTGAAGGATTATTGTAAAACCCATGTAGCTTATGTCACAATTTTGGACATAAACTTCATTGTTTTTCTGTCATTAGGTACCGTAATCAGAAATGTCTTCGCAGTGGGTGTCCGTATTGAGTGAAGATGACAATTTGTATTCGTCTGTTTTTTACTTATTTTCTCTATTTTAGAAAGAGGGATTGGGAAGGTTATATAGCATCACTTCTGCTTCCAAAATCATCAAGGAGATCCGTGTTTGCGATTCGAGCTTTCAACTCAGAACTTTCACAGGTCGTCGACCTTCACTGGTAATTGTTATCATGAATTTTGTTTCGGGTCGACAATGATTTGAATGCGGTGGAAATTTCAGGCAAAATTGATTGGAATAATTCATTACTATTATTATACACTAAGCTTTTTTGCGTTTTCAATCAGTAGCGCTGTCAACTGGGGCTCCGCAGCACCCCAGAGTTCCGCAAGTTTTCATTCGTCTCCGAAAGTCTATATTAATATGTGTATATTGTTTAACTATAACCAAATACCTATTAGGTTAGCCACTATTATTGAACTTGCTAAAATTTAAAGATAATTTCGTTTTACCATTTTAAGGTTTGTTTTAATATATATATATATATATATATATATATATATATAGTTTATACAATTCAGTCAATAAATGGCAGCTCATTGGGGTACCTCTCGGCTAAAAAGGTTGAAAACTACTGCTGTATTGCATATATATGGTTGGTCACACCTCTTTTTGGAGTAGATGCATTATGCATTGGAAATGAAGCAGACACACTACGAACAGAAAGCAATCAAAGAACTGGTGTGGTATTGCACCATATCCATAAGTGAACCAAAAACAAACAGAACACAGAAGTTCCCTAATTACTTCTATGAAAAATGAAGAAATTAATTTAACACTTGAACTCCTGTTCCTGTGTGATTGTACCCAAAAGTTTCAGTAATTTAGGATGCCTCACCCAAAATCCATGTTCTCTCTAGAATATGTTCCAAATGACCTTGGTTTTATTTTTGGGGTCACTCAGTAGTAACTTGTATCTAGCTGCCTTGGCGAATATCAAAGCAAATAAACCAATCTTTGCTGTTCTTTGCTAAGAAATTATAATGTGATTATTGATTGAGAAGTTTTCCAAGAAGGCTTACATATATCAGAGTCAGAGTTCAGAGCTGGAGTCTGAGTTCCAACTTGGTTTGAGTCGATTGTAAATATTTTCCCGTCTATACCCTGATACAATATGATAACTTCTCGCATTCAGTGGTTAAAAAACTTTTTTACCTTTTTTCTGCCTCTAGATCGGTGGTTCAGTATCGGAAGTAGCTATCGGACACATGAGACTGCATTTCTGGAAACAATGCTTAGAATCAGTTTATGATGGGAAACCACCAGAGTCTCCTGTAGCACTTGAACTACACAGAGCAATCACAGCTCATAATCTTTCAAAAATATGGATGAAACGAATGATAGAAGCAAGAGTGAGCAATTTATATATTAGTTTGGTATCGTGATTCTGCATTGGGATTAATTGTGACTTGCATAATTTTTTATATGATGTATTTGTATGCCTTTCGTCGCCCCAAACTAGCCTGAAAGGAAATGCTATAGTTTCTTAGTTTGTACCGAAAAGTACAAGTACCGAAATCTTACCGGTTCGGCATTGCCTTGCCCAATTTATTTCACCCTGGGTGGAGTGATGTGCATGGGGTTTTAACCTGCGATGACATCATATGCTTCTAACGCTTTACTCATCATGTGGTTATCTGCATAATCAACTCTGTTTCATACTTAGAGGAACTTTTTGATTTTGAAACCCCTAGCCCCAACTTTTAATACAGGAGGGACAGATACAAACCGCACCTTTATTTAACATAAGCTTTCTAGTCATTTCTGTTCGCTTTGCACAAGCTAGCCGTTAGGGCTGTGCAACATCATAGGCATAGATAATAAATTGGACTTGGGTATAGGCCTTGAAACACAATGGGAATGGAATTACCTGCACATACCAGATTTAACTAAATTAAAAACTCATTTCGCGGGCCGCACAGTTTTCCTGTTGGACGGATTATGCCTGTTGCCGTAGGTGCACACCCCTGCCCTAGCCTATTACTACAATATATACTTCAATACTTACCATATTACCTTATTTTGTTTGATGAAAATTTTTTTCTTGTAAGTAATTTCCTTGGCACTGACCATGACCATAGATATTTTGTGAATCGAAATGTCTTTGAAATTATCAGAATATGAGAAATGAATTTGTTAATGTGTTCGTTCATTTATTCAACTGTAATTGGTAACTAAGCGATGACTTTTTCTATTGAAAGGAAGACTACATTGAGGGTCAAGGATTTAAAAGTATTCGAGAATTAGAAGATTATGCTGACAACACTTCCACTGCTCAACTTTGTCTAACATTACAATGCTTAGGTAACTTATAATATAAGTTTAGTATATAGAAATGGTACAATAGGAAGGAATTAACCCAAGTCACAATATTTTTCTGTTTCGAAAATATCAGAATATCTAAACTGATTGATTTATTCCTATTCGCTTTGTCTGATTTCATGAAATGTTTGAAATCAGCTCGGCAGTTCGTGCATCATGCTAAGTGCTAAGAATACCGTATTTATGGACCATGAGCACCGTCAATAAATTGTTTCGATTGGAGTTTTATCCATACATAAGATGCATCGGGCTGTAAGACGCAATGGTTTTTCAGGATCGGGTTACGATACAAAGCTCATTCAACAAAAAATCTCAATATTTTTCATCAATATTTTATTCGTAAGAAACATACTATTGTTTGTAACTGTGTTTTTAAAACAATAGTACCGGTATTGGTTTTGAGTGTAGGCAATAAAGCATAAAGCACTACCTGATCCATGGCTCACCAGCATTTGAGGAGCACGATCGATTTCTGGTAGAAAAAGGGTTTAAAGCGTGCCTTATGCTTGCCATCACACCTCTGATTACCCTGTGCTGTGTGGATTCGCAGGTTCACGTACCATAATTATGTGAGGTAGAGAGTTGGCAATTGCCATGATGCAGGGAGATGCTAACTTGATTTAAATCGACATTCTGTTAATAAAATAAATAGATTTTTCTTTGATAAACAATCTATACCTTTTGAATATAGGAATTAGGAACATGCATTCTTGATGTTGCAATATCTCGAATTACAAATGGTTATAACAGTGTTTCTTAAACGAGCAATGGCTTTTACTAGGTACCATTTGCAATGACTACCAAATTAAATTAGTATTTTTTAGTTTTTTGTCTGTAATGTAGTTATTTTTTTGCTTTCGTTTGTTGGCTTTCCATTATTATTACGTGCGGGACTGATGGAAATGCCTCACAGCAAAACTAGATATTTTTATAGATTTCACAGATAATCCAAATTTGAGTACCACTCACTGGTTTAGAATATTTATTTAGAAGATATTATCAATTTTTCTTAGGTATTGAAGATGTTAACAGCGATCATGTAGCGAGTCACATTGGTAAAGCGCAAGGTATTATAACCACCATCAGATCTACACCATATCATGCTGCCAGAAGAAAAGTTCAATTACCGACAGAATTTTTATCAAAAGTATGTTTCTGTTACTGATCAAATGTTTACAAAACTACAATAGTTGAAGCGGTCGTTTCTCGAATTTTTTTTCGAATCAGTTCTTCAGTATTGGTGATAATCTTCTGCATTCTTCTTACTCCTTCTGAGCTTGCTTAAATCAGAGTCAAAATTTTGAACTCTCTATCGAGAGTGGGAAATCGAAACCAAATTAAAAATATGGCTGGCCAATGTCAAATTTTATAGTCAAAAATTTGTTAACTGAAAATTTGAAATTGGAAATATATTTAATTCGAACTCAGAAATGGGCGAGATATTCCCGAACTGAGTTGTTTTTCACACCGCTGAATTATATGTTCAGATTCATTAGAAAATTTTTTCATGGCTCTTTTCATGTTCTTCAAATCATCGCACCATGCTGAGCGATGAGATAAGCGTGTTATCTTGCTTCTGTGGTTCGGTAAGTCCATACTGCTGGTCGGTTATATAGATTCGTTTACCATCGAGTCCATGCATCTGAAATGAATAACTGGCTAACTAATTCCATGCCTGAGATGGACTGGTAATTGGACAAGAGGACATGGTTCATTATATCTTCTGCCTCATTGCCTTTCACATCACATTTCTGTTGGGTGTTATTTGAGCAGTTACGGTGTTCATTTCACTAGACCCGTCATTTTTATGTGTATAAGTGTCATATTTTGCTCATGGTGAACAAAAACAGTATACAGACGAAACTGGGGTCTTTATGTTGTAACGTTAGCGAAGTTAGACTGCTGACTGTGCGCGTGTAAATTTTTGAATTCTATTGCCTTTCCTGTCCCCTGGGATACATATGAAATTTCCACTTACTTTATTTTAAGCAATTATACTAACCAATGCTGAAAATATATTATTGTTGACGCTCTATGAATTACTTCGAGACATTTACAGCATTGTTTATAACATCATTCTTTCATTGTTTTGTAGCATTTAGTCTCACAAGAACAAATTTTTCGAGGGAGTGAGGAACAAAATGTTCGAGATTTAATTTATGATCTCGCAAGCCAGGTAAGCAAAATATGACTTTTTAAGTTTATCAAATTTTATCATGGTTCGATATCAGTAAAAAGTAGTATTTAACATAGGGCAATCCAATCACATGTAAATATAAAATTGTTTTGATTTTTTATTTTACTTTGCATATTTTTGCAGGCTCATATCCACCTTCAACATGCACGAGATATTGCTATAAAAATCCCAAGGAAAGCAAAAATTGCTTTTTTAAATACAGTAAGTAGAGGAATCAATTGTTCTGCATTTTGTTAGTCTTATACTTATAACAAATGCTTGTGAATCCCAGTAATTAATTACACATTACCTAATTTGGAGCAATTTTCATTCACATCAAATAGTGCACTATTATCAACCTGGTATATAAGGTTGGAGTTAAGCTGGAGTCAAGAGTCTGTGCTAGAATCAACAGTCCGCAGTAGGAAGTCAGTCCAAATTTTGAATTCTCCGAGTCTGGAGTGTGATTTGCAATTTTCTTAAAAACTCAAAGCATAGACTTTCTGAAAAGTCTATTTAAGAAGCATTGTGTATGCCACTGGTTCAATTCTTACCAATTTAACATGTACAATGTAATCGATTTTGTTATTCATAAAAGTCAACCAGAAGATATATTGTTATATCAAGCCACAAACTCTTTGTGGTTGCCTTTATGGATCTCACGAAGGAAACGCGGTATCTTCTCAAATAACGCCAAACACAAATGTGGTGTAAAAATGAGTGCTTTAAGACAGCGGTCGGCAACCTTTTGTCTCTCTGGGCCAACATCAAAGGTTGCAAGTCATTGACGAGCCGCACATATTTTTAGAAAGTTAAAAATCGAACGGATGAGCGATGAATCACTTTTTCACACAGATCAGAAGTTAAATTTTAAGCAGCGCGCGAAAACTGACCATTTGAATATTTTCTGCGCCAATAAACCATTTGCACTCAGCATCAACTTTCCTGCGTTTTGCTGCCATTTGTCTAATTATATTTAAATTAATTAATCGCGTAATTGTGAATTATATACTCGTTAGGTTATAATATAATTAGGTTATAATTCTTTTACGTAAAGAATATAGTCGTCAAAGCAGCTGTTTTGTTACTATAATTAAGTGGAGTGTCGCGGGCCGGATTATACTGCTCCGCGGGCCGTAGGTTGCCGACCCCTGCTTTAAGAGTTTAATAAGTGCTTAAATAACGCCAAATAAAAATCTGATGTGAAAGTTTGGCCAGAATTTTCATTCAAAATAAAAAATAAAAGTACAACTTGCGTGAACACAATACCCTAAATGGCATGGTTTGATTTGAACTAAACGTGTGTTTCAAAATTATATTTCTGGGAAACACCTTTTTATTACAACAAAATTCCACATCACATTTTTGTTGACGTTATTTGAGCAGTTACAACGTTTACTTCACTAGACGCGCCCGTTTTAGTCAAGATCAGACGTGTTTTTCCTAGTACATGAATGAGATCGGACTGTTACTGGTGAGTTTAATGTAGCCAATGTGCCTGATGGACTGATGAGACATGATGATAAATAACTAGTTTTGATTCTTCCATGACTTCCAACTTAGTGACCTGCCTAAAAGCAACTGCAATAAAATTGAATCGATTCCATTATTTTGCAGGCCTCTATGGACTGGTATCTGGAACGTTTGAGACTGGGAGATTTTAATGTTTTTCATCCACATCTACAGCGACGCAATGATAAATTACCGTTTACTGTTTTTTGTAAATTTGTGTTGAAAAAATTTTGAGAAAGTTTTCATATCTTGAAATATAATTGTCTTTTGTTGGTGATTGGTCGAGGTAGGTTTAGTGACTCACAACCCATTTTTCAAGTGGCCAACGTTTTTTTTAAATTAATTTTGGATACCTGATAATAAAGATAGGATTCACGTATTTATTCCGGGGGAGAGGGAAGACATTTAGACAGCCTAATCATATCGCGAAATTTGAGGTCGGGCAGACATTGCAATCAAATTACAACGGCTTCAATTCCACAAAGTACGAATCTAAAATTCAAAGCTGGTACTGGTTGCAGGTATGAGTCAATAAGTGTGACGTCAGGAGGTACAAAATTAATGCGACTTACCTATATGCTAAATTCCTCGAATATGAAGAAAGTAGACTCGTATACAGCGCTATCAACGTCTAAAAATAATACCGACCGCGATCTCGAACTAGTTCAGCAATCTCGCACATCGTTCTCCCATAAGATTCAAAACTGCGAAGCAGAACGACGTAATATGTGTATCCAAACAGCCGACCATTGAAAATATTACAGTTATGTGCGTACTACTTATTAAGACTCTTAGTACTGCCTTTATATAAAATTTGTTACCGGTATTTTCTATTTAATGATAATAGGTCCAGTAGCCAAGTGACCTGTGGAAAATGTTGCTGAAAAGAGATTTTTCAGAAGGGGGCGTGTTAGAGCAAGCAAAATCAGCAAAATGACCATACACCTCAGTGAAAGTAACCCCTACCTCGACTGATTTCAAAAGTCTGAATGCCATGTCTTGTCAGTTTGCTGCAATCGCGTATAGACGTCGCGTAGGTAGGCATTTATAATTCTGTACGGTACCGGTAGTTTAGGTATTTCTGTTGGCTTAACGTTTCGCATGTACCGGTACATAAGTATGATTTTATTTCGACTTCATAATAGCATAGATGATGAAATAATTGTATTTATTTATGTATGTTTATTAGTCTCATAAAAGCAATATAAAAGTTAGTTCTAATTATCAATACTGAAGACGGTATGTAGGCTATGCACAAGACCATAATGGACTAAAACACACGAATGTGCACCCTCTAATTGATAAAAACAAAACTGATTATAGAATCGGGAGAGCAAATTTAACCTCAAGTCTGCAAGTAAGGTTTGAGGTTGTCTCTCTGCCAGACGTCAGCATTTTGTAAGAATTCTGTGTCCATGTGCAGCGGTGTTACCGTGGTGTTTGGTACGGGTATGAGCCTCTAAATATTCAAAGATGGCAGAGGTGGTATGTACGGTACCGTACTTATCAGTACCTGCATGGTACTGTGGTAATATACCGGTACCGTATTGCTGTATTGTAATACAGTAATAGCTACCATACCGGTCAGCCAGCCGGTATACAGTAGGCTACCATATTAATCTGAAAATATACAACAACATGCCTATACGACCAGCCTAGCTATAAAATATTATGAAGATAGCGATCTTCAAAACGAATTCCTTCACTTAACTTAAACCCTAATTCTAAGACATTTTTTCACTTTGTTTTTTAATACTCTTTTAACAGTTTGAGAATAAACTGATAAATGGAAATTCAGCAAATCTGTGAGAAATTTCTGTAATAATTCAGATTATCATTCGTCTGTAAGTGAGGTAAATATACAAAACTGCAAAATTCAATTCGTTTACTCGCAGACTTGGTGGGTTGAAGGCCAGAAGGCGGACTTTTATTAAGAATAACTGTTTAATGAATTGCTAGCTATATATCTGTATATGTTATAATCATAAAACTTTTGTTTCTTAGATTTTACAGGTTAAGGTATTGTACTTTATAAATCTGAATGCTATAACTAGAACAGTTTAAATACTTTACGGAAATATGGAAGATAATCAACTATTTGAAACTGTTGGAAATGGTGGCAATGATTTATTAAATAATATTTTGGATGATGATGATGACATTACTTTAAGTCAAGAGAGTCAAGTCAGTGTTCACTTTGAAAATAACGATGATGATGATTCTGTCAGCGATTCAGTTGTATACAAAGTTTTTAATGACCCAATTCACGGTCATATTATGCTGCACCCACTTTTAGTGAAAATTATTGACACCCCCCAGTTTCAACGCCTTCGCAATGTGAAACAACTTGGCGCTACTTATTTTGTCTATCCTGGTGGTTCACACAATCGTTTTGAACACTGTATTGGCACTTCACACTTAGCTGGTAAGTTAGCAAGATTACTTCAAAAGAATCAGAGAAGTTTGAATATTACTAATACGGATGTTCTATGTGTTGAAATGGCAGGATTATGTCATGATCTAGGTCATGGCCCATTTTCTCACATGTTTGATGGGCGTTTTTTACCTAGTGTTAAACCGAACTCGACATGGACGCATGAAAAAGGTTCATGCATGATGATCGATCATTTAATCAAAGCAAATTGTTTGGAAGCTCAATTTGATATGTATGGCATAACTCAAACCGATGTAACATTTGTGAAAGAGATGATTGCTGGTGTGGACAGATCTGTAACAAATGGTATTTGGCCATATAAAGGTCGTGGTGAAGATAAAAGTTTTCTTTATGAAATCGTATCAAATGAGAGAAACAAGGTAGATGTCGATAAATGGGATTATTTTGCAAGAGATTGTTATCATCTTGGAATTCGTAATAGTTTCGATCACAATCGATTTATGCAGTTCATCAAAGTTTTAAAAGTAGAAGGTGAACGGTTACAAATTTGTGCAAGAGACAAAGAAAGTTACAATCTATATGAGATGTTTCACACTCGAAGTGTTTTACACCGCAGGGCATACCAACATAGAGTTGCCAATGCTATTGACCACATGATTTGTGACGCTATGGTTCTCGCGGAGCCGTATATAAAATATGTTGGTACCGGTGGAGTAGAATGCTCAGTCTCTGAATGTGTTAATGATCCAGTTGCTTTTACGAAACTGAATGATAATATTTTTGATAAAATTTTACACTCAAATGAAAAACAGTTGGAACCGGCTCGCAAAATTTTGGAAAGAATTTTAAGAAGGCAACTATATCAAATCATTGGGGCAGCAAGGCCTATCTCGCCTATGAAATTAGACGAAGTATGCGATCAAATTGCTGCATTCGATACATCTGGAATACTGATGAAAGGTGACTTGATTGCAAATACCACAAAGTTCAACTATGGTATGCATGATAAAAACCCGATAGATTCATTCAAGTTTTTCTCAAAATCAGATCCTGGGAAACCATATCATATTCGTAAGGAAGATGTTTCACCTATGCTACCCGATGTATTCGAAGAATCTGAGATTCAAATTTATTGCATAAGTGATGACAAGGTTGATGCGAGTCTTAATTGTTTCAAATTATGGTGTGCAAAGATGAAGCTACAACCTAAATCTGTTGTTAATGACACAGGCTCTTTAACTCCCATGAAACGACCTAAGCCATCGTCAGGCCATAATGGTCATATTTCCCAAGATAAGAGAAGAAAAGTACCTTATAAATTTTGAGTGTTTGTTCGTTTGTTTTAAAGAAACATTAGTTCTTAATCCATAATACATTTATTTTCTTGTTCTTTACTTTATTTAACTTTATCAATATTACTTTATGGTAATGTATTTAATTGTTGATATATTGCTTATATTTCTCCCATATTATAATACTTTACGTAATACTATTTTATTAAATCTGGGAAACTTATTCTGCCACTGCATTTTTGCCAAATAAATAGATCATTTTAGTACAAATCTCCCACAATTGTTAAAAAAAATTGGGGAAAATTTTTTTGTTTTCTCAAATTCATTTCAGTGATTTTTCTTGTGTGTAGTGTATGATTTTCGAGAGTTTGTGATGTTTCTTAATAATCTTTCTGATAAATTGTTCTCGACAATAAATCGAGCGTAAGCCGTTTTGAATTGAAGACTTGTCTTTGGTTTAATGAATATGGGCTGAAAATGTTACACAAGTATACCCAAGACACCATGAGATACCGTAATTAAAATCATTGTAAATTTTAATTTGTGTAATTAACTTTAAAGTGGACTAATAATATTTTTAATGCCTTCATTAAACTCTGCTGTATTACTGATATTGATTTTAACTATTTGACTTCAAAAGCATCCATGATTGCCTCAAGCTTTTTATATTGTATGTATATATATAAAAATATTCAATTTTGAAATGAAATATTATTGAAGCTGATTTTATTTTTCCTGATTTATTCTGAGCAGTATTCTCACCTCGTTATCAAAATCTTCAAATTTTGCTTTATTCTAATTACTGTCATTAGGAACTATAGGAAGTAATAATTAATAAAATAATTGGTGTAATAAAATAATAATTGTAATTAATCAGATCACATATTCAAAAGTGTTTAATTTCATTTGAAAATAATTTTTGCTTTTTTTTTTACATAGTTAAAAATCTAAAAGTGGAATTTCAGAACTTTGCTGCTCATATTATTTTAGGTGTACAGAGCTTTACCTCTTTAATGAGTACCATACTGTCATTATTGAATTAAAACAATCCATTGCCACCCCAAATTTTGATAAAAAACTTAGCAAAGTATATGCTACCCCTGCCTTACAGACAAAGAAAAATAATTAACATTTGGTAACTAACATCATTTAAGTTAAATTATTAAAAAATTAAAAGTGACTTCTAATGATTTGATTTGAAAAATAAATGCTGTTACAAGACAATAGTATTTTCACTTTCAATACTTCCCTTCAAAAATATTCTGCTATAAATATTATAATTTTTTTATTAATTTGAATTTTGGACTGACATTTTATGATATGATTTAATTTATGTAACAATATTTTTGGTGTTTTTAATTTTTAAAGTTTTAGTACTCTTTCTTGCATCTTTCTGCTATTATTTATATGATTTTCTTTTCGCATAATTTTCTTATTTTTTGTATATTATCTATCATACTGTTAGCCTGATGGGCTGCAAATTTCCTAATATAGGGTGGGCCATTTATTTGCAATTTCTTTTATTCTTTTTTTTTCATACATGGGTTATAAAATTATAAAAAGCAAATTATGTTTCTCTCTATTAATCAACTTTGACAGGAACAAATTTTATTCTTCAGACTGTGTCTATTACAGAACATGTTACTTTGTTAAACATCTATTTGTAAATGGTGGATTTGAGATTCAAAAAATATGGCAAGTATTCTGAAATCAGTATTTCTATACAATTCGGTATATGAAAATTTTTTTGAGAATTTATAGAAATAGGGTCATTTGAAAAAATCATTTTATCAATCTCCATTTATAATCGCTGCATATGTTTTGATTGGTATCGACAGACACACAAAGAAAACAACAAAATACAGTAATTTGCGAGTTTTAAACATATTATGCCAAAGTGATTGGACTAATGACTAATGGACATGTCAACCCCACTCTGTGATTTTCCAGTTAGAACGTATCTATCAGTAGCCCATTATTGGCGTTGGTACAGTGAGGGTAGTTCCAGCTACTGGTAGATTTTTGAATAAATTTGTTTGTTTTGATGTCATTGCTACATTCATAAATACAAAGGATTGAATAATATGGTTGCAGCATGCTGAATTGTAACCTAATAGCATACTTTATTCTTGTGGATGATTGATTGATACGAAATAATTTTGTCCAATTAAACATTGGTGATAAACAAATTTTTCTGAAAGATTATTGATATGCATAGTTGTTTTATCAACAATGCTTTTAGTTCAAATGTGCATTAGCATATTTATAGGAATTTATTTTTTGTTATTAAGAATTATTATTGGTCGATGGCTGGCTTTGTCGATTTCACAGTGCCTTGTAAACAGAATCATATTTGAATTCGGACCAAAACTTATCAAATTATACAGGTATGACGTTTTTACGTAATTGCGAGCCAGCTTTTATTCCCAGTGGTCAAAAAATTAAATTCATTCCCTTTTGGAATCAATTAATTTTAATGGATAGACGTTTGACACCAACCTCGCTACTTAACATTGATATATGATATATAATACATTTGGAACTGGGATTTATTCTGTGTAAGATTGACGCAAAAATTGTCCTCTAACTATATAGAAGTTTAATCCCAGCTATTTTGTCCAACCTTGATTTTGTACTATCAATTTTGAATTATTGATATTTTTTCGACGGCGAAATTGTAAGCATGCATCATACTATGCGCAAATATTGCAGAACATTCCACTTTCTTATAATAAATACAATTTCAAATATATGGAACATCCTGCATATATCAACTTCTTATTTGTCAAATGGTTTTGTGTAGGAAATATTAGGAATATTAACTGGCTTTCTCCGACAAATATCCAGATTTTCACGAAAATTGTAACTCGTAAAATTTTTCTGCTTCATACACCCGTCTTTGAAACGACTTTCCCAATCTTGATCGGTGCTGGACGCTAGCACAGTATCCGTCCTTTTAGTTAATTAACAAGTTCTTATTTGTCATATTTGAACGCGGATGTACACCATTTTGGACAAACGGATGATCATCCGAAATAGATAAGCGAATATTCAGGTACCGTCTTCAAGTTCTGCGTGGCATAGGACATCTGTTGGATTTTTAAGCCCCACGACGCTTGAGAACGTGGGCTTCAACAGTTTTCCCATCCCTATCGGTGGCACACAACAAGTATAAGTTTATTATTGAGCTACATTTGCCATCTAACCAAAATCGAATCTCATACAGAAAGTGAATGAAAATATTTACGGAAAAGCACACAAATTGAGTTCCTAGTTTGTGCATAACAATGTCAATATTATATTCTGTATATCAATATGCCCTCGTTGAGTTCATTTATTTTTTCCTATAACGCGTTGAGGATGTCGGCTTTAGGTAGGGTCAAATACACATCTAATCGATGTATGTTGTTTTTATTTTAATGTGAGATATTAAGATTATTTGACTAAAATGATGAGCTTATTTACTATGGACTATGATTTTCAGCAAATTTGAAACCGAAATGTCGAAATGATCTAAAACAACCGCGTATATATCCGCTGCCAAATAACCCTGTCAATTATATTCAACAATTCTGTAGTTCGGTATAACGAGATGTCGATTTTTTATAAAAAGCTGTTTCGGTGTTGAATAATCATTGAAGTAACACGTGGTAATTAGTTTGTGTCTGAGAAGTCCTAATTAAGTAGCGCCGTACACAGGTACATATATATCTATACTTGTATCTATTCAAGTCTATTGCGACGATATGCTGAAATCTCATTCAAGTTTTACTATGAGTAGGGCTGCCAACCGTCATTTATTTCAAAGGAAAGTTGCTTTTACTATAAGAGTTGCAAAACATTTAACTGTAAATAAAATATTAAATATTTACCGTATAGCAGGGGTGGCCAACCTGCTTTCGACTACGATCGACTGAAATGCTCAAAATAGATCGCGATCGACTGATCGGTAATAAGGTCCTACACAAAAACGAATGGGCACTGGATGTGCAGATACCTTGCACACACCCATACAAAAAATTCCACCGCTGCCAATAAGAAGGCTTTGTGGGCTCATTATTATTAAAATCGACACAAAAGTTGTATTTTTTTGTGTTCCATTTAAATTGTTGCGACTTACCGATTTCGATCGGTAAGTATGTTGATAGGTAATTGTCTGTTTGTTTGTTTCAATTTCGTATACTACTCGATATCTCACGAAAGCGGGGTTGAATCTCCTCAAAATTTTGCATGTGCATTCATCATATCTCGGACCAGACCTATTATTTTCGGATGAATTATGTGTCGTATAATTAGCGAATTAATAATTAATCAGTGATGGGACATGCGGTGTCGCTATTGAATCAGAGCGAGGGAATCGAACCCGCAAGATCGATAAGTCGGCGGTCTCTGATCGCTATCTAGTTTGAATATTTAATTGTTGTTAATTGTATTTGTTTATTTAATTGTATCCAAACAGCGAAAAATAAATATTGAATGAATGTTACATGAATGCTCAAACTTCAGTAGCCTATCTAACAATTTCCTCGCTTGCTTAGAATCAGAACAAATTGGGTATTTTAATGCCACTGCTACCATTGCAAATAAAATTTATTACACCACTCTTGGAGGGAAACAACAACTTTCACATACTGCGGTAGTTATTGTAGGATGGTTTGTTAGTCTAGACACGCGATATTCGACACTTCATTTTAAACCTTGGCAGCGGAAAAACTTGCATTTGTCACGTAATAATATGCTTTTTCGGGCTTGTCCAGACTCATTTACTGTATGTGTATTGTATTTTGCTCATGTAAAGTACTGTATTCTTCCTGTTGTAAAACACACAACTGGTTCGAGGCAATTTTTAGTGGTATTTCAATAAATTACACTCAACATCAGACGCGATTGACTGCTCGAGACGTGGCGATCGACCGGTCGATCGCGATCGACGTGTTGGCCACCCCCGCCTTTGAATAGTTCGTTGTACAATGAACTATTTCTTTTTTTTTCAGTTGTTCGTTACGAGCGTTTCGTATGCTATTGGCGGGAGGACGACCTATCCCTAAAAGTTGATCAAGTTCGGATAAGATGTTGCCACGGGGATGTTTCACAATGTTATTTAATTTAAACGTTTTACTGTTTCTATGTAAGCAATAATAAAATATTTAAGCTTTTATTCGTAATTCATGGAAGTGATGGGGATTAATTGATTTAAAATATTTGACACAGTATCTCTTATAGAAATTTGTCAAAGTTGGCAACCCTAACTATGGGCCAAATGATAACGATGATGCTTCAGAGTATTTTGGTCACTAAAGTCGCAATCGCGATCTTTGCTCCAGACGCGAAGTAAATTTATTCGTTATACTTTATCACTCCTTCATAGTATTACTATGAGCTTACGTGCATGAATATTTCTCTATTGCGAATGAAATCTTTGATTAGTCTGGATAACGTCACAAAACTTTTCGGCGCTGATTTATGAGGTTTCAGTTAAATTCCGCCTTTTATCAATCTACGTATTGATGAATCTGTCAAGTGTGACTCAATAATTAATCATCACGAAACGATCAAAAAAGCTTGATCCTGTGATAAATCACAGCTAAAAAGTTCACCCATTAGTGGCCATGCCCAAATAATATGAAACCGAGAACCACCTGCTTGTTGGGGTGAATATAATAAGCAATTTCTTCGGCGTTAATTAAGGGAATGCCTATATAGGAAGAAACTAAGCATGCTGCTAAGGTAAGGAATATAGGAGGAACTAGGTATTTGTGCCCAAAAGAAAAAGAATTATGTGGTTACACAAAAGTTATCGACTATGGCGAAAGCACGCATAGACAGGCGCGATACACAGGCATAGATAGCACATTCCTTCTATTCTTAGAACAAGAACGTCTTTCCGGTACAAATATATCTTGTACATATGCATAAACGATGAATTCATTATCTATTGCTTGATTAGGAATCATCTATTGTTGCTATTCAATCAAACCGCCCGGTGGCTTGTTTTATATATAATATATATCGATAAAAGCGAAGTATGGTGAAATGTCTTACTTTTCCTGGAATAATATTGATTATATAGTTAAAGTATAGTTAATATATGAATATTTGCGTACCCGCTGGCCGCTTGTATAGCCCTTCCCATTCATGCATAATAAAAGTAAATTGTAATTCATCGTCATTTGTATTTCCCGACGAACATTGGGCAATAGGTTTCAAAATACCATAATTATGATAACCTGTTTTAATATTAGATACTAATTTCTCGATACAATTATTAACATTCCGAATAACTTTAAAATCTGTCTTCAACATTAAAATATCGCGGCATAATTAACTGTCCCATGATTTGATGTCGCTTGTCTTTATCAGCACTTACCAGTGTTTCTAATTTACATAAGTTGATGACAATGAACTTTTTAAATGCAATACTAGCTTGATGACACTAATAATATTTTGTGTTCACTGGCTGAGATGTTTACCTTGAGAGAGTCTGCGGAATAATTGCAGTGTGAATAATGAATAAGTCATCGCATCGAACCTTAATTGTTTAGATAAGGAAGTCAATTGTGCAACTCTAATTGCTGCTTTCAAAGCTACATTATGTCGTTGATCTGGCTTCTTGTGATTTTGGAAATATCTTCTGCAACAAAAGGTATGTTTGTGTTTCAAAAAGTTTTGTATACACACTGTATTTTTTTTCTACAGAATATATTATATATATATATATATATATATGTAGCCTATATCCAAATTTGGTCTAGGATTGCCAATTACTGTACGTTATCCAGAGTAATTTTAATGGTATATGCATCATTATTTTAAGATTGAAAAATTGAATAAAATTATTTTAGAACCATAGTTACCACTCCGATATTAAATAAAATTGATCCCTAAAAAAATATGTTTAAAATTTAGACATTTAAGTTAAGACATTAACGTTTAGACTATTTTTAATGAAAAGCCTAGAAACCTAGAACAAAATCATATGGGTAAATAACCAGTTCTTGGCCACATTCGGAAAATTAGAAAACATAATTTTGTCATCTATCCGAGCAAAGTAATTTATACGAATTACAAATCTTATTACCAATTAAACTGACTAAAACTATTATTCATATTTTTAAATAATTGCAGCGTTTTATCATCAAATCGATGAATAGTTCGTCCAAATAATTTAAAAAGAATTGTATGCATGAGTGAATCATAAAACATTGCGTTAGAAAATGCATGTCACAATTCAATAAGCAGTCAAAAAAGCTGACAGAAATGATTGACAATTATTGCATTTGATGACCGCTCACAACAATTATATAAATTTAAGATGAAATACACCCTTTCTAGAAGAAATAAAACTAATAATACAGGATTAATTATGTCCGTAACGTATTAATTGGGCCACACTTTTCTCCTAACGCTTTTATAATGTTATGACATCACGTTTCTGGTATTATGACATAACTATTTGTTTATTTTGTCAATGGCTTCGTAAAAATCTAAAATACGACCAACCTTTGAAACGTGGTTAGTATTTAGTAAGATTTATTGTATTCTTTAATACTTTATTTCATTCGGAGCTTAAGATCACACATTCAACCGCAGTTAGTCCCAAATGTTCTTTGCTAACTATATATAATTTTTTTTTATTAGATTATCCCGTTACTTGGATCGCACGCGGTGTACATGAATATTTTATTTACAACGGTTCCCTCGTAGTAAATCATGCAAAAGCTCTCAAAATATGCGAAGAAATGGATTCCCACCTGGTGATGCCCACCACAGACGAACTGCATCGTGACGTCAAAGACGTGATCAAACAGATTGGCTATAAAGAAAACGGTGAGTATTCATTATAAAACTGAATTACATGTATGGTCTGGATATGCATATACTACGTTGTTTACAAAAAATGACGAACGTTTTTTGAACATTTTTCCCTAAAACAACATATTTTGTTGTTTATACTTTGAAATTGAGAGCAAAGTTATCATAACAAAAACTTATGGTGTTATTACCGCAACCAATTCGTCATAGATAGCAGGAAAATAATTATTTAAGTAGTGTAGAAATAGGCTTTGTGCATGTCATTCTTGATGCAATATTTTGACACAATTAGAAATTAAATTGGACTGCCTTGAAAACTCTTGAGGGATTTCAAGAAAATAAAGCTTTCAGCCTAGATTTTCGTGTACTAGAATCTGTCTAATTTGATATATGTATATTTAATAAATATAGAAAAATACAAACATATGCAAAAGCGCGATACAAAAAAAAAACACTTATTTCAATACATGACAGATTTGAGGTTGAATTTGGTATTGTTCAAATAAATGTAATTTAAAACATCGCACATGCAGCCAAAGTTTCTGCTGTTCAGTTGATTTACTCCTCTTATGCGAAATCCATATTTAATGTGCCTTGCCTCACAATTATGTGACTGAAAATTATCATTTTGAAACTAGCGATTACTCGAAAATTGGGGGATTCGCGCCTAAACAATTGTAACCAATGGTAATTCCAGTTATACATGGATTATGTTAACACGCCCGGTATAAGTCGGAGGTCAACTGATTATTTAGGAATGAAATCGTCGGCGGTTGCTACGCTGGTAGCCCGAAACGACGGTTATCTGAAGCAAACGTATTTTGAAAACGTTATTTTCAGGTCCACCATATCGATCGTATTACATTGGACTACATGATTACAGTGGAGGAAATTCCAATTTTCAGTGGATAAACGGTGATTTCTTGCATTTTATATCCGGAACTCCTATGCAATGGTCTGATGGCGAGCCAAATGATTTTAACAGTATAGCTGAAGACTGTGTAACAATGGGATCCCTCGCATCGCGGAATGACTACAAATGGTTCGATGTTCCATGTGACGCGAAAAGATCGTATATTTGTCAAAGAATAATTGGTGAAGCAGGTGAGATTACAATACAAAGATACAGTCTGACCTATTTATCATAATATTACTTATTATTTTAGCGCCCAATACTAATAATCAATCAATTTTGCAGTAACTTTAACCAGTGATAGGATTCAGGAGGTTCGTATCTATTAACGAATCCGTTTTTTTAGACGTCAGACAACCGCAGCGAAATGTAGGCTACATTGCAGCTGACGGCTAGCGTTATATTCGGTGTTTCAAAAGTTCTGTATAAGATTTATGTAAAGCGTGTAATATTAATGTAGCATGCGTAGTGAGATACTTTACTAAATATGACGTTTGCGTTACCAGACACAAAGTGTGAATATGTATCGCTTTCTTCTTCTTCTTGTGAAAAAATTGCTTTTCTCATTCACTACCGGACCAGTAGCTTTGAAATTTTCATTGTTTGGAGATTGTATTTGTCACTAGAAGCCTTACTTTTATTTATTTCAAACATTTTTGGGGGCTCCATGGGATTCGTTTTTTTGGAAACGTAACCGGACATAACGATCGTTTTGCATTTTATGCTGGCACTCTTCTTCTTGTTATTCAAATTCTTCTTGTTATCGCTACGAAAAAAACGCTTTTCTCATTGATTACTGGACCATTTGATTTGAAATTTTCAGTGGTTGAAGATGGAATTTTTCCCTAGAAGGCTATTACTTTTATTTATTTCAAATATTCCGGTGAGCAGCATGGGATTCGTTTTTTCGAGTGCGATGACGCCATCTGAATTTACCGATAGGTGGCGCTACGTGTCCATATATTAGAGCGTAGCTTTCTTGTTTTGTGTGCGATGACGTCATAAAAATTGCGCACTTTGTGGAGGTTCCGCGTTCGTGGTTATGCGAAGTCTTGAAAACTGCGGTACCGGTGGTGTACTGCGACAGATTGCATATCTGATACCCGTACCTTTTCGTTTTGGATTTCGTGTCCACATATTCGAGCATCGCTCTCTTCTTTTTATCATATGTGACAAGTATTAGTAAAACAAGTATTATTACGGTATATATTCACAAATAAAATCTGAAAGCAATTTTATTGAAACGTGTTGGAACTGTAGATATATCACATACAAAATCACGTTTTTTATGATACAGTTTTTCATATTTGTTTTGGGATAAAAAGAATTCGACAAGATAACTTCATATATTGGTGGTCATTGGCATCTTCTCCGGTTACCACTATCTCAAGTTAACACACAAAAAGCTAACCACTGAAAAAGCTTTAATCCGCGATCAATTGGAGGACATTGAGACTTCATCTTTAGAATTCATCTTTCCCTTAATTACAACTCATCATAATTGTTTTATTTCATTTTGCAGTTCCTAACGTCAATCTCGGTACTTACTTGATGACATCGGCCCTCATCTTCTTCATACTTAGCATATTGTTGGCGACTGCACTCGTTCACAGAAGAAAGTGAGTAGTATACCCCCCCCCCAAAAAAAAAAAATAATAATAATAAAAATTTCAAAGATTGCTAGGTTTTTCTTCCCTAGATAATGTTCCGCTAAACTTCATTGCCTTGTATGGTTAGACATTTTTATTCAATATTTGACTTCGTACACTCATGTACATGCTTTTCTCATAATAAACAAGAATTAAAATGAGTCGTGGTTTAAGGCTCATTTAGTGTCTAGGATTTTGTTCGAATGGTTACGAAATGCTATTGAACTTACTGATTTTTGTCACATGAATTTTCTTACGTTTGTCAAAGGTTCACACACGTCAAACTAGTGGCTGAGCCACCAATGGCACCATATACAGATAACAAGACTGACAAAGAAGATGAAAAGAAGGTTATTGATGAAGGTAATAATTTTATAGGTGTTCCCTTTTTGAGAGATGCGTCCTACTGCAAGCAGTCCCTCACATGACTTAAATGGTCTGGCCTTAAATACCAGTTTTCTAATACAGTATCAACACATACATCCCCTGGTAAAACACTTTTGCCTAAGAACGGCGACCCCAAGCTGGCGTTCCCAAAAACATTTTGAGGGTATGCGCTTTCATTCATAAAATGAAAACAAAATAGTAAAAGGAAAGAATCCAGCTTGCAAAAACGACAAAACAAGGATAACTCTGTAAATCAGGATATTATGTATCACACGATATTGATGACGTAAACGAACATGGTTATTTACTTCAAAAATTGGATACAGTTATTTCTTGAGTAGCTTATTTGTACGAGATTTCTGTTAGACCAAACCTCATGTCAATATCATCCGCCAAATTCCAGTGGGTTATCTGTGCAAAATATACTACAAGTGGTTGCACATAAAAGGACCCACAACTTTATTTTACAAGTGTCCGTTGTACCGAAAAGATTGGGGACCACTGTCATACCTTTACTTTCCATTTCGCTACTCGGTTGTACCGGGGAATCCCTGTTTTGGTAGATTGAGCATTATTTCGAAGCATGAATATAATTATACTTACAAAAGCATACTATTTTGATCTATTCTGTAATCATATTTTAAGGCATTATTACAATTAATTAAAGATTTTTGTTCTAAATAAATGTAGTGTTGATAACGGAGACTCGGAAAAGAGATGCTGTTACTATTGAAAACACCGGAGCGGTTTTAGAAGTATGAAATGTATGCAAGACTTCGTGATTTGTTTCTTCAACTACAAATATTGTTGCACCTCGTTTTGTATCATAATATTCATAAATCAAATGAGAGCTGCCATTATTATTCTATTTTTTTTTTCAAATTTATGTACAAATATACGTTTGACAATATGAGATTTCAATCAAAAACGCTCAAATGTTTACATCATACTAGAAATCGTATAAAAAGTAGCTGGATTGTAATGGCCAGTCAAAGTTCGAAGATATTCGAATGTATATTATGGTCCTAAAGTATATGTGCACATTGCTTTATTAACGCAACGAAATGTAAACATATAGCATAACTTGCTAATAAACGCAATTCAAAACGCCAAACCGTATATTGTTGAATAATTCACTATAACTTCTTAAATTTTGAACACTAATATTAATGTTATGCAAAGCATACGAAGCAAAAATATTTGGTGATAGCGTGGAATAGTATAATGTACAGATAATGTATGTTTCAAGTAAGTCATCACCAAAAAATATTATACCCGCCTCTATGTATTTTGGGTGATTTCAATTAATAATGGATAATTTTGAAAATCATTCCTACTGAATTTCCGCTATAGCAAATAAAAAAGAAGTTGCTGGTGTGTGGTGACTATCAACGTTAAAATTTTTGATCGTGTAACTACTGTAATACATTGCTTCGTTATCGATTAGATTCTTGTTTTATTACAAAAGAAAATTCTTGAATAGTTCAAGTAAGATGGAGAGCACATCTCTTTCAAGTAGATTGATAGGCTCAGCGGTTTGCGTTCTACGCTCATGGGACGTCTGTTTCATTTATTCGAATGTACTTATCACGTTTCCTATCGACAATAAGATGTTTATCGAGCAATTGTTATGAGAACATTAGCTCTTTTTACAATTCGTTCGCTTCTTTTGTTAGTTTGCCCTTGTAAACGTGATGTTTTTATACGCCTATTTTCGCTTTTGTTTTGTCACAATTAGAACGAAGTGTGACGGAAAGCAGGATTACAAGCTTTGGCAACAAAAGTTAGATCTCAAGATAGACTATATTTTTTTCGCAAAAGATGTAATTTCAAATATTTTTTAGAGAAAAAAGTTTACGAATCATGTAATAAATCAAATATATATAGGTTATGAAAGTCGGTGGGTACTCGACAGGTATTTGCGGAACATCACTTAGTATCCAGCATTTAGCTTATAGTAATGCACATAGTGCTTCAACTCACAACTTCTGAAGGAGTAGATTAGTTTAGGCATCTCAAAGACAGTGATCATTTTCCACTTCCTTCCTTAAGCGTAAATAGGTAACTGAAACTACCTCTAAGCACAATATCCGCTCTGTTGATAAAGATTAGGATATAAAGAATTAAAACTATGAAAAATACGATTGTAGTGATTCTTGCTTTATCGGAAGACAATGACGAGACTGAAATAGTTGAATGGTGGCGTCGAACTTATTTGAATCATGCTAAATCAGTTATTGATGTACTTCAATCACATGAATCATTCTCCACAAAACTAGTAACATCGGCACAGAAAGGTGAGAAAAGATTCTTAAAGACTGTAAAGCAAATGCTTATTTATTAATTTAAATTTGGGAGGCTACGACCGGGTAAATTTTATTTATCGTGATCAGTGGCGTACTGAGGATTTCGTCGAAGGGGACATAAATATAACTAAAAATTTGTTTCGTATCATAGGCTATTTTTCCTATAATTACATTATATTCTCCAATCTCCATTCATCTCCAGACTCCATCATATTGTTTAAAATTTTATGCAATATACAAAAAATGAAGTTATATATACAATATCATCACGCAAGTATTCTTGAAAACGATTAGATTTGAAAACCGGCTTAGACTCTTAGAGGATCAAAGCTGTAATAAAACATGCATGTAATGTCATTTTACCAGAAAGCACTCTTCGTAAAACATAAGTTCCTAGTCACCGGTATGATCAATTGATCATTGTTTAGGTTTCTCATTCGAATTTGAGTAACGTCCAGTAGGCGAATTGGCAGGGATATGAATTTTATAGTAGCCTACGAAAAATAGGTCATTTTAAAATATTCATTTAAATTTCATTTTAAATGTGTTCAAACGTGTTTGGAAACTATATGTACTTTGAAATTGTGTCAGGGAAGACCAAGATATGCAGCTCTCTGACTAGCCTACAGCATTGCTTAACCATGACTGAATTTTTTAATTCATATTTTTTGGTATTTTTTTTTTTGAAGAAAAATTTGCTGCGTGGAAGATCGATGACATTGTTACCGGTATCGATTTCAGTGATTCCGTGTTGGTGAACGAAGCAGTAAAAGGTGTATATGGCGTATTTGTGATTACAGAACTCAATTACAAGTCGCATCAACCTTTAAATGTAGGTATTCATTGTGGAAAAGTCTGCAAAGCACGAGACAGTGTCAATCGATAAATCCAAATAATTGATATTCAACTATATATGCTAACTGTATTATTACTACTGTTACCAGTGTATGACTTAACCTGCACCATTCCATTGAAGAAAATAGTTTGGTAATGTGTAAAAATATATGCATAAACCAACAAATCCTTCTTAGTTTGGAATACTGGTTGAACGAATAGCATCATTTTACTATAAATAATCTTCATTTTAAAATTGAACTCCTATAGGATTTAAAAACCTATAGTCTGCTTAGGGTATTTTGGCAACATAAACTTATGTTACGGATATGATTAAAATCACTAATTTTGTTAAAATTGTAGCTGTTTTTTTTAAAAACATATATATTTTACAATATTATAAACCATTTATTCAGGATGAAGTCAAAAGGGGGCGTTTGATAGCTGATGTATGTCTGAATCTAGACATTCCACATGTTATCTACAGTTCATTAGTTCATGAAAATGCGGCTATTGGACTTCGTTCTGATGTCTGTGATGCAAAAGCACATATTTCTGATTACATGGACAAAATAAAACTAAAAAAGACAATTTTATATGTTCCATTTTTATATGAAGATTTCACAAATGGATTTATGAAACCGATGAGAACAGAGAATCCAAGCATTCACAAAATAGGTTAGCACAGAATTTTTAGTTTTGAATTCCTAAAGCGGCAATTGAAGTCTACCATTGCAACGCGAATTTCGCATTTCAGAGGCACCCATCGGCCACATTGCAATGGACATGATGTCAATGAGGGATGTAGGAGTTTGTGTAAAAAGTTTGTTTGAAAACTCGACTCATTGGGTCGGCAAAACTGTGGCTTTATCAGGTGATAGGATGACGTTGCATGAATATGCCACACAAATGACAGAAACAACATATCCGATAATTATACGAGATGGAAAAGTGAGTAAGAAATCGAATTGATATACCCTGCTGTTGACGATGACACTTGAGTCGCAACATATTTAATAGTAGACATTAATATAGCTTATACATCGCATATTAATATATTTTATAATCTGCAATTGGCTTATATATTACACATTTTGGTTTTCGTCTCGTCTTTTTTTATTATCTACATGCATTTAACGGAAAATATACCGGTATTTATAACAGTCTAAAATTTTCCAGTTGTCACCAGAAGACTTCTTGAAGGTATTTGATGTAACTGGAGCGGAGGATATGGCAAATTATTTCGATTATCTAACGAGATCAGTTCAGCGCAACAATTTGTCTACTACAATGATTCTACATCCAGAAATACAGTCGTTTTACGACTGGGTTAACCAAAACAAAGACTCTTTAATTTCGTTATTTCCGCATGTTAACAAGAATTTTCACAATGGGCCTATTTGCTAATTATGAATTTTTTTATTTGAGCATTATCCGAAATTGATTTTAAAAATATTAATATGTGCGGAGATTAGTTTTTGAATGACATTATTTTAGGAACAGAAAATTCTTCTATTCTTTATGACCGCAGATTGACAGTAACTTTGAATAGGAGTTGTTGCTATTTGCTTCGCTTCAATAGCAGCTTGTTCATTGCCTTCTTAGCTTGACCCTTTTACCTTTTTTTATCTCGCCTTTGGTTACATTTCTTTTCTTTCACTTCTGATTATAATGTAAAAACTATACACAGATAACGGCACATATGTGACCATTTTTCATCCAGGCTCATGCGCTGTTAGACGAACATCGGCAACGAGGCGTTGAAAATAAGCAAAAGTAAGTCCGCAGTCCAAATTTCCGACTGTCAACAGAGAAATACTAAAACTGGAAATTAAAAGTTCGACAATTCGACCCTTGTTTTTATCTCTTGTGCGACTGACCGACTTATCTCTGCTCGTAAATGTACCCTTCCAACGTAAAGTGAACATCAATCGACAGTGGGATTTCGATTTTTGGGACAACGAAAATTTTTTTCAAGTTTAAATTCTCGGTGCGCGTTAGGGTAATTTAAAAATCGAAATGATATCGTACACACTATAAATAAAATTAACATAAATTTTGTTTCGGGAGCTCCGCGACAGATAAGAACTATTATCGATAGTGTGTATTGCAAAAATATCGCGTTATGCTTATTTACCAACGGAAACAAAACCGTACGCATTGAAGATGAAAAACACAAGATCATGTGCAATTTTTGCGTTCTTCCTAAATTGCATTCCTCGGGACTTTCTAACGTATTTGCGCGTTTACATTGAATGCCATTGCTATTGAATTTAAGAGGTTAGATTACCGGACTTGAATTGTATATTAAAAACTGTGTTCTCATGAACGAAATATATTACAGCGAAATATCAGATCTCACAGGATTCAAAGAAAATTTGGGATTAAATAAAAGCAATAGTCTTTTGGCGAAAAATACAATCTTCAACCACCGAACATTTCAAAGCAATCGGTTCAATAGTTCATACTCACACATACTCATATTTTTGAGATTTGCGAATCCGACTCAATAGTCCTGCTACATCCAATTAACACCTCGATTTGAATTATGTCAGTTACCTAACGCAATTAGTGAAATCAATGAGCAACATTATATTATTGGACACGTTTAGTGGACATAACGATCGTTTTGTTGTTATGTTGTTCTTTGACACTTTATGGACACCTAGTGGAAATATTAAAAAAACGCTTTTCTCTTTGATTACTGGACCAATTGCTTTGAAATATTTAGTGGTTAAAGATGAAATTTTTTTTCAGAAGGCTATTACTTTTATTTATTCCAAATATTTCTGTTAGCTCGGTGATATTCGTTTTTATTTGCTATGACGTCACTGAACGTTCTGCGGCATCGGACGCCATTTTGTGTCCGACTGTACTACTTCGCTTGGTGTGAATATATTTGTAGACTGTGATCTGACGGTACGGTAAACCGTACTGTACTGCGAACAGACGTGTTCATATATTTGGGCGTAGCTCTCTTGTTCAACTTCAGATCAAAACATCATTGCAGCATATTACTTGATTCATACTTTTACACTAATTCACTACGAATCTCCCATGAACAGCGTAAACAGTAATGCACAAGCGTTCATATGATCTCTTCGTGTCCAACAATGAAACCCACCGGCTAGCTGAAACAACACGCAGCTGACAGGTTAAAAAGACAATGGCTCGAAGATTGACAACTAATTTAATATTAAATAAACACAGGCAAAAACAAACAGCAAACACATACCTAAACTATTCGAAATATTAGCTTCGTCAAATATAAGGTCAATGCAATCAAATGTGAACAAAATAGAGCAACATGTAACTATTGCGAAAAAATTGTAATTCAACGAAATAAAGCTGCAAAACTCTGTTTATATTATATCATTCATGAAATGAATATATTTGAAAAAATATATTACATGTTGTATACAAATCTTGCTTGTTTGTTTGCATTCACTTTTTAACATCGCTTGACAGAAGATTTATTCAACGATTATTGGTTTTCATCTCGACCACAATAATGCTGATTCACAGAGAATAATCAGTACACACGTCGTAAGTACACAATGTATCTTGTCACTGGTTAAACATATCTCAACCTGTGTAATAATTAGCTAAAGCAAATACATTTGCTTTATATTGCCGAAGACGACTTAATAGACCATTTTGGTTTTTTAATATGAGTATGTCATATATAGCAGAGAATGAGAACATACTTGCATGAATTGAATCTGAAGCAGTTTGCCTAAATAGCGTAGCAAGATCATCATTCTACATTTTATATAAAGTTGTCACTTTTGCACTAAGAAAAGTTGCGAGGTCAGGCGAGTATAATAAGGTAGTTGAATATAAGCCCATAATTACGTTATCTTGCGTGCCAAAAATATTAATCAACGTTTTTTTTTAGAAAACGCCTGTTGTGTCGAAGTCTTCATCACTAAATCGTGTTTTGCCAATCTGATTTGTATTACATTACTTCTTGCGCCGAGTTGGCTAGGATGGACGGTAGAACACAAGATTTTTTAATTGGACATTCTCGAATTTACTTCTTCCGTTCCAAATGATCCTATGTAAATTTTCCTGTGACAAATTCTCATAAAAGAATGAAAAGTATTAAAAAATAGGCACGATATTTCAGAAAAATTGAAATGCTGTTGCGTTGTAGCCTATATATCTGGACCAAGTTTTATTTTGAGATGCTTTTTCAGTTTTATGTTTTGTCAATATTGCTGATAAACCGTTTAAAATATCTGCAAAAGATTCGATTAGCCATGATTGACTTCGACTACATACTGTCCAAAGTTGGATACCTGGGAACATACCAAATTCTGGTGATATTGATGGTTTATTACTCTGGCATACCCTCCGGATTAAATTCTATCGGGCCTGTTTTTATGTCATATCAACCAGACTACAGGTAAATACAGATTTATGCCTATTGCACTTACAGTTCACAGTCTACACATCAGCTATTGGCTAATGTTTCGTAACATTAACATGTTTGACCGTGTCTATCGAACCATTATTGTCGTCTCTGACTGGCTATAAACCCGTTGATAACCTCGCTTTTTTCCGACACAAAGGAGAGACATGTGTCGGTAGCTATGGACCTTTCCCCGAGCATCGACTTCCTTGTTTACTTCGTGACATTGGCCAATCAGCAAAAAGTGACGTAACAATGCTCCCTTTTCGCACCCGCTAAGACATTTTTCTCACTCAGACAGATTTTCAAGCGTGGTCGTAAACATTACCTCGTTATTGCGTTTTTGAACTCTATTCGTTAGTTTTCAGTTGGGTTTCGGAAACTTAAATATAAATCAGATAATTCAATGATCACTCTGTCATCCTAAGAGTTTCAATTTAATTGCAGTAATAAAAAACTAGTGTAGAAATAGCTGTGATAAAATAGGCTAAAATTCCTTACCGTTACTTTTGAAAAACAGATTGTTGTATGCGATGAATCAAAATGATGGTTTGAAATTCATACCCCATTTTACAGGCGCCAAGTCGCAAAAGCACTCTTAGAATAGGACCGAAAATTTTGCAATGGTAAAGTATAGGGAGAATTTTTCGGGGGTCAAAGTTCGGGGAAAAGTTCATTAGAGTCTGAGTTTATACTCATACAATTCAATTAAAAAGGGATATTACGATTCCTGCAATATGTGGTAAACATAGTATACAATAGTATTGCGTATAATAATTATTATTCATGTTGAATGCAACAGATGCAACGTACCACCATTTGACAACAAAAGTGTGTACAACAGTCTGAATGAATCTGAAATATTGGCATTGACAACTCCAGTCGATGGTGACGGCAAATATGATACTTGTAGACGGTAATGATACTTGAGTTTATGTTATACTAATAATTTGCAATCCGGTACTACCCTGTTATAGTACCATCATAAAAATAGGTTAAGTTATTTCCCTTTTCCTGTTCATCTTAGAAGGTAATTGATACCCAGATAGATAGATTGATACCTAGGCGGGACAAAAATCAAACTTATCCTAAATTGAGATAATCACAATAAATGAAAACAAAATATCAATGCTCAAATATATGAACATGAAATAACTTACCGTACCTAGTCTACATTCCGGTATCGGCATGGAAAAATTTCCTGCTTTCTCGTAGCAGGAGTTCGCAAAATCAAAATAGAAGTCGCCACTCTTGCCGGAATAAAAACCGTGTTCCCACGAATGAAATTTAAACAGCGAAATTTCGGGTAGAAAATCTCACAGAATTAGAAATTTAGAAAAAAAATAGTCTTCAAGCGAAAAATACAATCTTTAATCACTGAAATTTCAAAGCAATTGGTCCAGTTAGTTAAAAAGAGAAAAGCAAATTTTTATAACGATACGAAGAAAAATACCAACAACAGCAACAACATAATGACAAAACGATCCATAGGTCCACTATGTGTCCAATGAATTCTACGTAAAGATTTTTGAAAAACAATATCCAGAAGTTAATCAGATGTTACTGGTTACTTAATGACATAATTTTTGCATGATCAGAGTATCATTTCAGTCGGATCTAAATAGGTTTCATTGCCGAGGCAGCCTTTTTGTCAAAGCCAATTCATCATCAAAAAAATTTGAATATATATTTTCAACATAAAAAACAGGTACAGTTATGACGTCGAGGAATGCTACAAACATGGAAACGATAGTTTTGAATGCTTAGAAGGAGTGAACAACACTGTATCGTGCGTAAATGCAGATGGGTATTATTATGACAGATCATTGTTTACGGAAACAGTTGTTACAGAGGTTTGAATTTACGTTTTTTATGTGTGTTTTCTAATTTTTTTTATAAATGATATGTTTTACAAGCTTTATATATTTGCACAATAAAAAATGTTTTTTTTTTAGATGGATTTAGTTTGTGATAAAGTCATCTACAGTTATGCTGCTACTTCTATTTACATGCTTGGACTGCTGTTCGGATCAATCATTTTTGGAAACTTGTCTGACAGGTAAATAAATTTTACATATCATTTTGCTAAATTGTTGTTTTTAGGACCAACCAGTACTTTAAAGATGGAAGAAGTTGCTAGGACCCTATTCCTATGTCACAAAATTTTGAAGTTTTATGTTAATTCGTGGGCACATTTCCTATTGATCTTCGTGTCCATATATATGAGAGTTTACTATTTTTAGGGTCGGAAGAAAGCCAACTATGATTGTTTGTTCGGTGGGCTGTGCAGTGGGAATGCTTGGTGCCGTATTATCTCCCGTGTACTGGGCATATGCTTTATTTCGATTAATCATCGCTTTCTTTGGGTATGGAATGACAATATCATGTTTCGTAATCGGCAAGTATATTTTCAACCTATTTTCTATAAGAATGTACGACATATACAATGCGATAAAAGCTCCTATTTGCAAATTGTTAACCTACAATGCATCTGTAATAACCAATTACTTTTTGACGCAGTTATGGAGTTAATTGGAACAAAGTGGAGAACACTCGTCGGAATCAGCTTTCAAGTCAGTTTTGCTGTTGGCTATATGCTCTTGTCTGGCGTCGCTTATGGATGGAGGGACTGGCGTGATATGCAGGTAAAATCTTATACAAAGTATTGTATGATATGCAGAAAAATGCACGGGACATTGGAGAGGCACAAAATGCTTCCTTTATCTGACAATTAATTTTTGTTATCTTGTATTTTTTATGCAGTGGGCTTGCATCGTACTATCTTTACCTTTCGGGATTTTCTTGATTTTGATTCCAGAATCACCAAGGTGGCTGTTCAGTGTGGGAAAAGACAAACAAGCTAAAAAAGTAAAGTTTTCTTTGTCACTTAAAAATTATATTTGTTCGTTTATCTGTTACATTAAGATTTGGTGTAGAAGCAATCAATCAACTCATCAGTGATGAATATGCAGAACATCTTATTACATTTTCTATAATCAAAGTTATTGGCTATTTTAGGATTAGTTCAATATTGTCAGATTTCAAATTTACCTAACGTATTGGTAAAATATTTGTTTACAATGAATCCAATATTATCTTAATCATAAGATTTCAATGACAATGGCGAAGTTCAACAAAGTCGAACTGACGGAAGACATATGGCTTGAGGCAGAAAGACTAGGAAATGAGAACGTTGTAAGAATGAATTAATTAATCTGTATGTCTTTGTGTAAAGCGTTATTTATTGGTCGTTGTACACTAAATTGAATCCGTGCCAAGTTTACATTTACTACCCCGTTCAAGCGAGTTCACTTTACATAACAACTTTGGGCCTCCTGCAATATGCCCACCAAGATGGCGCACAACCTGAACTCAGGTTGTGTACCAGGTCAGTTTCAGGTTGTGCGACATCTTGGTGCGCATACTTCAAGAGTACCACAACTTTGGTATTACTATTGACAAATTTTGATTTTACGAACATTTCGTCGGTGTATGGTTTTCATGCCAATTCACTTTACTACCGTATTTAATGAGATGGACCGATTGAGTACAGGCATCAGACGCATTATTTACATTGGGTTTCTGCGATGGTTTTTTTTTATTCCATCATTTTGCAGACGTATTATATACATTGGTTTTCTGCGACTTTTTTTTCCCCGTCATTTTGCAGACGTATTTTTTACATTGGTTTTCTGCGATGTTTTCGTTCTTTATTCAATCATTTTGCGGTATGACTATATATATAACACCGTCGAACGATCTCATATTTTTTCAAGTGTCAAAAATTGCTCCACTTTTCTTTTTTGAAAGGAAAAATCGCAGGAGGATGATAAAAACGAAACCAGATCTTATTCTTCGTCAGATTTATTTCGAGCTCCTGGAATTCGACTAACGACCTTCAAAGTTATGTTCAACTGGTAAGTACAATTTTCGCTTTTATGTTTTATTCTTCTTCCAAATTTATAGCCACTATGGGACAACGAAATATCTTTTATTCGTAGGGTGATTCTACGATTTATTTTTAACAGGTTTGTCAACAGTCTCGTATACTATGGACTTTCATTAAATGTCGGTTCGTTGAGTGGAAATATATTTATCAACAATGTCATAGGTAAGCAGTCTATACTAGCATTCTAACTGACTAAAAATGTGGATGGTATCTTTAAAGAGCTAAGGAAATTCGAAATAAAATTTTCTTTTTTTAGGCGGATGTATGGAAATCATCAGCTACGGCCTTTGTATTATATTTATGGATTTTGTCGGCAGAAAAGTACTCCTTGCAATTATGTTGTTGGTATCAGGAACCACATTGATAGCCAGCACTATTGTAAATGAATACGCAGGCGATGATCAAGGTAATATTTATTCTGAGTAGCGCAAGTTTTAAAATTTAGAGACTAATAGTAGAACTTCGCCTACGTCGTAGTTTTAAAATAAGTTTTGCATAATTAAATGTGAATGAACAGCTTTTAATTATTGGCATATATATATAATTGTATGTCGAGTCGTTGACAATAAATAACAATGAGATAACACTCTTCTGTAAAGGCTGTCCGACTGTCCTTAGTATTCTGTTAGTGCAAGCACTAAGCTTCTTCGGACTTATTTTATTTCCTAATATTGATACATTCATCTACTTTTAATTGAAATACATATTAATTAATTACTGTTCCTGTGTCACTATCTTCGCATCTCCAATGTTGTTGATGTATCTTTATTTATTCTTTTGCTTTTTAGCTCTTATAACTCTTGGAGTGGCATTCGCATTTTTGGGTAAGATGGGAATTTCTGGGTCATACGCAATCATTTATAATTTTACGACTGAACTATTTCCTACAGTGGTAAGGTAAGCAATGTATACCAAATATACTTCTTCTTCTTTCTTTGCTGAAATTTGTTAGAGAAAGATGAACATAAACAATAATTTACCAAATAAAAGTCTTTTGTGTAACTGCTATTATTTATTAGACCGCTTTTGAAATTGAATATGACTTTATTACGACAAATGAAAAGGTATTGATGAATTTCTTCCGGATATACTTGTTATAACTATATTTCCTAATATACCCACAAAGAATTCTTAACGTTAACCTAATGAGTATAGTAAAAATGCGTAGTTAATTGCGATGTAAGAATCATTTTACAAATTCTTTCACTTTTTGCTGGTGCAGTGTTATTACAAATTTATATTCCAGGTCAAATGGAATCGGCATTGGTTCAATGGCAGCAAGAATCGGTGGTATTCTGACACCGTTCGTTATAGCTACCCAGGTAATATATTAATTGTCAACAACATAAAATAATATTTCATATAATTGTTTTTTCATTTAAAATGGAAATCAGCAAGAAATATTTATTTTAAGGTATGGGTGACGTGGCTACCAAACAGTATCTTTGGCGCGTTTGGTGTAATAGCCGGTATATTGTCTCTTACTTTTCCTGAAACTACGGGAATGAAAATGTTAGAGACGCTTGAAGAAGCGGAAGCTTTTTACGCTGGACAACACATGACTGCAGAACAGAGTGATATGAAAGAGCAGCGGTACGTAGAATCGCAGATCGAGCATTTCGTCTAAATAATTCAGCATACTTCATTTCAGAATGATATTTTGACCCAACAGCGAATGAAATACCTGTTGCTCAATTTGAACTAGATATTGGCAACACGAGTCTGAACAGCTGATAGCAAACCCATCAATTAATACCAAGTCGTTTGGCAAAAGATGTTTGTCAAATATATTATGTATGATTTTTTTAGAAAATCAGATACATATAAGTAAAGCACTCTATATAATACTTTGCAAATGTGTATGCTCTTGAAATGTTCGTATTGGCAAAGTATTTGTTCAACAGTTACATGTCGTTGTGACACAAAGAATAACAATTTTTGTTACAGATTATCATCTGCCGATTCTGAAGAACCAACTCATTTTGAAAACAAATTTTATGAAGTTGATTTATCTACAGAATTGTGAAAAACAACAATTGTAGAAAATTTTAGACTTTTCTTGCTGTGATGACTTCGACACTTTATCAAATTAGTCGAACTTTTTAACACAGGTTTATATAAGCAGTTATCAAAAAAAATGTACCAGGCGTCGGCAGTGGATCATTTAAGAAGCACTACACATTTCTTAGGGTTTTATTATAGTTGCTGATTTAGAAAAATGAAATGCAAACCAATTTTCAACATAATATGAAAATCCATTCTGTTTTGTTGTGATTCAAATATTTATGCGAATTCAACGCAATCGATGATTTTTAGCCAGCTTGATAATTCAGAAGGAGAATGATAACTTATTACTAACTTATATAATATACAACTGTGCTGTTTCTGGACTATTTTGCGTTAAAAATTCTAATACCTTATATGATAACATTATTCCTCTCTGCCACGACTCCATATTGTAGGCCTCCTAGAAAGTTTTCTCAAGTTGCTAGTGTATATCAAACAGCTTGTCAAAGCAATTTCACTTAATTAGAAAAAGATTATTAGTTATATTCCGAAAAACAAGCGCAATTTACTCACTGTCATATTCATAGCCCTTTGTCAACAGTAATTCCAATAACTGGTTATCGAAACTCTTCGAGTTTAACTAACAAATGTCGACTTTTATTTGTGCGATTCACCAGTTGAATTGCTTGGATTATAGTTACCTCAAGGTTTAGCAGCTTTTCGGTTCTTTCATTTCATGATGGACCCACGAGACGCCGCCCAAATTTAAGATAATGACAAAGTGTATATTTTGTATTTTATCTTCTACTTTCGATAAAAGTTGCAGTTTAAACGTCATTAATTTGTGCAATATTAGTGAATTTACAATGAAATTTGAATGATAATAAAAAAAATAGATCATACGTGTATATTCAATTGAACTAAGAAAGTAAATAAATAAATAAACATATAGGATATATTCGACTTTTCAATAAATTAGTAGAAGTTCATAATAATTTATTCAGTCATCGCAATTCAATAGCAAACATTGTGACGTCAAATATGAAACAATAGAACTGTTGGGATAAACAGCGTTCAATCAAAAAATTTTTGTCGATATTTCGATGGCAGCAACATGCGATGAATAATTTTGTATTGAGATATCATTATCATCCTCATAAATGAAATATTGGATATTACCTTGGTTCCTTACCAACCACCACCGCTTATCAACAATTGTTATGACATTCCAGATAGATTTGTTGCTTGCAAAGTTTAGAATATGCCGTTATTAAAATGAATTTGCTTTGAGATAAACTGATTCGCAAAATTATTTAGCTCTCGGAAAACAAACAATATTTTCATGAAATAGTATAAATGCACAGAAATCTAAGTCGAACTGTGATTTATGTTCGAGCTATTTGAATGAGATTGAAGTATTTCAAGGTAAATTTCGGATCCGGCATGGTTAAACAAGTCGACAATATGTCGCCGTGGACATCGTGAAAATTCTGCATCCATTCAAAGTTTCAAACGCTATTTATTAGCCGATTGTGGAGTTTTTCCAATTCTCCTTCAGAATCTAGGTCGGTATGTTCGTCTCCCACGTCGCTATAAACAGCACGACTGTTCCTACGGTCTTCAATCTTTGTACTGGTTTGACGTATATAGCTTCGAAAAGAATTTTTAGTTCGACGTATACGAAAGAAATAGCAGCATAAACCTAAAAATACCGCAACAACTGCCAGTGGAATGAGCGTTGCTAAGAGTATGGAGCGGGTATAAATATTCTGCGATTGACTCGTCACAGGATTGTCATGTTCGTGTGGGTACCCATATCCCACGTATTGTGCCATTATCGCCTTATCATTAAGGGCACTGTAAAAAACTTTTAAAGAATCGAGGTAAAACCAAAGACCATTTTTACCTCCTATTTCAAATTTACCAAGGCATGAAGTTTTGTATAAAGAATTTCTGGTTGAAATTGACTCATTGGGAAGTTTAACTGGAAGTGATGAATTTATAACAAAAATTGTCGACGTATTCTTTGTTGCATTCCACATCAAGCCAATGTATGTCCATTTGTTCTTAATACTCATAACGTCGTGTGCAGATGTAACACAATGTGATTGGTCATCATTGGTAAATAGAACACAGAAAATTAAAGTTTCATTTTCTATCCTTAATTGAACAAGACTAGTAACATTTTCTGTATCGCCAGATCCGATGGAAATGACATTTTGAGAAGAGTAATTCTTCCAATAACGTAAAAATATCCAAAACGTCAAAGTTATTCCAATTTCACATCTCTCAGGGTTTGCTACACAATCATTTTTTGTTAGATTCCTAGCAATCTGGAATGTTGTGTTCTGGATATTAATCGCATTCCCACTAACTCCGGGAACAAACAAATCAAATGACGAATTGTTTTTTGATGTATCCACGAGTTCTCCAATCCATCTAGGATCTTCATTAAAGTTTGGAAGCAATTTGGATTCCGTATGATTATCCATCGTCCACGATACAAAAGGCAGCTCATTTGCATCTACACTTGACAATGTAAAGAGCGTAATAAAAAATATCATAAAATACCTCATTGCTGTACCTTTATTCTCCGTTCGTTTATCAGAAAATTGGTAACATATTATCTGTATAATAAAATGAAACCAGGTTTGAACATTTCCAACAAATATTGTGTATTTGGACGAGATTTTTGATTTCTATAGCGGTAAATAATAATCACAAAATTCGTAACACTTGTAGTTGAATACATCATAAAACAAGAGAGCTATGCTCAATTATATGGACACGTAACGCCACATAATTTATATGACGTCATAGCGAAAAATAAGGGTAATAGCCTTCTGGAGAAAAATTCCATCTTTAACCACTGGAAATTTCAAAGCAATTGGTCCAATAATCAAAGAGAAAAGCGATTTCTTTAAAACGTGTCAATGAACAAGAACAACAAAACGATCGTTATGTCCACTACGTGTCCAATAAACATTATCAATCAATACTTAGATAACGAACTTTTTGTATAAAATATATTTACTACAAGTATTTTGATCTTCCAAACCTTGTCAAGTTTGCCTTTGTACCAATCTAGATCAGTAGCGAAATAAATACTGTATTGTGTTCGCGTATGCACATTGAACCTGATTCTCTCATGCTTTTTCATACGACTGATATCAACAACTCAATGTTATTCGTTGTTCGTTCTTCTAAAGCGCTGGACATTGACAGCACCTGTCTGCCTACGCACTGAAACTTTTGTGACACAAACACGGAAGATATGTGGGAGGAAGCAGTGATACGCAAGCATGAAGCCGGTTCACATTTGATCATATGATTGACGGATGTTAACTTTGTGCAGTGGGCTAGTGTAGTCATACTATAATAGGCTCTTCCTTCTCAGTGGTGATAACGTGCAGCACTGAAAGCTTGAATGACTATTTGTTGCATATGTTGCCGAGTATTATGTTATGTGTCGAAATTCATTGGGAAACCACTGCGTGAATATAACAATTGTTTTGTCATTGACAGGAAATTCCATTGAATATTCATGGTATTGATATACGCTGTACATCAATAATGTCATATACGGTATATATATCAGACTGTGCTGACCTTTCAATTTTCATACACTGTTGTGAATGCACAGAAAACATTCTAAAATATTTATGTCATCTAAATTTGTCGATGCACTCAGTCACAGAGACTTCCGTATCGCCCACACAAAATATCTTTTCGGTATGACATGGGATAGGTGAGATTACATAATATTACTGAAAGAAAGCTGTGGTCTTTTGCAATAAAAGAAACTGTTCAAATATATAAAGGCAAGAAGAACAAGAAAGAAAATCTGAAATATACGGAACGAAGGCCAGAACGAAATATTTTACCACTTACACTCCGAAAATCATACGGTATCCTGAACGAAGCTGGATCTGTGAAACAGCTACGGCAGTGGTTCTTAAAATATGAGTCGCGACCCATGGAATGTCCAAAATGGGCCGCGCCAGAGTCGTCACTACAAGGGCGATCTAAGAGGTGGGATCGAATCTTTCAGCTGGTTCAATCTAACTTTGGCATTTAAAAATAATGAAATAATAAACGTCATTTACGGCAAAATTGTCTTGAACGCATTGTTGCATCACAATTTATATATGTGTACTAGTTGCGCGTCTTGTGTTATGCTGTCGGTAGCCATGCTAGTCGATGTGTTGACCGCGCGCAATGTCATCTTACTGAAGCAAAATCATCAAAAATGGATGCCTTCTCTGGTAATGTGAATCCTAATAGACAAGGCCAAAAAGAAGCTCATCTCTCAACATGAGATGTTTCAAGATCTAGAGCAGGGGTCGGCAACCTTTTGATCCCGGCGTGCCAGTTTATGAATAATGAGCACCTTCGCGTGCCAAACATGTTTATGTGTATGGTTTGCATAGCCAACTACCTGATTTGAAGAGTAAGCGTATATGAGAAACAAATTCATTTTGCCCTAACCCAAACCTGGTATACATTTTACGTTCCGGTGTCCGCCATCTTGGTGCACATACTACGAAGCGCCTTTATTTCATCGTTTTTGTTAGGGCTACATGTAGCTCACGGTGAAATGATGAAAATCAGCCAGGCGCGCAGTCAGGATTTTCGAATGGGGTTGTTTCAAAATCGAAAATTTCCATTCCTTTATGAAACAGTCGCCGCGATTACGCGTTCGTTAAAAAGGCCGACTTTTTCAGCGTATACCAACTTTTCTGTCCAGTAAAATATTCAATTCATGACAGCTACGAGAATATAAAACTTTCTTCCATATTGATATAATTTTGTGTCCAACGTAACTCGCGGTTACGTGTTCTTGCGTCAAAATATAAACATTATTAGTCTGAAATACCCCTCAATCTGTTGTTGTAAATATGAGATAAACATACCCAATGGGCAATTGTATTTAGTTTCGATTGATTGTATAATAACTCTCAGCGAATTTCAATTCTGGGCAAAAGTAAAGTATATATTTATTATCGTTGTCGTGAAATAATTGTTGTGATTCAGGGAGAATAAAGTTTGTCGCATTACGAAAATAAATATCAAATCGCTTGGTGTGCCATGAGAAATCCTATCGCGTGCCACAATTGGCACGCGTGCCAGGGGTCGCCGACCCCTGATCTAGAGGAAATGTGGCTTCAGCGCGAGGCCCCATTCACTGAACAAAGAAGTGTGTGCACATGTGGCGAGTAAATAGTTCTACTACCATTCGCGGCCACGCATCTGTGTGAGGATGAATTTTCGGCACTGATGATTTTTAAAACTAAGGCTCGCCTCGATTCTATTGACGACTTGCGCATTGCGCTCATTTAAATAGAGCCGTGTATTGAAGATATAATGAAAGGGTAAATTCAAGTTTCACCAATCACACCGAGTCAGTGGACTGTTTCTATTAAATGGTTGTTTGTTTTTGAGTCAAAGTGTACTAACATTAAAAAATGCATTTTTTGCGATGTTTAAGATTGGGTCACACATTTGGGTCGTGCTCAAAAAAGTTATTAAGAACCACTGAGCTACGGTAACTCACCAGTGCCTGTACAAGAGTACCGGTAACGTTACTGGGATTGTTATAGCTTTTCCCGGCTTTTCCAGGTCCTGTGACGATAATTCATGCTTCCGGTTTCGATGTGAATTGAAATACCAAATGATCGGAGTCTGGTACTATAGTCTTCTACCCTAGCCCATAAAAACCCTCCGACTTTCGCTAAGCCCTAAATAGGGATGGGGATTTTAGGGAAAACACGGTTAAAATCAACCGGTTAACCGCAGTATGACGTTTCACGTAATATTTTATAATTTTAGCTTATTACGTCACAATGGTTACAATGCAATTTCGGAATCGCGCAAAATTATTCACGAATCGAGATAGTTACATGATCGCTCTGCCGCAAGAGATATTCAGCGTGGTTAGAACATGTGGAAGTATTTTAGTAAAACCCGATTCCGTTATTAAATGTCATTTATGTGGCAAATTGTGAGTGTTCGATGTGCAAATTCTACTATTCCGTATAATATACAATCCGGAATCTTGGTACTTCAATTATTAGTCACATATATTGAATCCTTACCAATACAGTTAGTGATATTCTTTTGATTTAAACGCCACAGGAGAAAGTTGGCGATGGAGTAATCATTTTTGGAGAAATTATACATTATGAAGATGATTTGTACCTGAGATGTCAGTTAACGGTTAAAATAAATCTTGACCGTTAAGACCATCTAAAGTCGGTTAACCGATCAACCATTCCCAGCCCTACTAAATACGTTTACCAGAGGTCGCGGAACCGCTACAATTAATTTTTAAATATTGTTGACGTCACCCCACAAAACTTCAGATAGAAAAGCGAATCCCACAGAGCCCGCAGGAAGTTTTGAAATAAATAAAAGTAATAGCCTTCTACCGACAACAATCTTTCACCACTAAAATTTTTGAAGCAATTGGTCCTGTAGTTAATAGGAATGGCGATAACAAGAAAATTAAAAATACAAAACGATCCATAGGTCCAATCCGCATCCAAAAATACAACGAAGCACTAGCATGCGGGCACAACTATACATTGCTGATCTTGAGATGTCGTTTAACTACATTTAATGAAAATTTTACTATAGAAGGGCCAATCCAAATATTTTCTCATGAAGCCCTTTTACTGTGAATCATAAAACTTGGTGTATTGACTTCTAAATTAAAATAATTTTATTGAAAAACAAATATTAAATCTACTAGGTATTGGTATGATATTTGTAACAAACTTAATATTCTGCGTTCTAGTTTTGTTATTTTCAGGTTGAAAGTTCAAATTGCAATCGTGTTATTTCATGTGAACAACTCGAAATCTATGGACTCATTGGAAGCTGACCAAACGGAGCAATAAACTCGAGTATCCCGACGCCTGCGTTCTTTATAATATAAAATACCTATATGTATGTTTGTTTCCAGTCCACACACATATATATATATTATGACGATCATTATTATCCAATCCATCTTTTTCTCCAATACAGTATTGATTGTATAATTTGTGCTATCTATCAGAATTTACGGTGACCGTACATTTGAACCCACGTACATTTGAACCCATGTCTATATCCGCGGGTTTAATCAATATGCGGGTGCTGAAACCCATGGGTTAGGGTTAGTATGGGTTCGACTATCCGTACAACAAAAAAATTTCCATAGGTGCAATAGTATGCAGGTGCAATTGTCATGGGTTCAAATGTCCGTGGGTTCAAATGTAATGGAACCAGAATTTACATATGGGATTTCACAATTCATGTGGGATTTCACAATTATTTTGTTGTTTGTCGCTGCGACTACAGTATTACCTAAAACAGATGTTTCAAAACGCTGAATTCGTTATAATACACAAGTAGAAAAATGTATTCCCAAAATACACACATAAAACAGCCATAAACCTTTTTAAACTCCAACTCCTGATATTGAAGTCACAACGCAAATCTCGCAGTGAGGCGTCTTTCGTTCTGCGTGGTGGGTAAATTGCAAAGCAGATGAATATTATCCAGATCTGTCCCACGAGACACATATGATTTCAAATTATTAACTTATTGAATTTTAATTTCCACACGCAGCGAAATTTCCGGTTTTGCATCAAGTCGATTTCCTTCTAATCTTGTTCGATTCACCACGGGCGTGACAATATTTGTCATGTGAGCAGCAGATCGTATCTGTCGGTGCCTAGTGCTTACTTTTTATTGCGCCTTGAGTCAATCATAGTTTGTAGGCAAGCACAGCAAATGGTTATTTTGACTCCAACCTTAAATATGGAATCTTGAAACACTTCTTCCAAAGATGATACTGGTCGCCACGTCAATAAGGGCGTAATCTGTACAAGTGTTTCAAGAATGGTGTTTCATCGAATATACTAGCAAACTCGATTGACGGAAATAAACGAGTAATATCAAGTTTATTTGGCTTTCTTTTTAAATGTAAAAAATATTAAATTCGAACGGGTTCTACATGAAAATTTTTGCAAATTGAACTTGAAAGGCAGTAGGCTAACCGACCGGTTACGTCACAATTATGACCCAAACAAGTGTAGACTAGAACACGTCAATGTAGTGAATGTATGGCCTACATTCTTCTTAAAGCACGATAAAAAATGTGCGACGCATTTAACAAAAAGGTTCGTCATCCCTGATTTATTGCTCTGTTTTTACAGGCTTTTGGCTCTTATCATTACTAGTATTCCAAGCTGAAGAGGTAAATTCGAATATTATCAGGTCGATGACAGGGATTTTATCATGCAGAAAAGATAAGTATTTCGCTATAAAAACCATTTGCACCGCGAAAAAATAGACCAGCGGCGGCAACCATCTAGTAAGCGACAGTTTCTGAGTAACAGCTGTGTTACTCAACAAGTTATTAACGCGTGACGTAACAGCGCGTTATAAAGGTAACTGCCGGTCACGCATTATACGTAACAATGCAGAGAGTTGACATATGGGATCAGATGCGTAAAGGCGGAGGCTCGTTCTATGGAATTTTCGTTGGCTCGTTTTCTCCATTTTAACGATTTTTATGAAGGCAGTGTTGATGCACAAATAATGTAGATTGCTGCTGCATTTTAGATTTTGTCATTTTATGAGTGAGTTGAACTGCAATTACAGAATTGAGCTTAATTAGGTACAGTTTGGTTGTCTACTGGTCTAAGATCTCATGGATCCATGTTCATGGCCTTTCCAATCGAAAGCTTGTGCTATGAATATCATTCCTTGATTCAATTATTAATATTAACAGATTAATGATTGTTGATGATTTTTGTGTTCAGTTCATCCAATTCCCAGAGTAGAGTGTGCTGTAGGACAGAATCAGTCTAATTAGTTTGGTTACTTTGCCTGTGTCAACTCATACATTCGACGAAGTGTAGTCGGTCATACCTTACTGTTTTATTGATTAATTATGGTACCGGTTTGTTATCGGCCTATTTGTAAGTCTGTATTACTTCATTCATTTTTGCGTGCATTCAGATATAAGCTATAGGAAATGAAACACTATTATTTTTGTGCATTATTGGCAATTTTGCAAGCGATTGGTAGTTCATTTGGGTATCGTCCTGTCATCATTATACACGGCATTTTGGACAGTGCATCGGATTTAAAAGATCTCCAATACTATATCAAAAAGGTAAGCGTGATACGATAATAATAACATCTAATACTCATCGGTAATATGATGCCTGACCTTAGAGTTTGTAGTAAACAAAGGTTATTTTCTACGATGTATCATGGCGGAGAAATTTACCTAATTTTTACTGTTTCAAAGGCTCATCCTGGGACACCCGTTCACGCGATAGATCTTTTCGATTACTACAAGAGTTTCAAGCCACTGTGGCATCAAGTTGAAGCCATAAGAAATGTTACGTTGCCTATAATGAAAGCCGCTAAGGATGGTGTTCACGTCATCGGATATTCACAAGGTAATTCCCTTTTGTTTGGTGCTTTCGTAGCTCGCAGCTACGTCACTGTTACCGATTCGTAGAATAACAATATCATAATTATTTCAAGTTTTTCACATTCAATGCATGGGTACATGTAGATATTTAACGTTTGCCACTTCCAATAAAATTTTCTCTTATGGTAATTGCTGGAAGGCATGATGACGATCAGTGTTTGTGTCGGATTATTTGAAACTAATTGCACAGACAGTACTGTGTTATGAGAGAAAGCGTTTTCGGATTATCCATTAGTTCAAACTTTCGCTTTTATCACGATATTAATAAGATGAGCACTTAAAAATTTAAAATAACATCAAATGACAAACTCAGTCTCATAATTTAAAGTAGACTATATCTCAATGGGCTTTACCACTTTAACCATTTACTTTTGCGTTATTCCAGTAATAACATTGCCAATCGTTGATGTTCATATGTTATAACTCTGTTCAAGTGTCAAATACTTGAATATATCAAAGATGATTCGCTTACAATTGCACACAGGAATTGGCGACCCCGTATATTGATTATCTTCCATCTATCACGGAAAGTAATATTAGTTAATTGATGATAATTTTGCGACGTCTGCTAAACCAGCTGTAGATTGACCGATAATAACACCCAATCGCCGCCGCGTGATCGTTGTACAAAAGTTCACTGGCTTTCTTCTGGAATAAATCCACCAATTAGAAGTGACGCGCTCGTTCTGTTGACCGAAAGTAAACTGCGTACCAACAAAGCGTGTCTAATCCCTGTTGCGTCGCTTATCTCATGATTTGAGAAAGGACGACCCATTTGCACAAGTGGTTTTGCCAACAGCTTTGTTAGCGATAGCGTTTTACTAAATCTTAATCGATCGTATTACGCAACATAAGTGACGCAATATTTCTTTGTTCATCCGAGATTGCGTTATCATTTTTTACAAATGATTTCTTTTTGTACCATCAAACGGAATACCAACAACCAACCACTAAAAATAATATATCCTGTGAACTGGAGCGATGTGGCCTTTAATATTATTGATGTTTTGGGCAAAATACCGCCTTTGATATAAACTTCTGATTCTATACAAATGCCACTTCTGCGCGTATGTTAACTCTAGCTAACCATTTCTGAAAGTTAACATTCGGTGACCGTACATTTGAACCCACGTACATTTGAACCCATGTGTATATCACCGGGTTCAATCTATATGCGGGTGCTAAAACCCATGGGTTAGGGTTAGTATGGGTTTAACTATCCGTGAAACAAAAAAAAATCCATAGGTGCAATACCATAAAGGTGCAATTGTCATGGGTTCAAATGTACATGGGTTCAAATGTAATGGAACCTTATCATTCTTAAACCCGCACACATAATCTGTATTAGCAAGCTTGTGTGTGATAATTGTAGTCACACTATTTAATGTTAATGAAAACTTTATTTTTTACAGGAGGATTGGTAGCTCGTGGAATCATTCAGACAACCGATAATCATAATGTACGTTCGTTTATAGCACTGTCATCGCCTTTAAATGGGCAATATGGCGGTATGTATGAACATTAGTTTACATGCGCGTTCCCATAAAGGGAAAAAAGAATAACAAAATACATGAGAATATCGATTCTTGTAGTGTTAACACCACTGATGACATGTAATATTTTTAACAAGATTTTAACACTGTTTTCTGCATTCCGAACCCAAAACCAAACTCAGCTGACTTTTACCTAATCATTACCCAAATTCAAGCAAGCTGGACTAACTTTTGAATGACAAGTTATCATTTTTTTTCAGATACATATGTTTTCAGTTGGTTATTTCCCCACTATCTGAAGGAAGAATTATATAAATTATTCTATACTGCTTACGGACAGGAATGGTCCATTGGAAATTATTGGAAAGGTTAGTTCCACTCTATTCACAGTTACGATGGATATATCAAGAAAAATATACATAACGAATGGTCAATCGTAATTATTGCATAATGTATGTCTACATAGTTATATGCAAAATATCAATTATGATTTGTGTTATACATAGTCATGATTTTTACATAATAGCATACATCACTTTGAAGGGTACCGATAAGAATAATATATGAGGTTGTCTTCAAGATATTTAAAACAAAATATACTAATCAAATAGAAATTTTTATTGTTTTTTTTAAAATGAGTTATTGGATAGGGCTCATTCTATGGCCCATCATACATAGCGAATTGCAATTACCAGGTTCTGGGATAGAGCCATACATTTAGTTAAGAAGCCCACCTGACAAACACATTTATTATTTAGATCCACACGAATTCGACAAGTATCAGACGTACAGCGACTTTCTTGCGCAACTCAACAACGAAACCAAGCCTGAGAAGAGCAGATTTAAGGAATCGTGGCGAACCAATTTTTCTAAACTAAAAACTGTGGTTTTGGTAGGCGGTCCAGATGATGGTGTAATTTCACCCTGGCAGAGCGCTCAGTTTGGATTCTATGACGAACAGGAATACGTTATTCCAATGAGAAAACTAAAGGTAATTTTGTGATTCATTTATTTTTCTTGAGAGCAATTTACAAGTCATTTCCATCTGGGAAATTAATAACCGTCTTGCAATAGCTCTGTTGCTATGTTGTTTCGATGAGCACAATCGCGATAATACTTTTCACCACACTTCTTGGTCCTGTGGACATTCAAACTGGATTTTTTTTCATCTCTGTAAGGCAGATTATATCAGCACTAGGCGACGCCGAAGTCATTCTGTCACCGAAACTTCCTTTTGGCGATTTTTTTTGCAAAACGACACAATGATACTTTAAACCAATTCGCCAGGCCAATTCATCAAGTTCAGAATATAATTGTTAACTAATTAGGGATTGAATTCCATCGTCGCTTATGTAACGTTTTTTTATTCGAATTTTTCAGATTTACAAAGAAGACGTATTCGGACTTCGTACGTTAGACAAGGCGAAATCTCTTCTTACCTGTACTTTCGCGGATGTAGGACATCTTCTCTGGCACAAAAACATCACAGTGTTTGAAAAATGCATAGAACCTTACTTAACATAGTCTAGTTTTGGCATACCATATACATTGTAAACTAAACTCAGGGAACACTAACATGCGTAAAAAAACGTTTGCTCTGTAGGATTTGTTTTGTTGCGCGGATGTATAGCCCACTCCGTTTATGCCCACAAACACACTACCTCTTAGTATGTATGGCATAACGCAAAGCAGTGTGCTTACGACCCGCGCAATGAGGTGGTCTAAGAGTAATTCAAATGATAATGCTTAATATTGTAATGTTGTATGCTGCATGGTATTTGTAAATAAGCTTGTGTGAATATTAATTTAAATTATTTTTGCATTTATACTAATTATATTGTGTCTAACACATCTGTTTCGCCATTGTGAATTTTTTATTTTTGACTTGTGTTAGAAACGCCGACTTTACACTCCTTCGTAGTTACCCTTTCTTTGGTACTCGTGTAAATATTGTACAAAATTTGTGTAATTTCTTCATCTTGTTCCAAATATATTTAATCATAAACCCGATTCTTTCTAATTCAAATGTATTCCCCGTTGGTCGCACAGTCGGGAAAATATCGGACTGAAAGTCAAGTCAAGTTTATTTTTTGCAACCAGTAAAAAAAAATCACAAGCACAGTTTACGAGAAAATGATAATTTACACAGTTTTACTGGAGAAAGGAAGTCGCGGGGAACCAAAGCTGGTTATCGAGCAACGACACCCGAGGTTCTAATATCTAATTCGGAAAGTTAGAATTCTAGAGTTTCGAAACAACTGATATTGACGGTGAGTACCGTATGAAATAACTAACACCGCTTACCAGAGATTATATAGTAAAGGTTATATTGATGGGGAATTCTCCATTTCAACGGAATCACTTAAGAAAGTGCTGTTCCGAAATGTACTCTATTAGATTCTAGATAACCACGTGTTTACAGTGTGGATTGCATTGATAGAAAAGGTTAGGGGTAATAAATCAAATTGACACTATGGATTTTATAATAATAAAAAAGTAGTTACAATTGTTCATTGCCGGTAAACGGGAAACTGTAAGGTAGCCTACCGGTACCATATAGTCTATAAATATATTTATGTGATAAAACTGTTTTTCAGGTATAAATTGACTATAAGTACAGAAGTACCGAATATTGGCAATTTAGCAGATACATTGACTATATAACATAGCATATTAGGGCAAATATCTGGAATAGAAAGTACGAAGAACAATTGTACCATACGGTATACTGATATATATATGAATTATAAAAACTGAAATAGGGCCTAACTCGTGCGGGCCGAACAATCACTTCAGCATCTCTACCATTTAGTAGTTTTCACGATGATAGGTGAAAGCCGAATAATTGCTTGCATGCTACATTTAGGCAGTAATAAATTATCGTCATGAAATGATAATAGCGTATGTTTTTCGTATGTTACGCGATATCTCACGAAAGCGAGGTTGAATCTGCATGTGCATTCATCATATCTCGGACCAGAAGCCTGTTGATTTTGGATGAATTATGTCATATAATTAGCCAGTTATTAATTAATTTGTGATGGGACACGCGGTGTCGCTATTGATTCAGAGCGAAGGATACACGCCGCTAGATCGATAAGTCGGCGGTCTCTGATCGCTATCTCGTTTGTTTATTTGCGGTTCTGAAAAGGCATGACTTACCACTGGACGCATAGCGAGCGAACTTGGTTTATAAACTATATAGTACAAAGAATTTCAGCCCACCTTTTTCTTTGATTACACGAGTGACAGCAACTTGTTAGTGGATAACAAACGATATAAGCGTACTTTGTTTGTTCAGGCATTTTCGATTCCAGGCGATTAAATTAGCTGTTTATGGGTTGCCATCATTCTCCGAAGGGGTCTTCAAAGGAATCCGAGAAGGATAAGTATAGTAGACAATATAGAAATCGCGCGTATTTTTAAGATATGTAGAGAGATTACGTAGCAGTAGTTTTACTGCAGTGGCGGCGCGTGGTCATTTTGACAACCGGGGCAAGCTACTGCGCGACCAAGTCACCCCCATCTACGGGGACAGGATGAGCGCTGTAAGTTCTCCCATCATTTTATGAGTATAAAAACCATTCCATCGGTAACAACCAACCGGCAAAAGCGACAATTTTTAACGATAAGAAGTGTCTTTAAAACCGGTCCAAGTCAAGGGATTAATAAATATAGACATAGTTTATTTTGAAACCTCTTTCAAAAGGAAAGGCAATATTTACCCAGATAAATACAATGACATATTAACAGAAACTTCGGGAAAGCAGACAAAACCTAAAATAAGGTTTAAAACGTTACTATGAAGAAAGGAAAGTTATGCAAAGATAATGACATGCGTCGCTCACTCATAGATATATATATATGCTGCTAGACTTCTACTGCTTGAACATATATATATGCAACACGCCGCGGTTTCTTGGAAGCAAAATGCTCAATAACGCGCTGATTAAAGTCATGCATCCCAGAAATAACGTCTCTGTGAATGGATAAAACAGCCAAGGAATTTAATCTATCTTGCTTCATTGTGTTTCTGAGATACGTTTTAATACGCTTCAGCGTGCTGAATGTTCGCTCTGCGTCGGCGGAAGAAATAGGCGTCGTCAAAATGATGTCCAGAAATTTTGCAGACGCCGCAAAAGTAGTTACTAGAGTGTTATCTATGAGGAACCCATAGAGAGCGCGCAAGTTGATGTGATGTTCAAAAAAGTTTGATTGGTGTATATACATCGCAATTCATTTTCCAATTTACCCACGTTTATCATGGAGTAAAATTTGGAGACAGTAGCCAACAAATGGATGGGAAATTGACGTGCAAATTTTGAAAAATTTTTGGGGTTCATCAAAGAGAACGCGACAAGGTGTTCAGTGCGCAGACGATCGCCTATTTCAGGGGTCACCAAACTTTTTTGACCGCGGGCCGGGTATGACTCAAATTGTGTTGAAACGGGCCGGATGAATATTTTTGTCAATGCAATACAATAAATTCACAAATGTTGGGAATATCGCAGAATATAGATCGAGAACATCCTAGGAAAAAAAATCATAAAAAACGACTACCTGCTGTAGCTTGGAATTCTATGAAATTTTGACATAATTTAGATAAAATAAACAACTATTATCTGGTATTTGATTTTTTTCATTAGCGCATAAATTTCCCAACATTCGACGCTTTTAAAAATTACGCTCCAGTTATACGTAGTGCAAATTAATGATATTGTCCATGGACACCAATAAAATGTATGTGGACGTGTGTATTTCTGTCCTAACTTGATAAAATTTTTATGAAGTTCGTACAATCAGCACATCGTTAATTATTACCCACAATGAACCACTGTCAAACTATCATGCACAACTCTAGCGTTTATTTGCGACGATCTTTCGGCGGTGTCAATGACCGTTGCCAGAATAAAATTCTGAAATAGTCTCAATATACCATAGATGTGACGCACATCGAAAGATTAGTGATTGATATGTGTTATTTTTCCATATTTAGTTCAGTTCTTATCAAAAAAGTAATACAATCATTATATGGAAAAAATTGGCCTGTCGGGCGATACTAAAATTCCGATATCTTCGGTATTGTTTTCTATTTTTACTCAGATCTTTCCACTGAAGCAGTTTTCATTTAAATCGGATGGACTTCAATTTTTTTGTAACATACCTACATGAATATCCGCATTAAAGCAGTACAAAAGTTAGTGTGGCGTTTGAAATTGGAGCAGTACCGGTACGCGAGGGATTACAGTACTGCACAAAATGCACATTCGACGTTTATTTTAGCACAAAAAACAAACAGTTTCGTCGAAAGCACGCGCCACGAGTGTAGAAGTGTATCGCAGAAAACGTTACGTACTGGTAGCAATGTTACGAAAAAACAAAGACGACGATGCTCGTGAAAATCTCCCTTGAAAAAAAAAATTTAGCCATTTTTGTGTGTTACTGCGGACCGGATAAAATGACGCCGCGGGCCGGATAAAATGACGTCGCGGGCCGGATCCGGCCCGCGGGCCGTAGTTTGGTGACCCCTGGCCTATTTGATTCACCAGAATGTCACAGCATTCCTTTGCAGACAAAATCAAACGCTGCGTTGTTTGCCCGCGGCGTAAAGAAGCACTCCATGTGTCGTCGTATTTTATTGTTTCCCGGATACGAGATACAGCATCGCAGAAGTCTGAAATACACGACTGCGCAGACGCTCCATCCATTAGCCTTGACTGCAATGCGCCGTATAATACATCCACGTGATAGAATATCGTGGAGAGAAAAGCGAGAAAAAATGAAAACTCACCATCTTCTAGCAGACGCTTTAGACCTGCCGCCTCCCTCACAGAGCGTTCGTCCCAAACCGGAGAGCTCTGAATGCCATTGAAACACTCAATGAGCTCAGACCTAATTTCGGACACGCCCTGCACCACGCGTGATTGGAAGTTCCAACGTGTTGGTGCACAAGCTGGGAGATGGTGGCTACATATCTGGCGAAGGAGGTCAGAGCGCTTCGGCGAAACGGAAAAAAAATGAAGAAAACCCCGAAACATTTGCAAAAAATATACGGACGAGAGGGGTATCAAGACACATATTTTTAATAACGAGGTTAAATTGGTGTGCATAACAATGTAAAAAATGCGCATGAGGAAAATCTTCTTTTATATAAACTTGAACACCATGTTTCGACCCACTCCCCAGATAGCACAACTACGTCGGAACAACCATGGCCGAACGTTGTTCGAACCACCGGCCCAATAATGGCGAACAACCATGTCCCAGCGAAGATTTGGCCGCTGGGCCAACGTCGGTCCTTTCGTTGTAATGCAACCGTGGGAAACGGTCGGGCCAACGTAGGCGATACGTTGTAACACAATCGTGAAATATGGCCGGTCCAATGTGGGCGATACGTTGTAACACAATCGTGACATAAGGCCGGGCCTACGTAGGCGACACGTGGTAATATAATCGTGGCATATGGTCGGGCCAAGTTAGGCGATGTGTTGTACAGACAGGGTATGGATCTATACTACATAGAAATTTCCCACTAATCTAACATTATTCATATAATAAAAAACCAAAGATAACAAAATGTCTTTATTTTACAAATATGTATACATGTAATAAAATTAATCGAAGTTCGTTGCCAGATCATCCAGAGCTGAAAAATATAAAAATTCTGTGTTAAATTGCAGTATTAGCAAATTACAGCATCAGAGTTCAAAGTCTAGTCTGAATGACTGCATCCCAACAAATTTTCAGAGTAGGAATCTTAAGCCAAGTTTCTGCAGTCGCAAATGTGTGAGTGAAGCTTACATTGACAAGACAATAATAATTGAGAATACAGAAATTCTTGATTCTGCAAGGGGGCGTAGACAATGTTTTGAGGGGAATATTTATTGGAGGGAGTAATGATGATTTGAGATTTTATCTGACTAAAATGTCTTCAAATATTCCTTGTTGAAATTCATTTATCTTATTAGAAACATCATGCACCATGATTAGTCTATTTGTTTAATTGATTTACAATAAATTTGTGCTAGGGGGGGATGATAATGTAAAAAGTACTGTAAGGGAGCGATGATACAAATAAGTTCGAAAACCACTGTTCGTCATTATGCACCAAACTCTGGCAACATTGGATTGGCAATTTGGCACTTGACTCTAACCATAATCAGCTTGGCGATATCTCCTTAATAAATATTTTTCTATACTGTTCACTTTTGTATACAAAATCTACATTCAATTTCTTTACTGTTCACAGTTGTTTACAAAATCATTATTCAATTTGACAATCATAATGATACAAATGAATGGTGTGGCAACTGGCAAGTACATTTTGTTCACTACCCAACTTATCTAAATTTTCTCGCCTGTTTTTATTTTATTATATCTCTGTTGTTGTTGTGTGTGTGTAACTTAATTTAATTCATGAACATGATAGGCATCTTTTTGGCAAAACCTTATATTCTTTACGCTTTAATCCTAATTAGGGTTTTGTTTTCACTCCAGATTGTCAGATTCTATTTAATCAATTTTTGTTCATTTCCCTCATGAATTATCTTAAGCTGATTTGGAGTCAAAATGATCTTTTACTTATAAAATAGAAGAGGGTAGAGCAGAGAAAGATGGTGGTACAATACGATGAAAATATTACATACCTTTAATAGCAGAAACTAAGGGCGTCCCACTCACTCCTTCTTATCCACCGCGTCCTGCACAGTTGAAAGAGCGGGAGAGTAAATTTGTTATAACCGAGCTCATGATTTTCGAAACCAGTCTTTCTTGGAGCAACCTCCGAGACTTGACAAATATCTTATCTGGAATGAGTAAATAAGCACAATTATGAGAATACATTTAATGAAAAGGTTTCCATTCGTTGCACAAGCTCTATGTTAATAATCACGAGTATCTACTCTAAAATATAAACATATGTGATTTGTCCACATCGCATTCGTATGAAGACATTGAAATAATCTTCCTTGAACACGAAGCAAAATTATGGGGCAAATTGTATTTCATACATAATTTCGAAGCGCTTCATGCAGACAAAAACAAAACGACAAAAAATAAAAGGCACTCAATAAGATGAGACCCAGCAAAGGTATTTTCACCTATTTCACTTTCATGTTCTGTTTAGCTCTCGAATTAATTATGGAGTAATCTGCAATATTTTAACATTGTACTAAAACTAAACAAATATTCTGAATCTCAGAGATTTTTACATCATGGTCTTCATACGATGGCATGTGTTACCGGTCAGCGAACTCTTTTAAATTTATTTTGCTTGCCCCCTTGCCGCTGGGTAAAAAGGTTGGGAACCACTGAACTAAACAGTTAAGTACAACCACGTTACACCAACGCGCCCCGCAAACTTACAGTCGATTTTCATCAGAATGATTAAATAGAATATTCAGAATAGAATAAATTGATTTTCAATGTTTTCTCGTTGTGGGGTCGCAAGTATCTGTAGTCTGTGATTTTACAAAAATTGGGGTCGCGGAAAAACAAGTTTGGGAACCATCGCCGTAAAGTGTCTGTAATCAGCTTATAAAAATATTCAACTTACAAACCATTTTTTCATCCTTGAATGTATTCTGGATCAAAATGTAATCAGACAATGAATTGACAATGAATTTCATCAATTCCGGTATGTCCGAGTCCACACTACAATCAGTGGAAAGTTGCAGATGCCGTAGCTTGTAGCATCAGAGTTTCTACCGCCTGTCCCAACAATTTTTCCATTGACTGGATTGGAGCATGGCTTAATCTCTGAAAATTAAGTTAGTGTTACCCAATGTATAGTACATTATTGTCTTTCAAATGTTGTACTAGATAATTATTCAACCGATATATCTAGCTATTGCGCAATATTTTATGGCACAGATATGCAAGGAGCTACTATCAAACTATAAAACAAAAACACCTGTTTTGGGCATTGTCCGCATTGAAACATTGAGATGTCTGAAATGACACAGTGTATGATTGCGTGAAAGAGGGAATTGGAGCAGGTGAATTTTCCAGTCCATTGTCATAGGTCCTGTTATAAAAATGGTATATATCCTTAAACTTACAATGGTAATATTGCAGTATTGACACTTGACAGAATATCTAATCGGTAATAATTATTAAGAATAACCGGAAAAAAATGAATATTACACAAAATATGTTCAAATATTTGTAAAGGATGTGTCGTACAATACTTCATGCTTTTAGAGTCGCTGGGCATTGCACAGTTGCATGCACATTTGACAGTCATTGTACAGAGATGGGCTTCGCCCAGTCGCCCGAATCTTTTTTGCTAGTGGTCTACTTTCCAATTCACTTTAAAATATAATAACACTTAATTAAGGTTGGTTGGGTAAGCTTACATAGCATACATACTGAAAATAAATTATATAAATATACCCAATATAATTCTATTGAAATTTAAAACAAAATATAATTCAGAAATCAGTAATTTATTTCTCAACAAAGCTGAAAATATGAACTAGAACAGGGTTGGGCAAAGTCTCGGACCGCGTGCAAAAATTTTGCGCATCTAGACTGGCGGGCCATGTCGCATCTCGCATGTGTGGCGTAAAAAGTTATACCTTAGAAACAAAATTTTTTTTAAAGTGTTACAAAAATGGAAAACAATAATCCGTGAGCTATTTTTTACCTAAAAACATCAAATTTTAGTTTCAGTTTGATTGTGGCAATTGTTAAAACATATTTTAGATTTCAGCCAATTGAGATCCCCTACTGCTGTACTGGATTAAGTCGTCCAACGGGTTGGATTTGCGCTGCGAAAATGTTAGCACTTAGACAAATAAAGTAAATATAAAAAATCATATCCAGGGATGAAGGACCAATACCGGTACTCGATAACGAATACTGGTAAATGAGAGATGGCGACCTCAGAAAGTTTAACAAAAAAATGCCAAAAGACCAAGTACGATAACGTACCTCATCTCGTTCTTTCGTTACCGGTACCTACGGTGTCCAGGGATAAATATGTAACTTTTACCGGTATGGTACCGTATCACCCTTATGAACCGTGACCTGACAACGCACTTAGGGTACCGGTACCATTAGAGTCATAGTCATAGTCAATTTTATTTTTTCCAACCAGCAAAAAAATAACATACAAAATCAAAAGATAAACAAAATTTAACACACATTTTTACTGGGGAAGGGAAGCCGCGGGGAACCAAATTTGGTTATCGAGCAGCGACACCCAAGATTCGTCATCTAATTTAATTTGGAAACTCGGAAGTTATGTTTTAAGAATAAAATGTACCGGTACAGGTTTGAAAATCCCATCCCATCGGATAACTCGTAGGGTATTCCCTGATTAATCGGGTAAGTAAAGGTCTGAAATGCTGATACGTGTTGTATATATTGTCTAGAAATAGCCTGATTGCGAACACTATAAACACTAATAAATAGTTTATATATAACCATAGTTTAAATAGGCGCAAACATGCAAATGGCAATGAATTATAAAAAGGCCATATTACAGGATGAAAAGGACGCGGGAAATCAGTGGTGGTTATCGAGCAGCGGCACCTATAAAATAACTCTGGACACTATATTATAAAGAAGAAAAAGTCAAATACAGTGTAAATAAGTTGGAAAATAAAATGCATACAATATCTCGAGGCAATCTGCTATAATCAACAGTCGCTCACTTCAACAAAACACGACTCTGAACACCACTAACTTGGTAACCATGGAGATGGTATTAATGGACTGTGTCACAACAATACTATTGCTGTATTGTGATGCGCATTGTCTAACAGTCGCCAATAAACGTCAGATTCCGAAGGCGTAACACTGGCTTTCAATTAGACGCGGTGGATATTGAGAGCAAAGAAAACAGGTAATAAATCTTGTAGTATAAATAGAAAGACGGAATATCTGTGACGCTAAAATTAAATTAAACGAGATACGGTAACGTGGTAGGTACCGGTAACGGTACTCAGTGCTGCAGTGATATACTGTATATCAATGCAGACGTGGTCCATTAAAAGAATAATTTGCACTGGACAACAGTTTGAACATATAAGGACAGCGTAATGAGAAAATTAGTAATGCAATAATTACGTCAATTATCACAGCTAAGCCATATTTACAGTACTTGGTCATTAGAATAGTTCAATAACATTATTCACTCTGTTTTAGGTGAGGGTATGAAAACAGTAATACAACAACTTAGGAGACAAATTGTTTCAAACAATTGGAAGTAAGTCGACAAAAAAAATAATGTTAATAGGACATGTTTTGTTTGCTTTTTAACATATGAATAACATGTGTCATCAATGCTCAGGGCATTGATTCAATTACAGAAATCAGATATGAACTCATTCACTACATTAAAGTAAATACAGTAATGAACGTTTGTCATATAAAGATACAAGAGCTATAAATTGAGAAAGATTGTTGCTGTAAAGTAATGAAAACATAATATATTAACTATTGTAAGTATACAGTAATTACTAGGTCATTGCAGTGATTCAATAACCTTTCACATTATATTTTTTTTCAGTGGTGTCATAAAAGCAGCCACAATAAAGATCTTGGTCGGGTTGTTACAAACATTCGAAGTAAGTCGACACGAAATTCTTTTTCATATTTGATTTGAAAAGTTGGTATGACATGCTTCGTAAATCAGCACGGAGAGCATTCCACATAACAACACCCTTATATTTGAGTGAATTTTGCGTTTTAGTGTAAGTCTGTCGAGGTACATGGAGTGATGAAGTGGATGCTGATCTAGTGTTATAATTGTGAACATTGCTTTGCTTGACAAAATAGTTATTAAATGCCTGTGGCAGGCAACAATTGTGGAATTGGTGCATCAACTTACCAATTTCTAGATGATAAATATCGGTATACTTCAGGACACCAGTTTCATGATACATAATATTCATGTTAATATGAGCAGTAGGCCTATAGAGAATTTTAACGGCCCTGTTCTGTAAACTTTTAATAGGATTTAGTTTTGACTTGGAGGCTGATCCCCATGCAACAACTGCATATTGGATATATGTTTGAAAGAGAGAATAATAAACTATCTTCAGTGTATTTCTGTCCGTGTAATGTTGGAGTTTGCTCAAGATGCCCACTGAACGTGAAAGTTTTTTTCGCACTTCATTGATGTGCACATCCCACTGTAGACGATTGTCTATGTTTAACCCCAGATATTTATACGAAGGCACAGACTCGAGCTCGATTCCATTGATTTTGATTTCTAAAGGAGTTTTGTCGCGGTTGTGATTAGGCTTAATGTGGACTACTTTAGACTTTTGTATATTGATGGTGAGCTTGTTACTAAGCATCCAATTATAAATTTTTACCATTTCTAGGTTGACATGATTTTGGAGATTCAGTGAAGATTTGGAACTACAGAGAAGACCGGTGTCATCTGCAAATAATTTGGTCATCAAATCAGAGCAATGAGAGATGTCGTTTATAAAAAGAACGAATAATAATGGGCCAAGGCAAGACCCTTGGATTACACCAGCTTCGATTGGAAGAATTTGGGAGCGGTGAGAGTCAACTTCGACAAATTGGAGTCTGCCCTGCAGATAATCTTTGAAGAGGGCATGCGCGCAACCTCGAATTCCGTAGTGATTTAGTTTGCGAAGGAGTATGCTATGACTAACGGTATCAAAGGCTTTTTTTAGGTCTAAAAAGGCACAGCAGACATGCTCTCCCTTCTCGAATTTATCATAGATATATTCTATGAGGTCAATTATGGCATGGCTTGTTGAGTGATTTTTTTGGAAACCAAATTGGCATTTATTTATTAGTTTGTTCTCACCACAAAAATCACTTAATCTGCAATACAGAAGTTTCTCAAAGACAATTGCCAGACATGATAAGATGGAGATTGGTCGATAATTAGATGGGTTAGTTTTATCACCTGATTTGTATAATGGTATGACTCTGGCAAGTTTCAGCGCAGATGGAAATATGCCTATTCTTATAGACGTGTTGAAGAAATTTACTATGATGGGTGAGATTATGTCAGCAATCTTCTTAAGGAGAAATGTAGAGATGTTATATGGGCCTGTGGCCTTTCCCGTTTTCAAAGCAAGAATGGTATTGAAGACTTCGGTCACATTTGTTGTTCGCATATAAATTGACTCCTTAACGGGAGCTTTTAGAAAGCTCGAGAAATGTTCATTTGTTGTGGGAACATCTGCTATTAAATTTTTCCCAATATTTGAGAAGAATTTATTAAGTTCAGATGCAATGGTTAGGCTATCATTAGTTTTGAGTCCATTTTGAAGTTTTAGTTCTGATATTGAGGAGTTGTTCCTCGATTTAATGTTCACAATCTCCTTTATTGTCTGCCATGTTTGATTTACATCTCCTCTATTGCTTTTCATTTTTGACAAATAATAGGCTTGTTTTGATTTTCTTAGTAGGTGAACTAAGATGTTGTGGTATTTTTGTAATGTGCGCGTTGGCTTTCACTGCCATGCAAATAATATTTTTTATGCATTTTACTTTTTAATCTAATGGATGTTTGGATACCATTCGTAATCCAGGGTTTGGATAGAATTTTTGTTTTTTTGCGAGAAACCGGTACCATAGGTGCATGTTCATCGAGTAAATGTTCCAATGAGGTCATGAAGATGTTGAACACCTCATTGAAGCTATCAGTGGACAATTCTGTCAATAAAAATCCATAGAATGCATTTTGAGCATCATTTCTGAATGTTTCCTCATTGAAATGAGACATTTTTCTTTTCATGAGGGGTTTGGCCTTACGGAAAGTTGTGTTCGAAAAAGAAAAGGATGACATAATAGGAAAGTGATCGGATATATCATGTTGTATGATAATAGACGAGGAGCAGCGATCGATTGCATTCGTGTATATAGATTAACTTACACGGTTACAACTATCTCTACTTTCGCCATTCTACTATGAAAGCATTAAAAGTTCAATCTCACTGTCCCATCAACGGCAAAAACCTCGCAACAGGACATCGATTACGAGTACCGCCAAAATGAATGGCGACCTCATGTGCTATATTCGAACCGCGCGCCCATTTCTTCGCATAATTACGGACTTTCATTCGAACCATCGGAGCGTGACGGCGTGTTTCGTTGAAGGCCAATCATGGCCTTACCATGGTAAATGGTTGTAAAACCGCGTACAACGGTTGCCGGCGGATTATAACGTTGGCCCAACGTAGTTGTGCTATCTGGGTCATGACTGCCGCGCCGTCATAAGTTTGAGCTATCAATTTTGACTTCGCGTTGTAAGCCTGTAACACTTCTTCCAGTACAGCCGATATCCCGCAAGCCGTGCGATCAACGATTGGTACAAAGCTGTGAAATCTCTCGGTAGGTTTACCATCTTTCACAAACCGAAAAATCACAGCCAGTTGGGAAACGCACGTGATGTCAGTTGTCTCGTCAGACTGAATCGAATGGAACTGGCAATTCTCAATTTCCAGAGCCAAATGTTGTAAATAAATTTTATACATTGACTCATTGAGTCGAGCAAATCATTTTGGATATCCTTAGATGTCCCTTTCGAAACAGTTGCGGCATCAAGATGATCTCTCAATACTGTATCTAGGGATGCGGTGTATTCCACCATATCCAAAAATCAGTGGCGGCGCGTGGTCATTTTGACAACCGGGGCAAGCTACTGCGGGACAAAGTCACCCCCATCTACGGGGACAGGATGAGCGCTGTAAGTTCTCCCATCATTTTATGAGTATAAAAACCATTCCATCGGTAACAACCAATCGGCAAAAGCGACAATTTTTAACGATAAGAAAGTGTCTTTAAAACCGGTCCAAGTCAAGGTTTTTTATTTTACCATCCGTGTTTTTTATACCAAGTTTCTGCGCAGAATGTGCGCCGACGCTTTCCTCCGTCATGGGATTGTTCCAGTGAACAATTTTTTGGTTGATAAGGCCCAAGACGTTGTACCTCTAATTTTTGTTCCAGCGGCAGCTGCGAAAACGGAGTGCGAAGTAGTGCATCAACCTTATTTATTATGAGGTCTAAGGCTAAGAAATGCGAAGCCGGAAAGAAGAGAGGAGCTCAAAAGGAATGTGGAAAATCGAA